GAGTCAGTATTTTGATATTATACCCTGCTCTCTGTGCTTTGTTTGGTTTACATTGAATTTTAGTCACATATTTAAACATTTTATTGTTATGAACAAAATAAATATTTTCAAGTTTCAAGTTTCAAGTTCAAGTTTGTCATTACACTCATATACATGGTATATGGTATAATGAAATGCTATTTAGCTAGCTCTCAGACATAAGTAGTACAAAGAGAAAACAACAACAACAACAACACAATTGTGTAGCAAAAGAAAGACAGAGACAACAGGCAGTGTGCAAAAAACAACAACAGACGATGTGCAAAAAAACTACAGCAGGCAATGTGCAAAAAAACTACAGCAGGCAGTGTGCAAAAAACAACAACAGGCAATGTGCAAAACAACAAAAAGGTAACAGGTTATGTGCAAAAATATGCATCAACAGAATAAAATAAAGGGATAGAATTATGGGGAGAGAGCTTTTGACATGTATGGTAGAGGTAGATTTTCAATGTGTGTTTGGGTTTTTGGTAAGAAAGACGGCACTGTGAGGTTCAGATCATAGGTGAGAGGTGAGGTGAGAGTGATAGAGGCTGGGAGTTTAATAGTTTGATAGTGTGGGGGTAAAAACTGTCTCTGAGTCTGGTAGTCCGGGCCCGAATGCTCCGGTACTGTTTTCCATATGGTAAGCTGCTTTTTCCAGATTTTGGATTTTGGATTTTCCAGATTTTGGATTCCAGAAACCATTCCAGATTTTGTTGAAGGTGTTCAGTTCAAAAGTATTTTACCAATTAAACCTATACCTGGCCGGTGTAAACCTGTCTAGAAATACATGTAGTTCAGGTGGGTAATAGTAATAGGTTTATTCCATGCTGAAATAAAAGAAGAAAGAAAACACAACGTTTCGGCCGTGGAGCCTTCTTCGTTGTGTTTTCACACCTGAAGAAGGCTCCATGGCCGAAACGTTGTGTTCTCTTTCTTCTTTTTTTCAACATGGAATAAACCTATTACTTGTTCCTTAGAAATATATGTGCAGTGTAGATGCCGTGGAGCTTGATCTCATCAGATATCGCAGCTGAGCATTGTTAGTCTTGGCCAGAAGGGCCATGAATGAGATGGGATGTCTGTGTCAGTGTATAGTTGTGCTGTTGGCACACAGTGGTTACTGTAGGTCACCCTGTTCTACAATGATGAATGAAGTGGGTCCTTCCCTAAACATACAGCTTTATGGGATATTTCATTATGAACATTTCTGTATATTCCAAGCATAAAAAAAATGTACTACTTATAATTGCAATGCATGCACTAAGTTAATATAAGGAAAATGACCTGGTATTATAATGGTCTCTGAACCTTACTGTATATAGTATACTACATGTCATCTCGGCTTTCTTCCATAAAGGTTCTGTGCAGCTCAAGTCTTGCGAGTTGGGCTACCATCTTTAAAGAAAGCTGTTTTTAGTGAGCATAATGAGAACATATATCAGGAGTTCTTTTTACATCTTACTTTTCATTTCAAGCTGTTTTCATGTAAGTCAGGATGAACCCACAGGAAAGGCAGCAAGTGAGATCTGGTACTGGATCAGTGTAGCTGTGTGCAGTCAGGTTACTGACTGTAAGAGGAGCTCTGTAGCTGACAGGCACCACTGCCCAGGCCACAAGATGTGGAGCTCTGTAGCTGACAGGCACCACTGCCCAGGCCACAAGACGTGGAGCTCTGTAGCTGACAGGCACCACTGCCCAAGCCACAAGACGTGGAGCTCTCCATTGATTTGTCTGTTTTATGCATCTTCTCTTGCTCCACTAGTGGCAAGTTCTCAGCTGAGATGATTTAGTCCTGCCTCCAATACACTGATGGCATGAGACCATTGTTCTCTTGGTAATTGGGACATATTGGTTCCTTTCTGTGTTTTGTTTTATTGATTTTTGTGAGTCTTGACATTCAGAAAGATAAATCACCTCATCGTTCAGTGCCCAGTCAACTCATTCACTAATGAGGTGATTTAGTGCTTATGCAGCAATCAAAGTCACTCAATTGATTCAGTCATTAATGATTAGATAACAAAACGACAAGAAAACATTTATCAGTATTCAAATACCATATATTTTATTTCTCTAAATAGTGTAGATGTTCATCAATAGAGTGATACATTTATTTTAATCCCTACTATATACACACGTATATTACGTGTTCGTTATCACAAGACAATGTGAATTCAATCAATTTGTGCACTCAAGAGACTTCAATATCATACAATTGCTTTTCTGAGTACAAAGACCATTAAGTTCATTAGAATTCTAGAAGCTTTTTGTCCCTCTTTAGTCAACCTCAATGCAAAATGTGTTGAATAACCTATATATAGATGATGTGGGAGGAACAGCGAGTTTTGATTTAGGAGGATTATGGCAATGAGAGTTGTAATGATTGCTGCAAAGCCTGAATCTGTCTACAATGGATATCTGAAACCAGTCTTCATCAGATTGTAAATTAATTCTACTTGTATTTTTACTATTTCTAAACTCCTTGAAAGGCTGGGTTAATTACTGCACGTCCTACTATAAACTATGCGTAATCCCCAGGGTCAGTTCCAAAGTATATTAGACAGTATGTTAGGTTGTTGTTTTAGTCCCTAGGTCTTATTTGATATTTTGTCTTTTTCATGGTACAATATGTGCACCCACGGCTATAAAAATGAGACTGTAAACGCAATACTAACTATGATATGAGAGCAGCAATGAATTAATCTTTGTTTTTCTTGCTTCAAACAGGGACTACACTTTCTAATGGTGGAATTAATTTGCACAGCTCAATGAAACGGAAGCTGGTGGAAGAGAAAGGCTATGTGTTTGACAAGAGGCTCAGATACAATGTTCGGCAAAATGAAAGCAACTGTCGGTTTAGGGACATTGTGGTTAGGAAAGAAGACGGTTTCACACACATACTGCTATCAAGCCAAACATCTGACAACAATGCACTAACCCCAGAGGTAAGATACTCTCTTTGGTGTCAGGCAGTTGTAGCTTTCATTATTCATTATCTATTGAAATGTACAGAGGTACTGTACATGGATATCTCAATCTAACCATTGCACACAGCCTCTTTCAACTGATACGTTTGGGGAAAGATTAACATCTGTCAAAATGTGGGTTCTTCTAAAACCTTTGTTTATGTCATTTCAAAATGTTTTGTACATGGTGTGTATATTGAATGTACAGTATTGATGTTTGTAATAGGGTGGGTTGTGATGAAAACAAATCAATGTTTTACATGGTTCTTACCTTTATATATCCAAGCAGTAATTATGGTGTGTGTCATCTAAAACAGTTGGAAAAGGTTAGCAGAAAAGTTGCCATATTTTTTCTCCATTCAGTATAAAATAACAATCTACTGTGCTACAGACAGAGCTGTGAATTTCATCACTGTATTAAAATTCCTTTGTCTATTGTGTAGAGGGTACTTGGTGATGACTGTATGGTACTCCTCTTGTTCATTTGATTTTATTGGTCTGAAAAAATTCCCTGACATGTACAATCGTTTTACAATAGATAGAATGTCTTAGTTCAACTACAGAATATTTTATTATGCTATCATACTTGTTAGGAATATATTTTGATGTCATAAGGGATTAAGGTCTGACACTTAATTTGTTGTGTTTAGCTTCATTGTTTTCTTACCATAGTGACAACTACAGTGAAAGGAATCTCGACACTCTGCACACACTAGTGTCTAATGACACTTAAGCTGAGCAGTTTCCCACTCAATAGGAACTTTTGCACATATTCCCTTGTTTTTTCAGTCATAAACTTTCAATATTTCTGTATGTGAATTTTCATGTGATAGTTTCACTTGAAATGTGCTATTCTTAATATACTTTCAACAAAGGGTCTGCTAACAGCTGAGCTCCACATTTAGCTCTTTTTTGGTATTTAGTTATGGCTGCACCACATTAATTTTTTGCCCTTTCTTACAATAAGCTCAACATTGCCAAGTAAAGAAAGAACAAAACGTCACTCACATCCTTATTAAATGTAATTCAAAACCTGAATTAACAGTCACTTTTCAACCTGAGACTACTTGTCATTGGTCGTTAAAAGCTGAATTTTTTAAAGAAGCTTACAATGTGTTGGTCTATTTTTATTTTCTGTTTTTAAAACAGGAACTACTGTTTAACAAGTAAAATATATTTATCTATAATTGAAAGCTACGGTGTTATATTGACACATTTTGTACTTGATTAGTTTCACATATTGAGATTTAATGGTACAAGCAGATGGATTTCAAATGTAATACTGATATGAAATTGAAGACTGAAAGACAAGTATCTTTTCCTGTTCCTTCAAATTAACAAACTAATATATTTATTGTGTACTTAAAACTAGGGAGAATCGTGTAAAACGTTCATGATTGACATTATTGCACTCAAGTGTCTATGACCATTATGTAAGCACAGAACCACCTCCTTAGTGAGTGAGTTGTGTGGGAATGGGCTGTAAATTTGAGGTGAAAGAAAAAAAATGAAAAACACAGTAATGAACCAATATTCCCTGCTTATCAAGAGAACAATGCCATTGTTCAGTCAGGACCAAGTTAGTTTCAACTTACTAACGTTTGTCACTCTCTGTATGGGATGTTCACACCCAGTGTCTTTTTAATCTGGGAAGATGTTACTCCGAAACAGTATCCGTCAATGACAGGCCACAGTGGAAGACCACGAGTCACAACACATCATCAAGTTTGTCTTTGTGATCATTTTACCACTGCCGGTTCCAATGTATCAGAAATACCAATTGACAACAGCCCAACGGAGGTTCATGAGAAGGCCAGATGACCACACATAGGCCCAGTGCTCACCATAATGATGAGAACGAGGTAGTGTGAAGCAGTTCTCACACCACTTCATCCACTACTGTTATTTGAGAGTTTTAACCCTCAGGTTCAAAGTAGACCTGGAACACATTTCCCATATTTACAAGCCTCCCTTTAGGAAATATGTTTTCTTTTATTTATGCATTTTTGAGTTATGCAGCATCTATCAGGAACATATCAACTGTATAAATTGAGAACTACCAGTATTTTATTCATTCAAGATATGCATTCCTCTTTCACTAATTAATTTTGTCTTTAATACTTGTCACTACCATTTCTATTTTGTCTGTGAAATATGCATGCTATTCGTCATACTACTCTTCAGCTCCCAAACTACCTGTTAAGATTTGATATGAAGAAGAAAAATCTACAGAGATCCATACAATGGTTTCTTTAATTGTATTACCAAGGAATCATCTCAATTCTTTATTAGGGTAAGAGGTGTATAAACTAAGGAGTCTGACACTAATGTTTCTGACAAAAAATGTTTTAAAAATGTGATTGTTTCAAGATCATATTGGTTTTGTATCAGGTTTCACAGATATAAATGGTTAAAATATTATACGCCAACATTTTAGTAATGGCATTAACAAGCAATAAGTAGTTTTTCCCAGTTTCTAGGGTCACTTGTTAGATGTTTTCCCATATTTAGTACTGTTGTTTAGCTTGTTTTCAGAACTTTTCAAACAGTCCATCTGTGCACTTGTACGCAGTGGTTACCAATCCATGTATTATCTGCAAGCATACTGTCATGAGAAAGCCAGTACACCCCCTTAATATTTTATGGTTTAACATATTTAAACATATTTCACCATCATCTGGTCCTCACCAACTCCTTATAGTAGATAAAACTAACCTCATTTGACAAATAACACAAATATCCTGCACTGTTATAGTTTTTTAAACAAGTTTTGTTATTTTAAAAGACCAGCCAGCATTCAATATCTTTGTGTGACCACATTCTCCATTTTGAAGCATGAAGAATCTGTGGGCTTTGTCAAATTTGGTTTGATATTTTGTTCTCCACTTTCCATATGCTTACAGTCTAACATATATTTTAAGTTAGGTCATTACCTTGATCCAGGACTTTCTATTATGAGCTGCCAGGTTCTTCTTCCTTTTTTTTTTTTGCTTACTTCTTATTCCTGTAATATAGATCTACGGCACCCCTTAAGGTGTGCCATCTACGTGCTGTGCATATTCTGGTAGATTTCTGGTAGTAGCGAAAGAAAGGTGTTGGCACTATTGCCACTCTTTATGTATTTCTGTTAGAGGCTTCTTATAAAGATAAACCAACTGTTAGTATCCGGAATAGAGAGCTGAATGATCGATATGAAGTTTTACTCTATTTTTGAAAAACTAACATTAATTTAAAAAAATCAAAAAGATTCCTTTTTGGAATAATTTGAATTTATAGAACATTTGCTCCTCCTATAATACAAGTTCTACAAGCTGCATGTAGTGTATGATAAAACACATACAGTAAAACTAGAGCTCTGCTTTCATGTGTGGGTTTAGAGAAAATGTTCACAATTCAGAAAAGCTTAGCCTGAAACTCTAGAATGGATAAACTATTGCAGGTTTCTGCAGACGTACACCTGGAGAAGTGATTACATAAATTGTCTGATTCTGTCTGAAGGTAGCAGATATCAGTGGAGCCGCGATATCTGAATGGGTCTGCCTTCTTTTAAGAATCAATGCCACAAACAGAAAGGGGTGGTATACTGTGATATTTTAATTGTTCCATCTGGGTTATACTTGTGAAAGTAATTTACAATTCAGCCTTAGGCAAAAAGGCAAAAATGAGAACACGAAGTGAAAACATTAGATGTACAAAACAGTCTTGGCAGAAGAAACTAAGACTAGTCCTAATTGGGACGGCGTTTGGTGTATGTCATTCTATGGTCACTTTCTGGGTGATTTACATAAGGAGTTTCTCATTTCAAACCTTAGGCATGTTTGCCTTGTCTTGTGAAAGACTCTGTCTTATGTCATTTTACTGTGGTCCCCAGCCTTACTTAAAGCTCATCACTCCAGATACATGAAGTGACTACAGTTTGGTTGTGGTTTTTGCTTTGCTTCCTTCGTATGACATTATATAATATCATAGTGGTGTTCCATGCGCTTAAGTACCAAGTGCTGCCAACACAATCCATTGATCTCTTATTTCACTGCCCCCCTGCCAACATACATGCACATAAGTATAAGACCATCTGTCAGCAAAATAAACATACAGTTCTTCACCACCGGTTCATCTGTCTGTTCCTCTCCCTGTTGCCAAAAAATAGAAATGAAGGAAAAAGGGCTTTGTATATTTAATAGAATGTACCTAAGGTAAGTCAGACAGCTGGAGACTAGATCCTTCTGTGCCCCTCTATTTTCCACAAATATCATAAAGAGTTTGGTGTAAGATCTGATAACTTAAGCTCTTTGTTGGTTCTTACCATCATTGGTAGTCTGAAAAGTAGAGCCATTTAGTTTTCAAATTAGAAGGTTTATGATCATGACTGATTATGACAATTAGAAGGTCATAAGTAAGTATTGCATTGTTAACACAGTTGAGTGAAACCGTGACTGGTTGGTTAGCTGTGGTTAGAATTATTCTCTTTCAAAACTAGTGTTTGTGAATCCAGTCCAGTTGGAAATCAATGTCTCATTTTGTTGGAGGAAAAAATAATTCATAAAAAAACTAAATTTACTACATCGCACATTGCACATACATGATGACTTCTAAACTAAAGTAAAGTTAAAATGGCCTGGACCTCAAACCATCAAGGATCTGTTACTTATCCACGCATGGCCTTTTGATTTTAGCCTCATCCCACAAAAGTGTGCAATCCACAAAATCTAATTCTTGAGTAGCACAATCAGTGAGTCATACTTATGATGGGTATTCCGTTCTCATTACTGAGCCTTCGACATATAATTGTATGCAGAATGCTCCTGAATATCTGCAGATGTAGCATTATTCTCTGCAGAGTTCATCTCCACAATATTATTACACACTCCCTTACATAACTGGCTCATGTAGTGTACTCTGTGTTCTGCCATATACCCACGTATTCAGCCCATCACAATCACAATTTTAGAAGTGAAAGCGATATAACCCTAGTAACGTAAAAAGGGAAAATAGATTGCGACCAGATTTTAATGAATAATACATGGTGAGATATAAATTAGAAACCTAGAATTGTGTTTTCCTCTTTAACTTTTCTTCAGTTTACCATTTCACTCGAATTAACAGACAGTGGCACGGAAAGACATATTGTTTCTAAAAAAATGTTACACATTAAAGCTGAGTTGAACATAAACCTTCTGTGCATGTTAATCCTAAAATGGGTAACTTTAATAGGAAACAAGTAGGTCAAATTAAAAATAATATTTTATATTACATCGAGGCTCATCATTCATTAACAATGAAGAACCCCAAACAGCTGATCAACAGAAAACAAAGCATTTTCCTTACCTTGTTTAAATGCTTAAATCAGTCAAGACAGAAGCTGCAAAAGGATGAACAATGAGTCCAAGCTAGCTAGTTCAAATCCCAAAGACAGAAGCCTAAACATTTAGTACATAATCATACTACAGTTACAAGGTACAGTATATAGTAAGATGCCAATGATCAGAAAGGTACCACTCTTTGTTCTTTATAAATGGCTGACCCTGCGCTCTGACCCCAAGCTTCTCTCCCTGTCTGTGTGCCTGTGTGGCGAGCAAGCTGGGGTATGCGAAAAGACAAATTCCTAACACAAGAAATTGTACATGGCTAATAAAGTGATCTTATCTCCTCTATCTTAGATATTTTTGAGAAGGTTAAAGCTGTGATAAACAGGCGGTTATCATAAACGTGACTGGTCTTACTACTGATGGTGCACCAGGTAATGGTTCGATCTCTTAGGGGATTTGTTGCCCTGGATAAGAAAGAAATGGGTCATCTCAACATTGATCCAAGTTAATTGATTACATCATTGCCTTATGTAAGAAAATCTGTACAATCCTCACAACTGAGCAATGTATTCTTGCCAGTAGTATCCAGCACTAACTTTATTAAAAGCAGAGGTTAATGAGCTATTGGAAGATTGCGAATATGTTGAGTATGTTGATTTACTCTACTCTTGCAATGGATGAGCTAAGGAAGCTGATGTGGTTTTCTGAACAGAAGGAGGAAATAAACATTTCATGGAGGAGCGGGGAAAATCCGTTGCTGAGCTTAGCAACCCCAAGTGACTGTGTGACCTGACATTCATTGTTGTCGTGATTACATACCTGTCAGACCTCAGTGTCAAACTGTAAGGGCCTAACCAGCCTCCCTTCTGTACAATGGGAAATAATTCAGACACATGTTAAAGCTGTGGCATCTACAGTACAATATAATGCTGTGAGAATTCATTTCAAGTCTTTGTCGTGCAATTAACTACCAGCATGCTAGATTAATAACCATGAATTTGGAAGGTCAGTTGCGAGCAGCAAAATCTTCACTCCTGACAAATGTACTGTAGTAAGATTCGCTGAGGAAAAGCAGTATCGGCCATCACACAAAAGACTGTGAGTTTAACATTAATTAATTCTAATTGAAATTAATTTTAATACTTTCTGACAAAAGAAATATATGCCTATGTTTTTGGACCATGATTTGTTTTTTTAATGGGTCTGTGTCCCATGGTAGAAAACATGTTCCGCATATTGAATATATATGTGAGACTTTGTGTTAATTGTTAAGAAACTGCACACAACGCAGGTCATGGAAATAATTCTTTGACAATTCCTCAAGCTTATAAAACATGTAGTGCCCACATCTTAAATTTAATTGATATTGATATTGTAATCAAACCATCCAGAGCACATATATGTTACTTTCGAGACGTTGAGGTAGATAATAAGATTCTTTAAAAATGTCTTGTCGGATAGTACTGGAGAAAAGCCTAAGAGACTCTGCTTTTACTGAGCACTACATTTGTTCCACATTCACACACCCACAACACACATTGACAGAGTTAACATTTACTTGATCAAGAGGCCCAAAGAAATGTATACATTAACTAAGGACTGATGATGTGAGCTTCACATTGTAAAATGTTTATTTCTTTACGTCTGTTACATGTTTTACGTTTGTAGTCTTGCATGCATTCTGTGTCATATTTGTCTTGTCCCTGTTACGGTATTGTGTTGTAGGTGTAAAGACAGTTGTCTAAGCATGGGTAGAGTATGTTTACTTGTTTGCTTTTGAGCTACTGTAGATCTGCACTGGTGCTCAGTGAAGGTCATGAATCACTCAATTAATGTGCATATAATGTGACCTGTATATTGCAAGAGGCCTTTTTTTCTATTCTAATATTTTTTCTTTGCCCTGTGATTTATGTTTCTGACCTTTTGGGGTCCTGATAGAAGATTGTTATTAAACCCTTCTCTTTCTGCACAAGCATCACCGCAGATCCCCTTACCTACCTACAGGGGATTCTTGACACAGCCATCTCCCTTATTCTCATACAGTGCCAGAAGGCTACAGAATAAACAGATTGGGGTGCTGAATGGTAATCCCACAGATCCATTTTTCCATGTGGAGTCAGTCATTACGCATGCATTTAATAGTTATGGTTGAAGATGATTCAGACATGACATGTTTGACTTGAGATTCTAGAAACAATGGGCTAGACTGGCATATCAACCTTTCCTCATCTTGAATTCTAGCTTACTTTTCACTGACATTCAATTTATTTGCACAGGTGGAAAGTAATATTGATTCTGATCCAAGCTGCCCGCAGCAAAATGTAGTGAGATAGTTATAAGTCATCCTGTTAAGGTGAAAAATGCAAACGCTTTTCAGCACTTACCAGCACTGTAAAACCTCAGACAGCAAGTTCTCTGAATCCATTACCATTTGAGGAACTTAATCAGAACATGATCACAAATAGTAGCAGGTATATGTGGTCTGATTGTGCTGGGTGCTTGTTTTTTCTATCTTGTTTTTCTAGCGACACAGCTTTACTGCGGAGAGGTGGTGACAGGAATGACCTATGTAAATTAGTGATGTCATCCTTGCATCTCAAATAGTTTGACTTACTGTATAATGCATGCAACAAAATCAAACCAACATTTTAAATTTTGTTCCTTGTAAATCATCTACAGTGTATTTTAATTTAATCCAGTTGGATCTTAGGTAGATATTAGGTAGCACACAGACATCACCTTTTAACTTAAAGGTGACCGTAATCACATTTGAAGTGGATTTCTGATCACAGAAGGAAAGAATTGCCTGTTTGCAGTCAAAGAAATGTAAAAAATTGAATAGGCATCTTTAAGTCTCAGTTTCACAATAATTTAAAACAAAAGTACACTTGGCTTTACATGATTAAGATACTCCTGCTTTTATTCTCATGTGTTGCTTTGGTCTGCTCATTCCATCCACTTATCTTTTTGTACAGAATACAATTTATGTATCATAATGTAACTCAGTAAACTCACACATCAGATAATAGTATTTATTGATAATATTAGTGATAATATGGTGATGTTTTTGCATGTTTGAAAACACATGACTGAAATCATATACTCACAAGATTCCAGTAATGCTACTCAGAGAAGCATAAGAAATATGCCATCAAAGCTAAGCTAAGTATGGAGTTATTATGTGAAAAAGCACTCACAAGAACAACAGGAAATCATGATTCTTAGATACAGGAGAATGTGAAAATTTCTTATCATGACACAAGAAAATCTGCATAGTCTGAAAACATTAGACTGATTCTGTTGTTGATGATATTGTCATATTGAGCCAATTACAAAAAAAGCATGCTTCTCATCAGCTATACAAAAGGGACATTTTAAGTCTTGTTATCCCTGCAGACCCTTAATTTCTGGTAAATCTGTTTCTCATGCATATGTTTATTTTAATTTACAGGCTTGCATGTATGCTATTATCCTAAAAGGATTGATCCCAAATGATACAAGTGCCAAAGAAGAAGGGATTTGGTCAAAAGGAGTTTTCATTGTGTTCAGAGGTTCTCTTGAATTGGGTCACAGGAAAATAGGCTATAAATTACCTAAGACAAGGAGCTATGTTAATTAGTTCAAGTAGTAGCTGCGTTGGCATGTGTAGGCTGCAAAGGAACAGGTAACGGGTTTATTCCATGCTGAAAAGAAAAGAAATGCAATGTTTTGGCCGGGGAGCCTCCTTCAGGTGAGTTATGTTAATTAGCATTGGAAACCTGCCTTGATATATATTTTTAAATGACAACTACGGGGGGAAAACATTTTGCATTCAATTCAATTCAATTCCTTAGCTGACAAAGAGAAGCTAGTTACTGAGCCCTCTGGTTTCTGACCAAGCTTTTGCTCTCACTGTCCTTCTCTGTAGATAATGAAAGAGGTGAGGAGAGCCCTGGGCAATGCCTCGGCAGATGACAGCAAGCTCCTTCTCCTCAGCGCGGTGGGCAGTGTGTTCTGTAGTGGCTTGGATTACTCTTACCTCATTGGCAGGCTGTCTAGTGATAGAAGAAAAGAGAGCACAAGGATTGCAGAAGCCATACGGTAAGATAACCCTCTTGGCCTTAATGCACAGCCACCAGTTCTCAGGCTTGGTGGCTGATGGAGGTGGGCTCACTGTCAGCATGTGGATGTATTATCATGTAGAACAATTCACTTCTTGAAGTCCCAATTGGAGAGGTGAATACAGTTTATTTTTTGTTACAATGTTATATACAGTGCCCTCCGTACGTACTGGGACAATGAAGTTCAAATTGCTATTTTTGCTGTATACTCATTTCATTTGGATTTGAGATGAAAAGATGAATATGAGGCAAAAATAGAAAACATCAGCTTTTATTTCTGGGTATTTCTGCACATGTATGCTTTAACCTTTTACAATAATACCACTTTTTTCATAAAGATGAGTGAGCCAGTTCCAGAAGCAGCCCAAGCCATGACTCTGCCCCCGCCATGCTCCACAAAAGCAGTTTGTTCCTTTATTCACACTTGCACCTTGGTAGAGGTTTACGTTTGTTTCATCTGTCTATAACACATTGTTCCAGAACTCTACTACCTCATCTCTGTACCTTTCAGCAAGTGGAATCTGGCCTTTCTGTTTTTGGTGCTAATGAGAGTTTTGCATCTTGAGGTGCAGCCTTTCCTGTTCTGCAAATAGTAGATTGTGATACCTTAAACTCCTGCATTGTGGAGGTTGTTGGTTATTTCAGCTACAGTTATTTTAGAGTTTTTCTTCACAGCTCTGATAATTTTTCTATCATCAACTGCAGTTGTTTCCTTTTGCCATCCTGGTCATTTCTAATTGCTAAGTACAGCAGTGGTTTCTTTCTTTTTCAAGATATTCCAATTTGTTGATTTTGCTGTACTCAATTTCTGATTGAATTCTTCTCTACTTTCAGCATACAAATTGCTTGCTTTTCTTTCACAGACAGTTCTCCAGTCTTGTTGGTTTAGGCCTACCAACTCCAAAGGCAGACACCAAAGGAAAGAGTGAAGGCTCAATTCAACACTACGTATTCACAGCTTTTATGTGCACAATCAGTGCACCAGGAAACACCTGACCAATAAAAATTGTCCCATTACTTATGCTCACCTGAACACAAAAGTGCTTTTATTCTAAAATGACACAATATATAAGCACAGAAATAAAAGGTGACATTCTGTACTTTTTCTTCATATTCATCGTTTCATCTCGAATCCAAATTGCTTGAGTATACAGCAGAAATAGCAATTTTGACTCCAAAACAAAGCCCACTAAGGAACTTATATGTATGCTGTTAAGCTCTGTGGCACATATATAAGTGAGTGGGAAAGGTTACCTGTATGAGAAAATATGGTAGGGATGGGACAAGACCCTTTGTAGAAGCCTTGGAGACATGTCCGTTATTCACTGGATTAGAAAGGAGGGCCGTTGCCCATGGTGTCTCAAAGGGGCAAAGGGATGAGTGCAGGCTGAGACAGATGAACATGCACAGTCCATTATCAACAACATGCCATTAAGAGTAGAAATATTTGGACAGGGACATGGTGATTATGTGAAAGACTGAGAATCAGTAAGAACAATATTCACTAATGATGAGAACATGTGAAATCTCCCTGCAATACCAACAAAGCAGTTGACGTTTGACCAAATGAACAATGATCTTTGCTGTAACGGGGCACACTGAAGGAGAAATAGTCTGGCAGATAGTGGCAGAAAATAAAAGTGACTGATTGGTTTAGTTAATACTTCATCAATATGGGCAGCAAGAGACTGCTGTGCCACGATCCAGCCAAGTCCTACAGACCCTTATAAAGTTGTCAACTAAACCTCTGGTCTGTGTAATGAAACTCCTTATAATGGGACTGATTTACTCTAAACATGTTATTGGAAGTGAAATTGAGATTGTAGAAAATAAAAAGTAAGGAAGCACATTAATTTCTTAAATGAGATCCTGCCATGTGGTATGACCTCTGTAGAAGATCATGAAATTGCTTTGATTCTGTTAAGAACATCAAGTGTATTCTCTTTATGATAGGAGTGGGGGTGAATTTAATGCCTAAATAGACCAATGGTAATGTTTAAAGCCATGGAATGTGGCTGGGTAGACATTGGGGGGAAGAAATGTTGTAGTAGTTGTGGAAACATTCAAAGTCATTGAGTAAACTGTTAAGGCCATTTTTTTATAATCCGAAAATTTAGAATGTTTAAATATAGATAATACATCTATAAGATGGGAAAGTGAGCCAGAAATGTCAGGAAGTAAAGAATGCCATCAGCATTAAGTGAAATACAGTAAGGGCTTCTGGTTTCTTGTGTTCATTTTCATGAAACACCATCCTTTAAAATGCGAAGGACCCTTGGAGCCGAGCAGTGCAGTGCAGTAGGTGATTGACGTGCCTCTTTTCTAATCTGCTCTAGACTTTCAGTACGAGGCCCTGCTGCCTGTCACAAGGTTACAGGAGCTTCCTCCATGTCCTTGTCCTCTCCTGTGTGAGGCTGCAGGTTTCATTATTGTAATTTTGAGATCCAAGTTACGTAGGTCATTGCCAGGTCTGTTTTATGCTAGTAAAACATTGACTTTCATTGCTGTAAAGAACAAATCCATTTAATTCACATGCATAGCATCTGTGTGCAGAGTTTAACTGGTCTTGTTTTTTATAGGAAAAAATGTCATTAGTATTCCATCTGAACCTCAGGATTTAAAAGAAAAGGGAATATTTATTAGATTATTTATTAGAATCTGTAATAAATAGTGCCTCATTCATGGGACTACAGTTTCCTTTCTGGATGTAAAGAAGACTTTATTTAATATTCAGACTGATAAATTATTTCCAACTGTGGAACCAATAAAAAAAACATAAAATAGTACAAAACAATAATAAAAACTGTACTTGTTTGTAACCATTAATGGCTGTGTCAGTGTACTTATGTGTGCTAATCCTGCAGCTTTAGTAAAACAAACTGCTGTTAACGTGATCACACAGATGCTTAGTTTTATAAATTAAATTGGTAGTCCTATTTTATTTAAATAAATACAAAAGCAAGGGGGTGGAGATTCTGTGACTTGATAAACACATTCTGCATCAGATATGTGTATTTTTTCTCATGAGATCACAGAATAAAAAAGTGGTCTTCTGCTTAATCAGCTAAAGATACCAGAGAAAAAGACACCACATTGTCAACCATTGTCCTGCTTTCAAATGCATTTTTTAAACATTGATAGTATTTCCTCTCTTAATTAAAATAACCCTTGAGAAAATGTTTCAGTTTGCATTAATGTTAACATTATTTGTTATGGCATATAGTGTCAGAGTGAAAGCTGTGGTCTGCATTGTCTCACTATGACACTTGACAATAAAACAGTTTGAATTGTTGTGTTCACAGATCTGCAACAGATGTTTGGAGCAAGTATAATTTTTATGGCCTTAGTGAAATTATCTTCTTCTTCCTCTCATTATATTCATTTTGAATGTCAAATGGGGTCTGAACATAAAAAGTGGTGTGCTGCAGACGTTGTGTAGAATTGTGTAGAGTGCTGAATGTCCTCTTGTTGTTTGAAAGCCTCCAAATAGTTTTTGTTAGACAATCAGGAGGGGAAAATTGTTGACTTTAGTTTTAGCTTCAATGAACAATTTGCCGTAGGCAACTTTGCTTTCTCCCCGCTGTTCCCGTTTGCTGTCAGCTTTTGAATGTATTTTCCAAAGCCACTTTAAAATAAAAGACAAGTTACCAGAGTCCCCTTTCCAACAAAAAAGGCTCAAATTCATGTTTGGCTAGTATATGCTGTTTTGCCATTTTCAAAATCAGAACTCAACCAGTTGCAGCAGAAGCAACCACACTGAACATATGCAGTGATCAGATATTTAGAAAGCAAGGCGTACAGTTGGGATGAAACAGGAAATGTAAGGCTCTATTCAACAGGACAGATAAAACTGCACTCCCGTGTACAGGCCTGGATCTGAAGACTAAATAACCCAACAACAGTGACAATAGTGGATTACAAGTGTTACAAATTCATTAAAATATGACCTAAAGAAAAAATCAAATAATTTAACCAACCAAGAACTTAAATGAGATGATAATCAATTATCCAGTTAGGTTTCCCTGAACAGGATACACATCTTGTCAAATGTGAAGTGACAGATAATGCAACCTACAATGAGCTGTTGTTGGGATTGATTATTCTGGTTTAGGTTTTGTTTCAATTGAACAAGAGTGCACACAATCCGGGGCTTAATTTGGTTGCCCTTTTAAAGCCTTTACACTGGTGGTAAGTTCTCAGTAGAGGGTTTTTCCATTTTCTTATTCCAGGGACTTTGTGAAAGCCTTCATTCAATTTAAGAAGCCCATAGTGGTGGCGATCAATGGTCCGGCACTAGGACTGGGAGCGTCTATCCTGCCTCTGTGTGACATCGTGTGGGCAAGTGAGAAAGCCTGGTTTCAGACTCCCTACGCTACTATCAGACTTACACCAGCAGGCTGCTCTTCATATACCTTTCCTCAGATCCTGGGAGTGGCTCTAGTAAGTTCATGTTAAACAGATAACATAATTCATGCATATCTGTCCTGCATTTGGGATGTTAGTGCTCTGTTATTCTTTCATTTTTCAGTCAGTCTGAGAGTACTGTTCTCAAAAACACTGCCTGAACCTTTCAAATGTATTAATATGTACAGTATAGAAATCAGATGGTCTCAACACAGGTAGTCTTTTTCATCAACTTGTAAATCATCTCCGGTTCACTATAAGAAGTCTCAAGTTGTTATTATGTTTATTGTTAATATCATCATTATTATTATTGTTATTTCTGATATCAAGTTGGAATTATTAGATACTGTAGGTCTGTGAAAACCAGATGGTCAGATGATGATGCTGTAAGAATTATTTGAATCTTTTTTTTTTCTCACTGAAAATTGCAAAGCCTGCTACAGCTCAGTGTCACACGGAGCCTGGGAGGCTGTTGGTCCAAACACAGAAGGCGACCTCCATTTTCAGCCTTCTGTGATCTTGAGAACTTATCTCTTGTGCACCTGACAACAGGCTGGTACAAAAGAAAAGGCAGTCTGGCGCTCAGAGCTGAGTAGGTGGAGAGTCTCCTGTGGTACAGCGGACACACCAAGGCACTCACTGTCAGGCTTGTCTCTTTCCTTCCCTCGTCTCCAGGCAAATGAAATGCTTTTCTGTGGGAGGAAGCTCACGGCGCAGGAAGCCTGCAGCCGCGGACTCGTTTCCCAGGTTTTCTGGCCAACAACCTTTAGCCAGGAAGTGATGCTCCGAGTGAAAGAGATGGCCGCCTGCAGTGCCGTGGTATGATTTGACTCATGTTGACTCCATACCAATGAAAACCTTTAGCAGTAAAATCAATGGTGTGCCAGGCGTTTAAAAGCAAGGTCACTGTTTTGCAGTGGATAGCTATTATACATACTGAGCGAGTAGTGCTTGACCACATTATGAAGATTTACTGAAGTATACCATAGTAAAAACACAAGCTGGGTAAAATTACTGCAAAGCATAGATACCATGTGCCGTGGGATTTTTTAAGAATGATGAAGTGTAGCAAGTAACTAGTTCTCTAACATTAAAAGTAATCAGTGTTCCTGGCAAGAGAAGAATATGAACCTGTTTAGTGAACAGTCAGAATAATCCTCTAGTGTTAGAGTATGGTGTATTAAAAAATGATGCAAACGTTATAAATTATCTATGAGCTCTTCATTTTATTGTTCTCTTTCCGTCTCAATAATTTCTTACTGAGCAGTAGTTTTTACAGATCTGTAGAATGTGACTTCAGCTGCACTGCTTTGTGATAATTAAATATTTACAAACTAATCAAGGCTGAACTTTTTTTCAATATGGTGCAAAGGCATGTGTTAGGAGGGGATTGTTTCAGGTTAGACCATTTGAGAGCCACGTAGGAATGTGTATTCTTAGGACAAGGCATTAAAATGTTGGCAGCAAAAAAGCGAAGACAGTTCTGTGTACGATCAACGTAATTATTCTATTTTTGTGTGCTTACATTTTTTCCCTTGTTAATCAGCTTCTTGGGGAAAAAAGGGTCCCGGAAACAAATCCTTAGAACTCATTCCCTGTACCAAGAAACCTGGCATATAATTTGTTTTATTTATTTTTTTCAGTGAAATGGTTTTAAAGGCTATCCAATTGTTTTGGATTTATTTTACTAACACTGCTTTTCCAACGTGTCTTTTTTTCCTTTCCTCTTCTTCTTCTAAGGTTTTGGAAGAATCCAAATGTCTGGTAAGAAGCTTTCTGAAGTCTGTTCTGGAGGAGGTCAATGAGAAAGAGTGTCAGATGTTGAAGCAGTTATGGAGCTCCTCCAAAGGACTGGATTCACTTTTTAGTTACCTGCAGGACAAAATCTATGAAGTATGAGTACCACAGCAATGTAGGGCAGAGATGAACTTTGCTGAGTCCTAGCACTTCTCATTCAGTTATGAAAACATTATTCCGGGCATTACAGTTGCAATATTCCATTGACAGACCTCATCAGATCTTCCACTTTTGAGACTCTTGTACAGAAGGTATACCTGTGTGGCAGGAGAAGGCTCTGCAGAAACAGTGGTTAAGAGTCTAAGAAGTGAGTAACAAGAAAGCCTCACCGCTGATATTTCCATGGAGCCCTATGTGGATTGTATCATTTCTGTATCTTTGATGGATTAACACATGGATACAGAATCTGACTCCTGTGTCTTGCCATTCCATTCCACAAACCAACAACACAAACCTGGGAAATTTACAAGCCCTTTGGAGGAACATGATTTTTACTTATTATGTTAGCGAGACAAAACAGACTGTTGTCCTGCATACAACAAGAATCCGTACCTTATATATCTAGGCTTTTTCAAAGTTACAAGACATTTCTTTATGGTTCTTTGATTTGTCTGTTCTATTTTCTGTCATATACAAACTAATTTTATAGGTTATTGGAAACCAAAGCATTGCTGGACGACATCTTAATCTTCTTATGAATGCATTCCTCATTATTATACAGAGCAAAACCATACTGGAGCTGAATCCTCTAATGTTGATTAATTTATTTAAAGATTATTTATGTTTTTTATAAGTTGGAACAAAGTAGATCCTGGAGAAAAGAAGTCCACTTCTGCTTGTGATGCTGCAGTCTTACTGTACAGCTGTTCTGACAGATGGACATCAGTCAGCTATGGGATTCTCCCTTAAGACAAAATACAATTTTTATGCTGTAGTGTAAAATCTTTTAATTCTTTTCTAGTGTAATTTCTTTCCCACCTGACTTGTTTCTATAGAATTGAACTCTTATCCAAACTGCTGGTATTAATATTTATTTTTTTAAGGTGGCAAGGGCTCAAAAATCTTTCTTTTATTCCTGTTGACTGCCTGCAAGCTGTTCGACTCCAGCTGCCTGACAATAGAGGTCTTCACTGGACATGGGAACCCTCCAGTTACGAAAGTGTAAAGCTTTATCTTTTCATTATTGTTGTGAAACAGGGTCATAGGCTTTTGTGAAGATCTTTTGGAATTGAGAACTAAGGCCATCCTGTCTCAGTCATTACAGAAACCTGGCCTCATAAACATATGTAAGACCTTATATGTACTGTGTGGGGGTGTAAGTAGGTGCTTAAAACTTCAGTATCAAATTTAGCAGCCTAAAAGAGCCCATCTCAAGGTGATAAAACAAGATACAGCGTTCACAGGAGCTATCAAAATGGAAGACATTGAATTAAACACTTTGCTGCTCTTGGATCAGTAGATGGTATGTGACAAAGCAGTCACCCTGTAATCAGCTTACACACATCTGATCCAAATGACAAGATGGAAGGCAGATTCCAGCTTCCACACTTGCAGGTGCCAGCATTTCACTGCTGATTACAGTACGACTGTCCCTGGATTCCCCCTGCCAAACTAGGTGAAGGCTTGTAGTTGAAGTGTTCAAAACCGTGTTGCATACTGATGGCCTCATCCATGCTTTTCCTCACAGAGAATAATGATACTTCTGTGTGTTTATTTTGCTGGCAGTTTTAGTTTTCCTCCATAGTGATCAGATTGAGAAAGCAATTTTCAGTGTCTACTGGGTTAGTAAGACTTCTAAATACAGAAAGTTTCATAGGACCCCTTCATTCAAGAAGGACACCAGGCGGTAAAAATTCTATATTTAAAGCAAGCTTTTCAGTGCTGATTACGCTGAGAGGTGGAGTAAACTATGGAACACACATTTATTTAAAGTGCTTTGTCAACAAAACAGCTTGAGCCCATGTCATCTTAGTGATGTCTGTAAAAATTTGGTTATGGGGCTGGGTAGGGTAAAATAGGTAGAGTATTCCAGGTTTTACCTTAAACATACCTATGAGAATAGAAATGCCACTAGTCACAACAATATTGAAGATCACCGTTTTGTCTGAAATGTTATTTGGATTACAAGTAATATATATATATATTAGAAGTTATTTCAATCCATCCTTTTTATCAGCTACTATGCAACAGGACCATAATCACATTCAGCCTTAATGTAAAATATTTTAACAAATGACAATTAAATGATTATACTTTGCATGGCACGATGAAAAAATTACAAGTAATTTCTGTAATTTGGCTCTTATTTGCCATGATGTTAGCAGATTATTTATTTAGAAAATATTTTTTAAAATATGAATAATTAAAAGTACCTAGTTAACCCTACCTAGGCACCATTTATCACAAGTGCAAAGCATTTTTTATGGACAGCTTTAACTTTCGATCTAAGTGCAGTTGATTAACTTTGTTTCAATACACTGTAATATTGCAACATACAATTCTCCTTATTCAGTATTCAAATTGAAGAATAAATGTTAAGATTTAATAAGCTGTTACTCTGTAGAGAAAAAAAAACAGTGATATTAATGAACTGACTTGTCTGCTTTTATTTTGAAACAATAAGCTGTTTAAAATCATAAAAAAAGAAATGCCTAGTGTTTGTGCAACATCTTTTTTAATACCTTAAAAAGCTTTTTATGGTACCCACCTGTCAATACGTGTAATTTAATAATAATTACAATTGGACATTATATTTTACAACACAAGCTTCATGATGTGTTTTGACCTTTATAATGGGGAATGGAACTTCAGCTTTGGAGTTCGGTTTGGCTTACAGTAAACCAACACCGGCCATTTGTGTGAGAAATTGTAAAAACAAAAAAGATGATCTCTGTAATATAAGATTAAACAGAGCTTCAATAACTGGCCATAACTAAACTCCTCTTGAGCCCCCTAAGAGTTAGGTTAACTGTGGACTCGGAAAGGATTTTGCCCTCATTTTATACATTGTAACAGTGTCCTGATGGTGGTAAAGAGATAAATTAAAGAGTGATCCACTACTACATACTGGATTTGAAATGCTGTGTAGTGATGAAGATGGATTATTCTGAGATTAAAACTGAACTACGGAATTCAATGGACTAAAGAAGCAAGATATACTGTTCTATGTGCCCATGTGAGGAGTTGAAACAAGTTTGCCTTTTTTTTTTGCAATGTTTGTTGTTATTTTGGGATGCTTTTGACATTAAGAGTTGCACACCTTCAAAAGCTGGATTGCATCTGTGGGCCCTGGTTCTTTGTGTCAACAAGAGTTTAGCTTTTCCCTGGACTGCTAGCTCTCAGGCATTGGGTTTATGCCATTGGAGATTTGCACAGCAGCTCAGCAGGAAAGTTTGGAAGCTACAGTAGGGCACATATAAGAGAAACAATATATTAAACATGAAAAATGGATCACTGGAAAAGGCTCCTTTTTATTTAATATTGGGAAAGGATATTTGCATGATTAGTTTTTTCTTCATATTATGGTATGTCTGTTCAAAAATGTATATAATTTAGTTCAGATTATCTGTACATATGCAGGACTCTGTAACAAGACATTTCCACTTTTTATTAAATTGTTACTTACATCTGATAATCCATTAACAGACGTTTTATGTTCATAGTATACTTTTTCTTGTTTTTGAAGTTTTAGTTAATCTTCTGTCACTTTTAATGTATAAATTAGAGCTAAGTTTAAACCATCTCTGTCTTCTAAGCACAAATTTAATTGCCTGGATTCTGTTTTCATCTGGGAAATTAAGATTTGTTTCAATAAAGCACAATGTAGTATGTCATCACACACCTTTTACAAAGGTAAAAAGTGCTACCATTTACAAAACAATATAATTTATCATGATGAAATTCATTCAGGAAACGTTTTGGTTTTGTTTCCACTTTTTGGAAACATTTTATTTTTGTTTCCACAAAGGTCTCAGGATTTAAGTTCTATTTAAACTTTGTTTTCTTGGGTTTACTGTGTATCATGGTCAAGATTCAAATCCACTGCAGGTTCACGTCCAGTAAGAGTTTTTAGATTAATACAATGTTCAGGCGCAAAGGAACAAATGAAGGTTTATTCCTGCTGAAAAGAGAAGAAAGGACACAACATTTCGGCTGTGGAGCCTTTACTTGTTCCTTTGCAGCCTACGCATGCTGACACAGCTACAGTACCTACTTGAACACGTTCGGGTGTAGACGTGTATTTCCAGTCTGAAAGAACATCACTTTATCTAAACACGGTCAGCCTAAGGATGAGCAAAACCTAACTTTGAAAGCTCCAGACAAGGTGAGCCGAGATTAAGATTAATCTTGTCTTGCTAATAAATGTTCAGTAAAATATTTTCTGGCTTCATTCTTTAACAGAGAAAGGCAGTGTGTTTAGCATCTTGTCCTTCTAGCACTCCTGTCCAGTGCTTTGTTAAATAAATAGCCAAACAAACACTGAATTAAATTAACAATAGCTTCTTGGGCGTAGTCTGGAAAGGCATATAGAATTACCCACTTTAAATTAATCTGTTTCATGTGTTAAATCCATGTAATTGTTCATAGATATTTTTCAATCAATTATGTTTTTTTGCCAGCCAATTCTTGTTTGGCAAGACACATGCTTTCTAATGTTCTCACAATTCTTCTTTGGATTCCTTGGACATAATGTGCAAATTCAAATAGTTAACAGTGAAATGAAATTAGAAATGATGGGTTTCTCGTCCTTAGTTTAAACCTAGCTCAGAAATTCAAGTTGCATGGTGTCAGATAGGTGGTGTCAACCCACCTCCTGTAGTTGAACTGAACCAATTAAATACAGTAACATATTATATTTATCCCCAAATTTCAAACCTCAATCAAGAATCCAAAACTGTTTGATAACAGAAACCTTAGACTCGAAATAGGATTAGCAGTTCTATTAATAGAAAAAGAAGGTTTGTGCCTTCAAAGCAAATATTTTAAATCCCCTGCTAATTTATTGTCAGGAGATGTTTACATACTTCTGAAGCTATCTTGGCAGGTTAGCTGTTACTATTTAGACAACTTGCATATCTGATACTTTTGTGGTACATGGAAATATTAAATATATAAAATACAAAGAAATATTACTAATTGTATGAAGTTTCTAAATATATATGAAGAGGTGAATCGTTTATTTTAATAATACTTTATTACAGTAAGTTCTGAGACATTGAGGTGTATTTTTGTAAATGTTTCTCCCCCCAAAGTGATTTTTTTTCACTGCACATTTTTGTCAGTTACAAGGCTGTATTCATTGTTGAATTTATTCTGCAGCCAAAGTAAAGATACTCTTGAATTGCATGTGTTGATGGATTCCAATGACAACTGTACAAATTAGTAAGGGTACCTGCATTGGTTTATACAGTATTTAATAATATAGTAAGTTGATGGTAAAGCATTTTTTTAATTTGTGTAAATGGTTTTGTATAATCAACTTAACATACCAACTCCGCAGTTGTATATATATATAAAGTAGGATGTTTCTTCTGTGCAGTTATGCATGTAAATATTTTTGTTGTAGATAAATGTGTTGCCTGTTAATACATTATATTTTCAGGATATGAATTTTTGTATTTGCCATAGTATGTAACGTTAGGATCCTTGCACAATTTATTTTTTTATTTAATTCAAAATTAATTTTCAATTAGTGTATAAACAAGTGTCTGTGCCAATATTTCCATTTTTTTTTAAAGTTGCTTTTTGCATTGGCAAAAGATTGACACGTCTCCTTAAGTAAACTGACACACTTTTTTGAACTGTGATGCTGACTTTTTTGTAATAAGCCTCCTTGTTTCTTCAGCTTATGTTGTAGATTTAATGTAATACATTTATTCTGACAATGAATACAAACGTTTCAGTCATATGTTAGTACTGTATAATGTTTTCCTAACAATGTACAAGGTTCAGAAAATCTAGACCAACTCAAACCATTTCAAATTTTCAAGCAAACTACAAAGTGAACTAAAAGATGAACAAATTAATTTAGTAGCATAGTTTCCATTACTGAAGTAAAAGAATGATTTTTGAATCTGGCAAACTGTCCTGTAGTATTGAATTACTGTGAATTACAAAATAACTGGTACAATTACTAAAAAAGTGATCTGGTTTGTATTGATAGGTGTATATTCTGTTGACTAATGTGCCCACTGACAAAGTTGTAGGATTGAACATTAACATTTTGTTTTACTAGAGGGAAAAAAATACATACAAAAATACAAATACCTTTACTGTTAAAAGGGTTTTGTTTATTTAGTATTAATATATTTAGCTTACATAAAACATGTTATTCTTGCATCACATCTCAAGAGGTCAAGAGGTTGGCCTGGTCTTAGAGCTCAAGATTAAAAACATTAGACACTTTTCACATCATTTGTAGGGGGTGCAAAAAGACAGTTTATGAGCTCTTTGAAGAAAAAAACAAGGTGTTTGCAGCCTGCTACTCTTTTGCCTTATAAAAGTGCAATTTTCTTTATTCCTCATGAGAAGCTAGTGAAGAGTTGAGGTTGTCTGCCCTTACTGCAAAGACGTACAGTGACAGAAGGCCACTTTCATTGGCAGTGTTCCTCTGTTTTCAAGGGAGCTATCCAAAGTTTTCAATAATGGATTCTGTATTTTTGTAATCATTTAAGCGTGAATAATTTTGGAGAAAAAAAAGAGGCTAATTACAAAAAACATTAAAAATGATGAAGCAAAGTACCAAAAAGAGAGACACTTTGATACCGTTAACGCAAGTATAAAACTGTACCATGTTTATTGGCTGAATTCCTCACATCCCGAGACAGGTGAAAATTTTCAGGAGAGGTTGCTTTGTCGATGAAGGTAATGAATTAACTCATCAGAAATCGCAATTGCAATGTTGTACAGAATAAAAACGGAGTTATATCTGACATAAAGTACCTCTGTAGAAGGTTTTATTTAATATCCTAAGGGTAGAGGCACCCTGTATCACAGTGTTGTATATATTTTTGTGATATTTAAACCAACCCTTCTTTCCTCTGTGATGAACACTGTCTCAATCCAAGTGTGTACAGTACATTAGTTGATGCTCCTGTAATAGTCTATGAACACATTTCTGGGTGCCTTAGAAGTTGTATTTTTCATGTGTGTTAAAAAGATGCAGTATTTATACATTGTGAAGAAAGCTGCTTTGAATAAAACTATGGAATTAATTAAAAACCTCTTTCATGTGGAGTGTTGTAAAAACAATTTTCTTTGACCTACAATATTTCAAGAGGTGTGTACTCTAGGCCTTCATTGAGCCATACCTATGTTTATCAGTAATAGTTTTATGACTTCAGTAATATATATCATTAATTAAAAATCAGCCCATAGCAGTCACAATTGGAAACTATTGCATTTGTTCTAGTGTCAGACATGTATGGGACTTGGGCCACTCTTGGACTTTGTGACGGGCCTGCTTGCATCATATGTAGGTGTGGGAAGCCATGAACAACCTATGAGTGGACTGTTCTCTTAAATACTTTGCTCTTATATCATCCTCCAAGATCTATGAAAGAGATTTTCTTGAGACACTAGTTATAGCAGATTAGATGTTTCTGTTCTTGAATACATAACAAATGCACCAGTATTGACTTAAACAAATTGAGCTAAGGGATGTGTCTTAATCATAATTATACACGTTTCGATGGTTACATACTTTTCTAATATGTCTCCAGCTTTGAGAAAAGAATCCCCTTTCATGTACTGTAACAGTCCATACATGATCACTGAGAACCTTCTGGTTCCATCTTTCATACTTCTTACAGCCAGCTTTCATCTAAAATGGATTACTTGGCTTTTCGTGTGATAATTTAGTTTTCATATTTATTTGTTTTCATCTAAGACATGGACAGAAAATGAAATTTGATTTAAAAAAGTTTCACTCAGAAATGATTCTCAGTTTTAATGGCCAAAACCTACTGAAGGGGAATTTCGCCTGTAGAATTAGAAATACTGGACAATAATGACTGGTGAATTGCTTATAAAGAGTGTTGCCTGTGTTATGTATGCTTCAGCAATTTAAAAAAAATTCAAAAATAATCACTGAAAAAAAATTAAATTGCACAAAATTCTAAAACAAAGTAAAAATTAAAAAACATGTTTCTGTACGTTCAGTAATATCAATAGAACCCTATAAGGGTAGCTCAATTGCTTACAATGAGCAATTTCAGGCAGCATATGGGTGCAGTGGTTAGCATTGCTGCCTTGTAGCTACCACTGGGTTCAATTCCACACCTGGGGTGCTGTCTGAGTAGTCTGTACCCAGCCCCACCCCCCCAGTCTAAGTACATGTGGGTAGGCTAATGAGCTTCTGGGAAGTTTGGCCCTGGTGTGAGTGTGGCTGTGTCAGCAACTGCTGTTCATCCAGGGTGAACTGTGACTTGGACCGTTTTAGGCACTAGCCCGCCTGTCACCCTAAATTGGAGAAAGCAGTTGAAAAATGTGAAAAGTACAAACAGTTGGAAATTCAACTTCTTCAATAATCTCTCTTCGTTAGGTATATTTTACATCTGATGAAAAATTATCTTAAAATGTAATATAAATGAGCATGCATTTTACCCCTGGGTAGGGTTACAAGAACCAATAAATGTTGACTCTGGTTGTACTTCTAGTTGCACTGTAAATGACAAAATTAAACATTTACCCAAAAGAAAACAGGATTTCTTACAACTTTTCATGTTACTCAATTTTTTTGGATACCATCACTGAAGGGCGAAATGTACATTACAAACAGCCAAAACGTCTCAGAGCATTAAAATACAAGCAAATTACAGGATCACTTGGCCTCAATTTCACCTGGGCCCCACAGTGCGGCAATAAGAGTAGAATATGCCCAGGTAGTGTGGGAAGGCTAACCCTAACCCTAGCTGGGGTATCAACTGAGCACATCTGCCATGTGTCCCTGAAGCCCTCCAGTCATCAGATTAAAAACATCTTCCTCAAAGCAAAATATAAGATTCTAAAACAACCAAAAACTTATGGAAAAGTATCTTCTTCAATACACTATCTTTTTTAGCTGACAAACCCTGTTGTAATATAAATGAATATGCATTTTGGACTTGGGTACTGTATGTGTAAAGGTTTTAAGGTGTTTTCCCCAAAATATTAAAATAGTAAAAGTAATCAGTAGGGCGAAAACCGCAGATCAATTAGCTGTATGTGAAAGAAAAAGAACATGTGTCTTACCATTTAACCGGCTTATAATACTGAACATAGTTTTAGTGTACCAATTTTCTCATTGGCATTCTGAATGCTTTTTTGTAACATGCCAATCCTTGTTTGTTCCACTAGTATTTAAGGTACACAAAATAAATAACCTTACCAAATACAGTAAAACAAACAAACTAATATAATTGCTCTTTCAAACATTAAACCACCAGCTCAAGAAACATGCTTTGACATCTGTTCTGGGATACTGTTGTTGATACACAATGAACAGCACAGTTGTCATTGTTTTATCACCAGAATAAAGAACATCAGACACATATTAGAGTTGCTGAAAACTGCATGAAAACAATCTGGTGTGTTGGCTTAGATTTCCTGGCTTCTACTAGAACTAAAAAGGCACTCAGGCAGCAGAGAGGCTGACTGCAATCCTGCATTCTGTTTCCAAGACTAACAACTGTATTATGCAAAATGTGGAGGGACATATGGGGTTCATTTTCAATTAATCTTTTTGAGAGAGTTAAGAAAACTCATAAAATCATGAAATAATCACAAAAGAACTAAATGACAACTGAGTGCTGAAGCGCATTGTAGTTAAGACAAAAACACATTGTTATCAGTAATGGAAGAAAGGCTTCTTACTGTCTATTTTGTTAAGCCACAAAAACAAGGATTCTTAACCTTCTTAACCAAAATTATTGAGGCAGTCTATCTCAGGGAACTGAACACTAAAAAAATAATCTGTCAAATTAAGCAGATTAAAGTGGTTATTCAATATTTACAGTCAATACTGTAACACGTTTAAAAAATAATATAGGATCTCTTGAAGCCCAATATAATTTTAAGAGCTGTGAGGGTCTCTCATTTTCACAACTGTAAAAGAATGTCCTCCTAGAATGATTGATTTTTGCTTCTATTTGTTTTTACTGAACTATATGATTATTTGGGTTTCTTCAAAGTTCCTAACTGTGAAATCCAGATTTACAGGGTAATATCTGATGTACTCCAAAATTATATATTAAATAAAAATAAATACAAAATTAAATATGACATTTGACAGGCATAATAAGTATTACTAAAGTAACATTACAATTTTAATGGGCAGATGTTACTGTAAAGCCTATATTGAAAGACACTGAAGCTGGTAATATTTAACCATACAGAACAGTGGATTAATCTCACACACATAATGTAAGATTTGTTTAAAAATCACTTTTCCTTACCGCCACATTCAGAAAAGAAAAACGGATTTTATAGCTTTATATATCATTTTATTATAAATAAATCAAACAAGACGGAAATGAAATATGAATCTAAACCACTCTCAGACCTAAAGCATGTGCTCAGAATACACTGTTTTAAGAAAAACATATTGGCACATTCTTGATGTTACAGAGGCTCCACTGGGTCCAGGTCAGGCGCCTGCTCTTTGCTCTCCTTCCAGACATTGTCCATTATTTTTAAATTACTTTCAAATGCTCAAGCAAAAAACAAACCCTGTATCCGGGTGGCTCCCTATGAATGCAGCTCAAGTGATGAACGGCCCGGTGCTCCATCTCCTCCACTGTGCATCAAGTGTCTCGCTCAGCTGTGGCCACAGTTCACGCTCTGCCATCGGAGCGAGACGACACCACAGCTCAGTTCTGAGCTGGTTTGGGAGGGTGGCTCAGTTTCTGACGCATCTCATCTGCATGCCCTCTGCTCTTGGCTCTTTTCTCTTCGTACTGGAAGAAAGGTGTTAAGAACTGAGAGAGCAGCTAGCACAGAGAGAATAGTGTGTCACAGTTTCCAACACAAAATGTTTTTTCTTGTTTTGTATTGAACATATGTGAAGAAGACTCAATGGAGAAATTAGGAATCCACTTCAAACGCTTTGTGGCAGGCCTACCTCTACACAGAAATCAAGAGGAACCATAATGATCCTGGGCAAGGTGACTTTATTTTCACAAAATACTTCACTGTCACACACGACAAAGACCTGCTCTAGACTAACCCAACGTCAGCTACCACTGTGTGTCTCTTTATAGACCAAACGTGTCCAAATCTACCCCAGGTGAATATGTGGCTCGCAGTCCTTCACTAATTACTTAATTTATCAATTAATATGCCATATGTGAAGCTGTATACATAAACCACTAGAGGCTTTAATGACCTCTAGTCCTAAACAGAGACAGTGACCCCTTTCTTCACTCCTCCCGGCCTGCCACACACTCCTTTACACATTCGGCATTCCACATGTGCTCATAAACGTCCTTTGTAGCGGCATTACTGGAATACACCTGCAGATGGCAAATCATTATCCTCATGAGCCTTCATAATGATCATTATGATTTACAATACAAAATTAGATTTTTATAATTTTATTAAGAGTCAAAAGTCAAATTTCCCCAAAATCATCTCTGTTGTGTATCTCATGATAAATATATAGGGGAACTCTGCATGCAATTTTTTAAATTTTGTCTTCGGGAAATGCCATATCATCCCTTTATTAGATCACATGTAGAGGTCAGAAAGAAACGGTGTTAGTCGCTCAAACCTAAAATATAGTAACCGTGTAAATACACCACAAGGTCTATCCTCACCTCCTTCTTCAAACAGTGGCGCATTGCTCGATCCAAGTCATTACAGGTGCCAAAAAATTTGAGAACACTGTGCTGAGAATGAAAATAAGACACAAAATTGTGTGTTTAGTAATGATTTAGTTAGGATTTTTTCCAGTTTTATTTAGTAGGGTCTGCTAAAATAGAGATTCACCCAAAATAAACCATCATCTTGAATTTCAGTACAGATACCAAAGGACTGTATTCATGTTTTTATTTTCATGAAAAGAGAAAAAAGTCACAAAAACTTTAAAAACTTGAAATATTGGCTTGGATAAACTTTGATGTTCAGTATATTATGCATGCACACGTGCATCTGAAAATACATAGTAACTCTGGATTTAATGGGCTGACAATAAAAGTCAAGAAGAAAGAAGTTGATTTCCAAGTAACAATAATTCGAAACCTATTGGCTTAATAATGTCAAGAAATATTAAGAAAGCTAAGAAACTAAGTAGTCATTTATTATGTCTTCTTATGAAAAACCACAACAAGTCATGATTGCACAAAACAGCTGGCCCACATCTGAAGTCCTGTGATCCTGTGTATAGTAAGGGGCTTTACAGAGCTACAGAGAATTGGCCGTTAATGATTTATTTCAGTTAGATGAGGCTTCAGGTTCGTCCCCCACAAGTCATGACTTCTGCACACCAGCCTGCAGCTGTATCCAGGAAACAGACCTGTCTGCACGTGGCCTGGCGCGTCACTTTTCAGTGTACATGTTTGCAGACTGTCCTGAATACAAATAGCTGCATCCTGAAAGCCAGTCAAAAATATTCAAATTTCTTGCCCCATATGCCAAATATTTTATAGTAGAATATTTCATACCAGAACTAAGATTATGTTGCTGTTTGTGTTGTTGTTTATAACAAAAAATAGTTTTGGATAATGTACATTACATTAAAAAAACTCTTAAAGTGTAAAAGGAAATACAACCTACCTGCAGCATGCAAATATACAGAACACAGAGTACAATTGCCTATAACTGTCTCTGTTTCAGTTCCTTAACACGAGGATTTGTGACATAAGTTAATTGTCAGGTGTACTCTGAATAGCCACTTCCAGCAAGAAGGAAAAATGCATCTACTGAAAAAAGATTGATCACAAAGCAATACTGAGTTTTATTTTTAAGGAGCATTAAGACCAATATCATTATTACCTGTCAGCACTAGTGTGTGAAGTCACATTTTAAAATTATTTTGCATGTAGCACACAGCCACAGAGCACATTTATTGTACTTTTCAGTAAGAAAAGTGGGAGGCTTCATTCACTGAAAACCAACTCATGGAGTGTAAATTTCAAATGCAGAACAACTATTAGTATCAGTACCAACACAATGGTTACCGGAAAAGTGTTTTTCATGTCATACGACTTTCCAAATGTTCCATATTTACAGGTTACAATGCCTTTAAAACACAGTTATCATTGTCTTCAATAGATCCCAATGTAGCAAGACTGGCCTTGTGTTTTTGACATTATTAACTGTAATAATTAGTAGTGATTCTTGTTTTCTACCAACAACTATTTTGTGTTTAAAAGGACATTCTCAAAGGTTCTATTCAAAAACTGCTGAACGTGGTGTCGGTGTCAGTAAATTGTGGGGCTGACGTAAATGGGCTCTGGAATCAGTCACCAAAGTCACCTGTAAACACTGCCTGAGGGAATGAGCAGGCAAAACAGTCAGCAGCTCTAATATGAAGTGTAAAAGCTCACCTTACTTTATAATTAGCAGTTTCAATGTTTTTAACTTGGAAACAGATCTGGCTTTGATTCAACAAATTCACATTATGAAACGCGAGCAACAGACACATGACGTACTACAGTTGCTATACTGTACATATGTAGCTTCCCAGTGCCAAAAAAAGACTCCCTCTGGTGGCACAGCTGAACACAAAACTGCAGCTGTTGCCCATTACCTGATGAACATTGTACTCTATAAATCACAGAAAGCCCCATCAGTACAAAGGCTGAAAATAATAAACATAATAATAATACCACATTCTATATTCAGTATCATTTTTATCATAGAAAAGATGAGTGTCTTACCTCCATATGACACTGTTTGAGCTGTGCGATCAGAGCGTTGCATTCATCTGTGTGCAAGTGAGGAGACAGGTCTGGATGCATCCCGAGTTAAGGTTTTATCTGCCCAGTAGTAATACGGAGAAAAAAACATGTCCTTCCTTTGTGCACACATTGTAGTGACATTTTAACCAAAAAACATATTTACATATTAGTAAAGCATACAAGCATCAAGTTTCTTGGCTGTAGAGTATTTTTTTCTTGTATTATAAGATATAAGATTACTATCTAAGAAAGTTGGGTAGCCACTTGAGCAGAGTTTTCACACTTCTTACATTCAATAAAGTAAAGTAAGTAAAGCAACAGTTAATGGGCAAGTGCTATCAGTGGATAATGTGCAGACATGCAGGGGTAGCATATAACTATATAACTATATGGCAATTACTTACAGCAATTGTAAATTATTTTAGAATTATGGTAAATGTACAGCGTTCTGATATAGATATGTGGATTCCTGTGAGTGTGTGAGATATGAATGAGTAGGTGTCCATTATGTCATGTCATGTTTAGTTGTACTGTTTATATGTTTTGTCAGTTACATAGTTGTACAGCTAGACAAATGCCTGAGAAATCAGACAACAATGTACTGATATCATAGTAGGGCTGAACTAAAGGATACTAGCTCCACCCCAGCTCATTCCATTGTCAGAAGTCATATCGAGAATAACCAATTTTAGAATATTCCAGTTCACATCTCAAGTACTTCTCTGCATTGGTCAAAAGTAACAAGGAATTCCGACAAAGAAGAGGTTTCTTCAAAACAGTTGCCAAATGCTAAAATGAAACAAATCAGTGTGTAAGGCAAGAGTTCACAAATGATTTGTGCATGTTGAATGTACCAACACCATGCAGTCTTTATCTTCTGTGCAAGATGGTTTTTCATCTATTACCATTGAAAGCAACTGTTTGACTCTTAAATAAAATTATCTTTTTTTCAAACTTGTGATTTAGTGATGAACGGGTTTTCAGTAAATGAGAATAAATCTTCTGCACTCATAACTCTTTTTTGTTTATAACTCCAGTTATATCAATTCAATGGCAATCTAAGTCACTGTACTGATAATACTGAAAGTACACTGTACTGAAAATCAGAGCAGGTTTCAACTCTTTCGAGGCTTTCAGTAGATCTATAACAGGGTCATTTAATGTAAATTCAGCTTGATTCTGGCATGACAATTTCGGAATTTAAGAACATAAAACTATCTTTTGATGGGACAATTTGACACATTTAAAGTGCTGATGTTTGTAACGTTTTTTAGGAATTGATGTTAAATCATCTTTAATTCTTTCATAAAATACAAATCTTTCAAAAAGACCATTAAGGTTTCCTTTGATATGACATTCTACAGAAAATGACCAATTGGAACCTCTGATAGTTTCAGGACTATGACAAATTATATGAGAAGGTGAGGAGTGTCATTTAAGGAAATATAAAAAAATAGCACATGATCCCAAATAAACTATTAAAAAACATTTCCATTCTTGAACATGAATTTAAGAAGTGTCTTTGAACACCCAGATTATATCTGTAGCATGTCTAGATCAGAAGTTGCAATGGCTTCAGAGACGCCTGGGTAGGTAAAGAAAATGCAACAAAAGAAGCACTTTTAAGGACTGTAGCACAAAAATATTTTAGATAGTAATGTGAAATTTTGCCTGAAATTCTTTCTTCACAGAGTAATTATGACCACCGAACACCGAAAAAATGGTCATGTCAGAACCAGGTCGATTTCACACAAGATTAACCAATACCTGCATTGAAGAGCATGCTTTCAAACAATGCACAAATAGAGCTGTCGATCACTGTAAACACAAGGCAGCAGCACGGAGTAGCGCTTAGGACTCCAGGCCAAAAGGTTTTGGGTTCAATCCATAAAGGGATAATGATGTGGTACCCCTGAGCAAAACAGTCCACTCAGATCGATTCAGTAAATGTCCTGTTGAATAAATGAGTATACTCCAGGGCAGGACATTGTTGCAAAGGAATTTCTTCTCAATAACTTTGATTTTAATTGTCTTGTTAAATAAAGAATTCAATAAAAATGTCACACACCACTTTACATGGCAAGGTTATTACTGCAGGAAAGATCTAGAACATGTACATCTTAAACTTTTTTCACTAAAGGAATGTGAAGAATTTATAAAGAGGCAACTTAAAAAAAAACTGAAATACTAACGATGAACTGAAAAGAGAGCAATTTCCTGTAGTGACGATGTGATGAAGCAGTTTCCAAATTGGCCCCTGGTAAGCATGACTTTGTCCACATGTGTGTGTTTTATGAATAACTGTCAGCAGTACTGAAAAACCACTACAATGCACAGACAAAGCTGCTTTTCACTAGTTTTTGTCAGTCGCCTGATGAACCTTTTACTCCACAGGTCAATGAGTGCCCTAATTCAAAACCCCAAGGGGCATTTTCTGTATATAAAGTATAAATAAGTATCATCACCAACACAGCATGATAACAATAATTGTAATTATAAAAAGTAAGACTTGATAGTGGGTCATTTGTTTTTTGTTATTGTACAAGAGAAATTCATAGAAACCAACTCCTCCTCAAAAGACAAAAACCAGACCCACAGTTTGTTTGCACATCAGTGGCTATTTTCTTCTCATGACTGAAACTAAATTCATCCTCAAAGTTGTATTACTGTTATATATATATACACTGTGAACTATATATCTAGTTTGGGTACTGTATATATCTTTCAGCCTACATTGGTATTATTCACACATATCATTTTGATTTTCACAGTCCATAAGAGGCAGTGCTACTCAAAACCTAAAACAATTTTCCCACTAATATCATTAATAATTTTTAGAACTACCTTCAAAAGCATTAAATCAAATCTTGCTCCAAAAACTGTACCATTAGTGACCACTATTAATGTACATAGAGGCCTCTGAACTAATTGTGTAGCTCCTTAAAGCACTAATTTGGATGTAAATTAATTTGGTCATGCCACAGCGCAGGACTGGAATTTTTACGATTTTCCATTACCTACTGTATTAACTTCTTTGTTTGAATTGAGTAGGTTGTGTATATATGTATCAAGTGCTACAATCAAAGGCATCATGACTGTAAGCTTTAAAGCAACAAAATGTGAAAACTGTGCAAGGGTCTGAATATATTTACAAAGCACTTCATACAAAGACTACAGTAGTTCAAGTAGGCAGCTGTGTCAGCACACGAACAATAGTTTTTTTCCCTGCAGAAAAGAGAAGAAAAACATTTTTTCGGCTGTGGAGCCTTCTGGCCCAAAGAAGGCTCCAAAGCCGAAACATTGTTTCTTTTCGGCATGAAATATACCCTTCCTTGTTCATATAAAGGCTATGACCAATAACAGAATCTAAATCAATTAGAATAATCATTTGATTACGTTTGAATTAATTACACACTATTACTCAAATCAGCCGTGACTGTTTCAGATAAGCTGCGAGTTCAACTTACAAATTAAGGTCTTGATGAAATGAAATGTCCCTCTCCTATACTCGTCCTGCGATTTATTTACCTTAAGGCAACAGCCTACCTCGCAGCACCTGAAAGAAATATTTCGAAACGGATGTATTATGTGATGCATCTGAGCATTTATTTTGGTAACGCAAATAAAACCAATCTTTGGAAGCAATTACCCGTACATGTGCATACTGGACATTCAATATTACCAAGTATATAACTCATACTTATAAACAATACACCGCCATGTAAACACTTCAGAAGGAGATTGTTATTGACCGGTAAAGGACGACTGTACTAATTTGCTGCCCCGCAATAACGTGTAACATAACAAGGACCCCATGCATCGTAATATGAAATGGGTGATATTTAAGGAGCCGTAACTAATTGTTGCGTCTTTATTGTAAAAAGCGGTTTGTTTACATGTTTATTTTACGTCGCATTATAGAAGCACACAGCAACTTACTTTCAACCTTGTGTAACTCGCTTCGAAAAAAAGAACAAGGAAACTCGAGGTTAGTGACAATCCGACAAGCCATTCAAACGACCACTTCCGTTTCACAAAGACCAATGAAAACCACGCTTTGTAGGTCGATCTCCAGAGTTGTGCACAGCAGTTTTATTGTATTCAGTTCTGATGGATATCTGAGGAGCAATGTGAAATTACTATAAAATGACTTTTCAAAATATATTCCGCGATCAGAGTGAATGTTGCTGACAAAGAAGAAGAATCTATTTAAAATGTTCTTTGAAATGTTAAATGATATCACAATTAAACGTTTTAATGCCACAATAACCAAAACAGACTCAGAGATTTTGTAGTGTATTATTAAGCTTTTCTCATTTCTATACATAAACCGTTGTTAGTAAGTGTCAAGCGCAGAACCCCAAACCCAGAAGATCACAGCCCTCTCTCTGCAGAGTTCAGTAAGTCCTCCTTCCCAGCAGTGGGAGTCAGAAATGAGCACATAGCAGAAAATCAAGGGTAAATATTATGGATCACCTACTGTGTCCCGTTCCTTCTTTAATGTATTTCTGTAATTTTGTGTGCTTGCATACGGAGCTGTAGATGACAAAGAACGGCATAAAGAATAAAGCATAACAATATAAAAGGAAATATGGAATAAAAAAAGGAATAAGGAAATAAGCCAAATCACAATTTTCGGAGGGTCAGGGACTACATATCCCAGGATGCACTGCTCGGCCTCACCGGAAGGAAGTGGGTTGTTAAGCAGCTGATGCTTGTTTGGCGGCAGTTTTGATTTAAGGTAGGGAGTTTCTTTCTTTAAATAAAAGAAATGTGGTTATTGTTATGAAAGAACAAATAAAACGATATTTTCTATGTAACGCTTGTATTTCTGGAATGCATCGAATAATAATAGTTATTACACGTACTGTACCCGGTACTAGCGAAACGTCTGCGGGTCTAATTAATATATTTCTAATGTCGACTGAAAAACATTTCTGTATTGTTCTATTTTTGGTTTATGCCGGACCCACTGGCAAAACAGCGTTTCTTATGAACATGAAATTCAGACTACTATCGGCGATTCAAAAGCCACATTTAAAGCGTTAAGCTAATATATATATTATGTAAAAATATTACACGAAGTCGTAATAAAATCTAAAAGTGATCAGCCATCGTTTTATTGTCACTTTAACGCTTTCACCAAAAGACCACGAATTTCGAGTAATTCTTATTTTCTTTATCGGTAATGAAGTTTTTCCCCCACTTGATCTGAGATGGATGATTCGGTGTGGAAACTGCTGAGACGGGTTCTGCAGAGGATACCCGCGTCCAGAGTGCAGGCTGTGCTGACCAAGTGGGACCACCTATCGAGAAGGCAGCTGCAGTCTCTCAACTTCGCTCAGTCTCGACAGCAGCTGTGGGAGAACGTCATTGCTCTTTGCCAGGTAAATGCGCCTGCGTCACGTTTTATTTCTAGTCCATCTTCTCGAGTAGCATGATGATTTAAGTCCGTTCGTTTTTTTTTTCCCCAGGAAAATGGCATGACGATGAAACATGTGACAGAACTGGATTTGATTTGTAAGTACGTTTTGATCAGCGTTGCTCAAACCTTTTAAGCATAAACTTGACTGTTGAATGGAAACCATCATTACACTGACGATACATGATCTTTGAAAGATAAACACCTTTTCCTGAGCTCTTCACGTTTAAAGGTGTAGAACTATTTTCCAGGAAATCAGAGCAGATTCGTGCCATGTCCTCTTGAATATACTGAAACGCTTTAATCAGTTATTATAAGACACTGTAGCGCAGGTAATGCACGTGTAGAGAGAGGCTACAAGATCTATTTTTGCAGGATCAAATTTTGTTGGACACTTGACAAGGATCCATATGTAGTGAAAACGTTAAAAATAGCACAAATCCAATACAAATGTATATGCATTTTTCTACATTCCTGCTTAACAACAAAATTATTTATGACAGGACCCTACCTGCCATGGAGATGTGTCTAATCTAAGCACTATTGGCACAATAAGGTAGAAACCTTAAGTTGACATCACACATACTGTGTTGACAGGGACTTGTCCAAGTGCACTCAGTTTCATATTGACAGCTAACCTGATCTGTGAAATAATGGGCTGCAGTAAATGCAACTGGCTCATAAATGGTGTATAATCAAGAGACTCTATATGAATCTTCCTTCCCAAATCCATTTAAGATTGCAAATGTCAACTCATTGCAAGACCCATCTTTTTACTAAAGCTTTTGGTGTGTAATTTACTTTTGATTTCATTAAGTCAATTTAATATGCATTTTTCTCTCTTTTCCTCACTTTTATGTGTTCCCACTGTCATGTACTTTGTTGCACATGCTAGAGTAAATATCTTGAGTTTCTTGTAAAGCACTCATTACTCAAATTGTAATAACTCTTATTTTTAATTTATATCTTAAATTTTACAGACCGCATTGAATATCCTGATCAGGGGAACTGGCAGGTCTATCAGCTGTGTGACCCTAAAGGTAAAGTGATATCATAAATAACATTATTTTAATACTTGGTCTGAGACAGTTTCGTAACACATCAGAATCAAGGCTGCAAATGCTAAATATTTCATGATTGTAATGCATCAGAGTGATATTGGTGGGATAATAATCACATTTTTATACAGATGAATTGCAAGTTGTATCAGAACCCTAATCCCGACCTTAGCCTAAACCATATACCAAACCCTAGTTATTTATTTTACAGAAGGTAGCTTGTTCTCGCCACAATACTTTAAAAACATACTAACCGCTGGTTTATTACCCACTAATAGAGGGTAATGTGTGATCAACTGTATTGGCCTTCAGAATTCTTCTGTTTTCTATCGGTGACGATCTATGACCAGATTAATTTATAGCAAAACTGTTTTAATTGCGGTTTATTTATTGTGGTGTAAAAGACAGCATTCCCTGTTTCAGAATTCAGCTAACTACATTTGATGGGTATTTCCAGAAAATTTGGGATAAATCAATATTCTTAACATCATTTAAATATTTCAGGTTTTATCTGTAAGTGGGGTATCTTATTTTCGTGAAGTTTTGTGAAACTGAAAGAAACGTAGTATCACGGACTCAGTATTACACCAGGGTAAGTGTGATTTTAATGCTTAAGACTTTTGCATTGTGTTGCTGATATAGTAATTCTCTGTGCATTGTTTTTTTTTTTATTTCCACAGATGAAGTGTTGTCTTCAGGTTTGATTGAATTCAGGCAGCAGTTCAAAACCCACCTTAAAGAACTCATCAATCATGTAATTATCAAGTCATTTGAATTTGAACCAAATGTATCCTGATTTTCCCACATGGTCACAGATGATCGTCGTCCATGAGAACATAGTTTCCTCATAAGCCCAGTACGGGATCTGCATGCTCTTAGGCAGGTCTTAGGCAGGTTAAACATGTGTTGTCTTGGTAGTTTTCTCCATAGTCCTACTACAGTGCTCTAGTCAGTGCTCTCGCTTTGCTTCTGCATTCTGACATCTTTGGCTCTTTAAGTTCCGAGCTCCTTCCCAGTTCTTCCATCATCGGGTTCGGATAAGGGCCACTGTCTCTTTGATGCTGAAGTTGCATTCTTCCAATTTTCCTTTACCGTATCATACCTTGTGGTGCTGCTTAGGAATTAATACTGATGTTGATGTGAATTTCAGGAAATTCTAGTTTTTTTTTGTTAATAACAGCGAAAGATATGAGATCTATTTCTATTAAGACATGTATTGCAGCATCATAAGCATACTGGAGTTTAATGACTAAAACTGGGGTGGTTTGAGTTTTGGACTGGGGTCGTCGTTGGTTAAAAAGTTGGACAGCTATTCGATCACTCATCAAATGGACTATGACACTCAGAAATATTGAAATTAGAGTTGGGAAGCTGACACTCCCTTGTTTGACTCCTGTCTAGACTTCATCCTTTAGCGAGGATTATGGCATATGTATCTAGAAAAATAACATTTCATTTTCATGGTTGTGAATGAAGCAGGTAAAAGTTGCTGAACCTTGTCAGCAAAACGTGCAGACAAAATCTGGAGGGATCCAGATCCTCACTATTCGGATCCTCACCAGCTGCTCCAGGGGTGCCGTATAAATGGCTGACCCTGCGCTCTGACCCCAAGCTTCTCTCCCTGTCTGTGTGTTTCCTGGAGAGCAAGCTGGGGTATGCGAAAAGACAAATTCCTAATACAAAAAATTGTATATGGCCAATAAAGTGATCTTATCTGATCACCCTGTCAATGCAGATCCTACTCAAGTGAGGACGAAGGGGAGGTCTTTGGAATCCATGGTTATTAATAGAGGTTGAAGTAATGTACTATTTGAGATAAGTCAACAACATCGCTCATCTTTTTAGGCTGAAGTTTTGTGTTATAATTAGCATTCAACTCTTATAGTGACTGTAACACATGCAGATAAAAACATAGCACCATGGTGTGTTCTTAAATTTTCCTGTTTTGTGAAGGAAACGTGGTATGATGGATTTGGTTAGCTTTATCCTTAAAATGAAGTCTCTTGTTAGTGTTATTTTGGCAAACAAAGATATGATTTGAAGTAGTTGAGAAATTCATATTGCACAGACTGACTTTCATTAAACACTGAAGCCACCTTTTATCTTGTAGGTATCCATAAAAATAAAGAAACATGACGATGAGGCTGTATGGATCCGCATTGCCTGGGGTGACAATTACACAAAGCCAAATCATTTTAAACCAACATACGTGGTGCATTATCTTCAGACTCCGTATGTGTTTCTGTCTGGCGTCAGTGTGAAGCACAGACCTTTATTGTATGAGGTAATGTGTGACAATCACTTTATTTAATTGCCTGTTTTCTTTATGAATGTGTTAAAGATGCCAGTATTGTTTAATGGTATTATGACCCACACTTTCACTTGGAAGTTAGTGTTGCTTTCCTTTAATGAATCGGTATGTTAATCAGTATATTGGAACCATTCAGAATCTTTCACTTCAATTTTCCATTTAAACTTTGTCAGAACAGTTTTGAAAAATGGACTGAGCTCAGAAGACTTAAGTTTAATAAGTATAATACCTATTTCTTACGCTTCAAAAATATTCTTCTTAAATGTATTGTATACAGCAGTACTCTGTTACAATACACCCAAAAGCCATCGTAATAAAGAATTTTCTGATCAGACCTCCCAGTTTGGCCTTATTACAACATTGCTTAGATTTTTATGCCAGCACGAGGACCCTTGTGAAATGTATTTGGGGGTTAAGCACGTCATTTACTATTCGTAAAGTTCACTTTTCCTGGTTTAGAGTCAAATGTTCTGTATTCAACAGGCTTTGGTTCTTGCTGCACAATATGAGTCCATCAAGGACATTCACCTCAGTGGGCGATGCTTCACTTCACTGAGAGATCTGTTGATGTTGAAGCAGGTAGGCAGATCCTTAGTAGAAAACTCTGTAGTTTAAAAACATTGTATTGAAAGGCAGAGAAAAAATATCTGAAATTTATTTTGTAGACTTTTCCGGCACACCACCCAAGGCCCTTACAGGACCGAAACCCCCCTAACTCTGCAGGTGTGTAAAGTTCAAAAATCAACAAACCATTTAATTAGAATATGGGTTTGCCATAGATGTTTCTAATGGCATTGTCAAATAAATTTTAAAACATTTGATCAAGTTAAAAATAAGTCAATTAATACCTCATTCAACTTATTCAAGTGCTGTTGATTTCACTTTCAAGTTGCACCAACTGCTATCCTTATGATTGTTTAATTGTCATTGGGGCACCCATTCTAACAGTCTTATAAATGTTTCTTCTTGAAGTTGTTTGAGATAACTGTATTCTTTCACATGAAGATCCCAATATTCAAAATGAACATGAAAAACAAGTGGAAGATGCCTTACAGATAGCTTCTGAAGCATTTGGAGACGGCCCTTTGCCCAGGCTACAAACAGCTGTTTATAAGGTTTGTTGTACTTTAATCTTGTAAAAATGGTTCATCTTTGACTGTTGTCTGTTGTAAAATAAAAAAAACCTTAAACTGTAGGACCTGGATGTTCCTGGAGTTTATATAATGTACATTTTTAAAAGAATAGTTCTTGGAATGCCTACAGGTTTTCACACTTCCTGGAAATGGTCTAGGTTGATCTCGGTGACTAGAAAAAAAATGAAGAAAGTGAAAATCTGGGAAAATGGTCAAATGTAGCAGAATGAATAAAGTATATGTTTGGAGACTAAGTAGATATCTGGTAAGCCTAGTTTATAAAGTCCTTCATCAAAGTTTGTGAGAATATTTTTTGCTTGGTTGTTGGTAGGCAGCTGTGTGATTTATTGAATTACAGTTTGAAAGTATAATGCAGAAATAATTCATCAGGTAAATATAATGGCAGATACTCTACAATAAATGTCAATTGTTATAAATCTGTGAAACATATTTGTGTGCATTTAATTGAATGATCAGGTTACCTTACTTACATTAACTATTGTATATTTTAGCTGAAATGCAAATGCACTATAATGAGAAACATGACATTTGTATGATTAGCCTCTCAGTTGTAAACTTATATTTGCCAAAAGCCTCTCATTCCCAGATGCAGGGCACCACACAATGTAAGAATAAATTGTATACATTCTGCTGTTTTCATTTACACTACCCTCCTTTCATTTCTGATTACAACCAGAATGTCCTTGGGCTAGATAAGTAGAAGATAAGCAAGTTAAACTTTTTCTTCCTTAGTGTGAACCTACTTTTGGGACAACATGTTGTATTGCAGACTTTTGTTTACTGAACAACAGAGTCCCCAAACATTTTAAATAACTTTTTCCCTTCCAAAGTATCTTAGTCCTACTCTAAAAAATGTCCCTCTTAGCATGATGCAGTTTCAGTACTTCAGACTTATAAATTCCTTATCTTTAATGTCCAGCTATATGCAGTCATGTACTATGGGTTATTTCTTTTGTGATGTTCATCTAAAGTATATCCCCAGTTTTGGTTTACTTGTGGTTTGATCAAGAGAATATGTGAAAAAAAGTGTACTGATTACATCTGAATAAAACATTAGGTGAGAAAGAAGGTCTTATCTCGCCTTTATCCCACCTTTTTCTCACAGTTGGAAACAAAGTTCAAAGATCCTGAAAATGGACTATTGAGTAACCGGCAAGAACCATTTAAAGGAGTTGTCAAGTTTTCTAGCAGCAGTCTCCTGGACTCCTTATCATATGCTGTGACTTCAGGTAAGTCTTTGATGTCTGCTGCACTACACAGAATTGTTTTTGTATACATTAATGTTAGGTTCCTTTGAGAGAAATGTACAAATTGGAAGTAACCGGAATAGGAGACGCTCCTCTATGCAAAGGACCGTGGGAGTCTGGAAGGAGCAGCCCAGCTGTGTTATTGCCACTACCCTCTGGTTTCTTTCGATGAATTGCTGGATGTGATCCTTAGATCAATTAGCTACTAAAAACAAATGAGCTAAATCCCTTTCTCTTGTTTGCCTGGTTTCTAAACTTTATCATGATTCTATTATCACAAGGTGGCATGCCTTCAGGTGTCTAAAATGAATGTTACTGTTTTCTCTCATGGATACAAAACTGTCTAGCGACCTTTATGGAACACCTTTTTTTTTGGCGGTATCTGATGGATTTTAAAAGTAGAGGTAAATTTCTATAAAACAAATTCAAAGATTATGTAAATAAGTAGTCATTTATGGTACATTTTGTTTCCTGTTCTTTGGATTTCAGGCATTGCAAGTGCGCCTGTGACACCTCTGCTTTCGTCTATAACCCGGAAAGGACGGAATTACTTTCTCATTACAGATAAGGGTCCTGGAGTCTCCGCAAATACTCCTGGACCTAAAATCTGATCATTCCCATGCTTTTGTGTCATAGTTGCTTTTGTTGTATAATGGTCTCTGTTTTTTTAAGTGATTTTTTTTAATTGTTGCATGTAAGTGCTTGTATACTATTTAAAGAATTGCTTTTCTTTTCATTGTTGTGAAGGTTTTGGGTTTCACTGTTTGTCACGGAGTTCTTACAGTGTGAGTACTTGAGGTGTATCTGTCATTTTATAAAAATGATGACCTGCAAAACAGAGTACTCTTAAATGTCTTTAGTATGCTTATTTTTACAAAAACACTGCTAACCAACATGTAAATTGTTAATTTACTCTTTAAATAAAGTTTAATTTCAAGAAGACCATATTATTTCCTTTCCTATGATTGAAATATTTAACATTCACTTTAATAATTATCTGTACCATCTGTTGCACTGCTTAGGATAATTTAGTGTCTATCAATCTTAAGCCTCATCAAGAGAAATATACAGATGGACACTAAGTGGTGGTGCATTATAAACTAGAAACAGGAGGCACTTTATAAACAGGGTGGTGGGAGTTTGGCACAACCTTCCTAGACACCCTCGGATCAATTAGCTGTTAAAATCCAATCAACTAGAAAGGCCAAATTAGCTCATGTTTGCAAACTTTGTTCTTACCGTGTTGTTTAGAATCCTAGTATAGTAGCTATTTGTATTTGGACCTTTGGAACATTTTAGTTTACTTACACATTATGTCGACAAACCAATCATTCTTTTTTTACCTTTTAGTAAAGCATTTATTCTTTAGTTATTAAAAATGTTACATATTTTTACTTTACTATGTTTGTGTACCTCTTGTGCTGCTTTGTGGTTTGAGTTTTATTTGGAGACATTAGTCAGGGTGGCAAAGAGCTATACCCAAGTAATGTATTGGGGATACCCAAGTAATGTACAGCTCTTTGCTCAAATATTCTGACCCCACCTATGGTGTGATATTTTGTAAAATTACAAAATAATGTAAACACATTGTTAAACTACTTTATTCAAAACCTGAATGAACAAGCTGAAGACTTCTAATGGGAAGATAATTTACAGTAAATGTCAGCAAAAACTAAAGAAAAACTTAAATGTTTATTGGATATGTTTATAGGCAGGTAGTATAGCCAGCTGGGTCCAGTTGTTGCCCATTGTTCTTGGGAGATTTTCTCAAGCTTTCTCAGGTTTGGTGATCACATACTGTATGGATAGCAGTTTTCAAGACTTCCCACATTCTCAGTAGGTTTCATGTGTGGACTGGTCCACTCAGGGTCATTCACTTCAGGTCTGAAGCAGGTTTTCCTCTAAGATTTGCTCTATGTTCCCACTTGACAGTCTTACAGGTTTATATGATGTGAAATCACAAGAAGTGCTAATAATTGCACACGGCCACTCAACTAATTTTGGCTTGTTAAGGTAATTTTGTGCACCTAAATTAATTTGCCACAGAAAGGGGGGTTTTGAATACATATGGAATGCTAACTTTTCCAAAAATAATGTCAGATTACTCCTACAATGTCATTGTATACCAAAAGAAAGACATTACTGAGCAACCAGCTCCTTGCCATTGGACAGGGATTGTCCAGGTTACCTTCTGCGCGTTTTAGAGGTGGAAGTATTCACCGCAAATACTTTTTTTTTGGCCGTTGTAAATCCGTTTAGCAAGTTGTTGTTGATAAGTCCGTGAATTGTGCCATCATCGGGCCGGCGGCCGCCCGGAAGTGAGCGAGTGCGCGCGGCGCTGTTGCTGCTCGCCTGACAACAGAAACATGGCTGCCTCTGCACCAGGCGGCAGGGCAGCCCGCCCGAGCCGCAGCAGCCGGCAGGAGGACGGCGAGGAGCCTTCTTCACAGCCATGGGAGATGATAAAACCATCCATTACGGAGCTAACCAAAGAGGTGCGGACAAATATCCTCTGCACCGTGGAAGGATGTGGCAAGATTCTCCCCAATACTCCTGCCCTGAACATGCATCTTGTGAAGTCGCACAGGATCAAGGTATCTTTATTTTATTTTATTTTTGGGGGGACGCGGGTTTAAAACTAGGCGTTTTAGTTGTTTTAGGAGTCGCGATACAACAGACGTGCATTGGAAATCTTTGTGAGGCAGCTTTTCAGTTTTGTTTTCACATGAAATATGCAAGTCATCGAGGAGTTTTTTGTTGGTGCTTTTCATTTCCGAATCAGTCGTCTTTTCATTGATTTTTTTTTAGGTTCTTTCCAACTAGGTTTCCGTCTCTAGGAACTATTGCCGTCTCAGAAATCCCTTTGCAGTTGTTTTGAAACGCACCCGGTCCTGCACGGAATCTCTCCGCGCAGTGAGCTCTCATCGCATGTTTACCAAGAGAGTCATCTCTCTCATGTTTTCCTATTTACAGACTGGTAATACAATGGCATATACGAATACAATGTGCAATGGGTACTGAGTTACGTGCTAATAACAGGCAATACAACGTCCTAAAACACGGTTAAATCGTTGCATATTTCCCATCTATTCCCGATGGATAGCCGCATATTCCTATAGTACCGTAACATATCCGGGCAGACATGGGACTCAATCAAGCGGGTTAGTCTATCCCAGGGCGCACAACATGCACCAATTCAACCGATACTGTTCAGCACTAATCATGGGCTGCCCAAGTAATCAATAGAATCAAGGCGAGAATCAAGATCTGTGAAAACCAGCCCTTCATGTTTCATTGTAACTATTGCGTAGTTTTCCCAGGTAGCATTTCCCAGTTTCATAGGGTAGGATTTATTCCAGTTCTTGTTCTTTAGACTAGTTGTTACTTCATCCAGTAGATACTGTTAGAATTTATATCGTCTCTCTGCCTCGTTGTAAGCATTGGTTTTCGAGTTATAGCACGAATATTTGGTGTTAAAAAGTTATGTAATACGGATAGTTGTGATGACTCGTGCGCTGGCTCTGCGGGGCATTAGAAGTCAAACTGTTCTCTTCGATTGCTTAACCTCTAGAGTAACAAATGGAAGAAATTAAATTGGTAGGATTTTAATTGTGGTCAGATCATGCTCAGTTTTTAATTTGGATTTTGTTTGAAAGAGTCGGCAAGAACAGGCAGCCTACGTTTTTCACAACGGCATGCCTGTGTATTATCAGGCGCAACGTTTATCCTCAGTGGTCCCGAAGGAAATATCTCCGCTTGCCTCCGCACATTTCTGACCAGTACTGACACAATGCCGCTCTGTCTTAGTGCATGATCAACGGTGAACAAAATGACTAAATGAAAGGTCTCCTTTTCATAAAATAGCAAATGAATCGAGAAATTAAAAACATAAATCATAGCTTAGGGAGTGGCAGTTACCATGTTTACCAAACTGTGAAGGTGAGAGTATTTAAGCCTCTAGGAAAAAAAAGAGAATGTTGGCTCTGAGGATTTCATGAGCTTTTGCAACCAGATAAATACTGACAAGGAAGGGATACAAGGATACCCCTCCTCCTCACTGCGTTTATGCATTATTAATCAGTACAGAATGAGGTTTGATTTCCGTTTTTAATGATGAGCCGCTCTGCTTGGCTGACTGTTCAGCTGAATGGCAGACAAAGATCTTATTTTCTGCGTGTGTTTCTGGAGGTGGAGAAATTACCTTTAAAAATGAGCTTTGGAGATGTCTTACAGAAGAGAAGATGCAAAATATTAACAGGATCCTACCTCTTAATGTGATAACAGCAGCAGTATTTTCATGCCATTCTTCCCTGGTACTGCTTCACATTCTAATATGAGTGTGAAGGCAACAAGAGCTGAAGGTCCCATGTTTTATATACAGTAGGAGTTTGTGGTGCACTGTGTGAGGATGAGCATTAAAAGTCCTGTGACCTTCATGCCACAGTCTGTAATAAACCGTATTGTCAGCTCTTTGCATTTTGATTCTGGTGCTGACATTTTCTCTGCTCTAAGCTTCATTCGGAAGGCTGGTTTTGCACTGAGCTATAAACTTATCAAGTTTTAGGAATTTAATAATTCAAGCTTTAAATAGCAAAGAATCGCATCACAGGAGTTGAGTCTGCGCCTGAGCCTCTTTCAAGCAGTTGGTCATTAATTGTTTATATACAGGGAGCTGAAAGGATTGAATGTTATCATCAGGCTCCATACCCAGGCTCTTATCTGAGCTGCTCAGTAATCTTCATTGCCAGAGGAGGATTTTAGGATGTGCGTTTTTAATGAAGGTTACAATGTGAATCGCAGCATTGATGTGTGTGGATGTACAGTATGTAAATGTTTTACTGCTCACTGTTTCAACATTTGCAAGAAACAATTGACCCTTCATTATGATGTAATTTTACAATACTGTTGGAAATAATAACAGATAATTTGCTTAATTCCCTGTTGGCATAATTATATTATTTCTTAGAAGTTTAAACAGAGGTATTTATGAAAAAACCTTACTTGAAACCATAGCAACTTTATCTTTTGGCATTCCTCTGTAGTTGTTTCATCAAGGCAGCTAGAGATTAGCACTTTCTAAATGGTTATTAATCTGTCTCAATTACATGCTGAGGTTTTTCTTGCCACTGCTTCTAAATTATTATTGTTACTGACATGTAATGTTTTAATTACATAACAGTGAAATTCAGTGAACTCGAGTATCTGGATTAAAAAAAAGTAAAATAATTATGTAAACCAGAGGGAAAAAACAACCGCAAAACTAGGCCATCATTTCATTTCACTTTCATATCATTATTATTCCACAGAAGCCACCTTACTGCAGAGTCAATTTGACCTGCAACTGAGGAACTACAGAGAGCTCACTCACAGATTTCGTGGGTGAACAAATTATTCCAGGGAAAAGTGTTTCAAAAGAATAAGCCTGTATTATAATTCTTTCAAATAGTGTTTGAAACTTGGTTTAGGTAACAAAATAATAACAGTTTGTAAAGTCAGGTGGTTATGAGTTGAACAGTAACTTCTCTTGTTCTGCTCACAATTCATCCAAATGGTCAAACACAGGAGAATTTGTATTTAACTTTATGTAATGTACATTATGAAATGACTCATGTGTCTCCTTAGAAATTCTCCATGTGTGCTTTAATCTCCTAAAGATGCCTCACAAATGTGTACATGTTTTGTTATGATGTGTGTTTATTTCAGGACGGTCTGGTCAATCCAACAGTGAGAAAAGATATGAAGGGATCCCAGAAACGTTATTGCTGTCCAATCGAAGGCTGCCCAAGGGGACCAAACAGACCTTTCTCTCAGTTTTCCTTGGTTAAACAGGTATCAGTAAATCCTAATGGCACCTCTTCTGAGATTGGCTTTTTGTATTCTATTAAAAATATTAAGAGCTGTCTGCGGACTGCATGGATATTCTTAGCTGCAGAGTTTATATCCATAGAGTGTTTTCACCATTATCTGTTAAAAAAGGTACAATGGCCAGCCATTTCTTTTGCACTCCAAAGTGAAATAGGCAATAGTTCAGATGACTTAGTCTCTGCTCTATCGGTCACCAGCAGAACTTCAAAAACACACAGCGTCTCCTGGTGCTATTTGGACGCACGGTGGAGTTTTCACAGCAGTTGGAGCACAGATGTTGACTCTATTAACACCAATTCATCGTATCAGTTTCCCAAGAAGGTGTTGCTTTTGTGTTCTAGTTGCAAGAGAGTCTTATTCTTCCCTCTGCAGGTCGTGGGCCTAGTGGCATTTAGCCAGTTTGCAGTGTTGTTAGCGATTGTGGCAGAGCTTGTATTTTAAAAAGACAAGTGGTTAAGTTTGGCCCATCTGGGCACAATCTTTACTCTTCCTATTGTCAGTTTTCAATATATTTTGTACTCCTGTAAACTGTATTGTATATTATGTTGTTGGAAATAATTTTATATATCACATAACTCAAATTATGATGTAATGCCACAGTATACAGAGCAAATCTAAAGTTACGCCTGCTTTGTTAATAGGAAAAAATAAAAATGAGCAACATGTAAATATTGCACAATGCCTGAGTAAGGAATCATTTCAGTGTTTTTTTACAGTAACCCTAGAATCGTCTTAATAAAGTGTGCCAGAAGGTAATAAGTTGCAACTTTCTGCTTTTTGGGATGTATAGCTACATTAAAAGATCTTTTAAATACAATATATAGTGGACATTGAAATTCACTAACATGTTAATTGAAGTAAACTGTAAATCGTAAAACTGGGGGAAAAATATGGTTAAATTTGTATAAGTGAAATTACTGTATAACTTGAACTGTTGAGTTAACGATAATGAAGAGGGAAGTGCTGTGTGCATGTCTGTATATATATAAACTGTTCCCTGATTACTTTATTTTAAAGAGTAAAGTGTTGACTCCATGCAGAAGGTGGGTGTTCTGTCCTGTGCTGAGCTGCAGCCTCTCTCTGCAGCACTTCATGAAGATGCACGCTGAAAGGAAACACAAGTGTCCCAAGTGCAGTAACTGCTACAGCACCGAGTGGGACTTGAAGCGACACTCAGAGGACTGTGGGAAGGTGTACTGCTGCACCTGCGGCTGCCCCTATGCGAGCAGGGCGGCGCTCTTGTCCCACATCTACAGGACCGGACATGAGATCCCTGCAGAACACAGGTACTATGGCATTTCCTTCCCTCAGATTACCAAACTCATACAGTTTATCCAGTTAATTCCCAGATAACATTATTGTACTATTTACTGCTTTTTGTTTTCAAATTGTGGAGATTGTAGCCACTGTTTTTTCGTGGAGAAGGCCTATTTCTGCACCCTGTGCTGGGAAACGTACAGTCCGCAGGCTGCGATCGGTCCAGCAGGCTTGTCTGTTCAGCCAGTGGGGCTTTTGCAGTCAGATCCACTGGCCATGATCAAACTGGCACCTCGTCTGAGTCTGTATGTCGCACACCCCCGAGCTGTGTCTTTGCACACCAATGATGGGGAAAATACTGACGCTGTGAGACCTTCCTGTCACCTTTTGTTGAATTACAAATAATTTACAGGTTAGGTCTCAATTTATGTAGAGTCACCGGTCCTGAAAAATGTTGCATACTACTCCTGTAAATTAAAAACAATTTCCTTTGAAGAGTGTACTCCCAACCAACTCATCTACTCGGGTATAGTGTTTATGTAGCAGTGCTAAGAGTCATTATTAAACTGTGTTTGTTCATGTTAAAGAAACGCTTGTTAGTGGTGGGTGGTGATTGGTGTGGGAAGTGCAGGAGTCTCCAGGCCATCTGGACTGAGCAACTAACTCTCCTAGTCCTTTTAGCCCAAGGGAACTAAAATTAAATGCAATTTATTTTAGTCTTCTTAGTAACATTTCAAATATATTTCTCTATGGTTTTAGATGATAATTATTGATTATGTTTTTGATTGTTTTAACTTTTGAATGTTAAACATAGGCACAGAATTTCCCAAAAATTTCTGTGTCATTACACATTTTTGCTAGAAATGTTTTTCCTTGCAACTGGTGACAGATTGTTCATACTTTCTATCGCATGATGAAATGTATCAGTTTTTTAATTTAGTTTTAGGGTTTAATTGTCAAAATAAACTAAAGACAGCGTAGAAACTGTTGGTAACTCATTTATCAACATTGTTTGTGATTTTTCTTTGCAGTTTTTGCTGAGTTCTTTCACCCACAAGTGTTCAGTTTACACATTTGAGTTTTGATTAAAAATATTGACTTTAAAGTATTGCATGTATCATAATTATAATTAATAATCAAAAGGGGAGTTCATTAGAAGGAGTAAATACTATTGCAAGGTGCTATATGTGGTTGCACATTTACTTCAGTTGTTGAATGAGATGTCCCAACAATATTCTTTTCAACAGAAAAGAGATTTATTCAATGTACAATTATCACAACAACATTTAAACTTTGTATGACTGTCAGTTTTTAAAACGTATTCTGTACTCACAGGACAATGAGTAATCTTTTCCTAAATTGGGATCTGGTGAATACATATTGTATGCCAGTTGCATGTTAATGGGAGGTTTGTCATTGTAATATAAAAACGTGAAACTCAAAGCCCTACAAATAATAATACTGTGAAATAGATGTGTTGTATGTTGATCATTTTTTGGTATTTTAAGTACAATTAAATCATATCCAAATGATCATAGCAAATGTGTTTGACACCCCTGATCTTTAACCATGTTTAAGCCTAAGCCTTTGTTTTTCCTGAAAATACACAGTGAACATTTCTTATGTATTCTACAGGTATCCGCCAGTTAAAAAAAGAAAAATGGAAGGATCCTTAAGTGGAGCAATGAAATTAAGACCCAATGAGCAGGTGTTTCAGATTGTTAATATTGAAAAAGAGCTTTCTGAGGTTTTTGTGTCAGCTAATGGAGCCTGTCAGTCTCACTCAGGGAATCAAAACCCTAAATCAACGATCAACATTCAAAAACGTCTATTGCCAAAGCCAAAGGTTGCCTTGGTGAAGGTTCCTGTGATGCAGTTTACCCAATTGCCAATTCTTGTATCCCCAGCAGACAGCTCAGTCAAGCCTTTTGTCCTGACAGTTGACAATCAAGGGTCCTTAATGAGCACTGTTAACCTTCTGTCCCCGTCAGTGGGAGCCATGATACCAACTCTGGACACAAAAGCTTTGACTTTCAGAGACACCATGTCAGCTTCAAGGTTCAGCATAGAACCTGTTAGCACCGGTGTGCAAGTGAATTTGGAAACCATGGCTTCTGGAAATGTTTTAAATTATATGGGCTCCAGGAGTAAAAGTACTTCCACCAACATTCAGACAGATATATCTTATCTTTCCAAGGTTTCTATACCAGCAGCATCTTGTGCTATCAGTGAGTCCTTGGTTTCGTCCTGCTCCCAAACTGACATCAGTTTCAGTGCTCAAGTGCTGCTCCCTGTTAATGTGGAGACACAGACAGTCCCCTCTCTGACTAAGGTAATGTCTTCCATTGGTGCACAGACAGACACTTCTGGCCAGGCGTGCTTCCCATCATGCAGCATCAACAGAGAAACTCAAACCAACGCCGCCACAAGCACAATGGTGGACAGAGAGCAGGTGGACCAAGCTATAATGTGCACCAACCTTTTTGATAATGATTCCTTGCCATCCTTCAGCGTGTCTACGCAAACCGGCATGAAAGACAGCCGTTTAGGAATGAACACTGTGAGCGAGCATCGGAATTCCAGGGACAGTTCCAGCTTCTATGACGAGAAGCCAGGTGGTGTGATGTGCTTCAGTGCTCAGACCGATTTGCTTCCGCAGAACCCTGTTGCTGACAATCAGACTCAGACTATGAACTTATTCAGCGATCTGGAGAACATCCTGTCAGATAGCTTGGCAGGTCATGCTTTGGACAGCCGTGGTGGATTGTCAGATGCCACAACAAGCTGCGAAGCAGGTCTGACGTCTGTCCAAGGACAAAACACAGGCATTGACTTTGATATTGAAGAGTTCCTTAATGCTGCACATATACAAACCCAAACAGAGGAGAGCGAACTTGGCACTTTGAGCTCCGAACCTGCTTTGGAGTCCCTTGACATTGAAACCCAGACAGATTTTTTGTTTTTTGACAACCCAGCACCACATTACGGGAATCCTAGGACTCAGTCAAATGACATAGGACTTGAGATGTTTGACACACAGACGCAAACAGATTTGAATTTCCTGTTGGACACCAGTAGTCACATACCGCTGGGGAATTTTCTGAAGCAGTCTAGTTTTTCTATGAGCACAGAGTCCTCTGATACAGAGACACAGACTGAAATCAACTCTGTGTCTCAGTGCAACACTAATGAAAGCCAAGTGAAGCTAAGCAGTACAGAGACCCAGACAGTGTCAAGCTCTTTTGAATGTCTAGGGAATCTATTCTTAACCAGTAATGAGACCCAAACTGTTATGGATGACTTCCTTATAGCCGACATGGCCTGGAACACCATGGAGTCCCACTTTAGCTCAGTGGAAACTCAGACATGTGAAAAGCTCTATTCTCTGTTTCAGCACTCTGAGAAAACCAGTAGCTGACTTGCTTGTGTTGTCCCATGTGGATGTGAGCCTCTGGAAATAGAAAAGATGACTTTAGAGCTATGATTAATTTAAAGACCCAGTGTTTTGCCTTTAGTTTATTAAATATACAGATCTTGGTTGGTACCTGTTAGTAAAGGGCTAAATTTTCAACAAAGCAAGTAGAAACATTTTCATTTATATGTACTGTATTGTTCTTATTTCAATCCTTATTCCTATGAACATTTTTCTGTATTAAGTATTTTTGCTTCTTTTTGTCTTCAATTCTACAAAAACACTCATGTTCTACATGATTACTGTGTTAACAGTCCTATCAGTGTTATCATTTTATTAAGGCTTCTGAGTCTTTAAAGTTTAAATGCTATTTCAACCCACAGAGGTATAATGGAATTCAATATCTCATTTTTGTTGCTGTCTTCTTTCAATTCATACAGACTTGGTCATAGTAATGGATCACTACCCTATTTTGAATATTATTGTATGATGGGTTTACACCATCTAATACCATTAACCCCAAAACTTTAATTTTCATTTGGTGTTAAATAGGCATTGTAAACCTTTAGCATCTTCGGATACTAGGTTATTTCTTTAGTGACTGATGTGTGTTTCCGTTTCATTTTAACTAGTAGTAATGCATACAGTAACTGCATAGTATCAGCAAATGTTCTACATACTGAAAGGAGAATGCTTTACATTCAGTATCTCTAGAAATAGGACTCACATTCTTACCACTATGAATGGAAGCTGATCATTATAAACACTGCAGGATTTGTAACAGCTTTTAGCTGAATAACCATTGCTAAAGCCTTTGTCCCTTGAAACTATGTTCCTGATCTTCACTCTTTTTAAATATATTCAAATAATCTGCACTTTATTTCTACCACTTCACCATTGTTTTTTTCTAAAGTGTTTCCCAAAGATACTTTTTCTATTATCTTAAAATTATTTCTTCACTTGGTTAAGAAATGGTTGTTTTCTCCATGTTGATGTATTTTACTACTAAGACCATGACAACACTGGAATTTGACTTGTATAAGTACACTAATATTGATTTTTCTTTGCATAGATATTATTTTTTCTAATAGTGCTTAGGCGGTAGCCTCAAATACATTGTATTTACAAATTTTGGTTTTAAACCTGAGACCTGAAATTTGTTAAATTTACAAAGTTGAAACATTTTACTTTAAAATCTTGCAGTGTCTTAATGCAAAGGATTACAGTTTGAGAGTGCCTTATTTGTAAACCATTAAGTTTGTTTAATTATTTGATATGTTCTTTGAACATCATTTATGAACATTTAATAAAATACACTGTGCTGCTTTTATTTAGGAAAATATTCCACCATCTTGGCATGAATCTCCACCTTGAAATGTCATTAGTTTTGGTTTTAAAAGATTTGGATTGCAATTCAAAACTTCTAACCAAGTACATTGCTTGGATTTAGTTTTCTGAAGATTTCCATTTTTGTCATTCAATATTTTCATCACAGAATAGCAAACCTAAAGCTCAAATGTTAAATGTAAATGTTCTGCATTGTTTTTGTTCAGAAGTATAAATGCATTGCAGATTCCTGGATTTCATGAATGCTGTGCAGAATTACTACCAAATGGGATTGTTAAGACTGAAAAAATTCTTTACAGCAGAATGTTGGTTTTGGTCCTGTGGCCACCAACCACAGTGGAGCCCCATGATGTCTTATTTTCTTTGCACTGCAACCAGAAGAAACCGAAACATGAAATATGATTGTTTCCCTTGTGTATTGAATGAATAAAGGAACGCTATAGATGAAACATTATTGTACAGTTCTGAAAATGACACTTCTGTTATAATTTATTGAAGATTTACTTCTTGTAAAGACAATGTAATGAAAATGTACATACAGTATGATGATGTAAAGTTTGTAAAATTATTTCTCTCTGTAGAGAATGCATGCAATCTGTTTGTGCCAAAATATTTTAGTAGAATTTCATCTCTTCGTAACTGCAAGTACAATACACATCACTTAAATGTTAATTTTTGTAACTTTTTTTTTACTTTCAGATGCTGTATGTTCATTTGTCAAAGCTATGCATTAGTTGCACAAAATAAAAAGATGCAGTCTGTTGACCATTCACCCTGAAATTTTTCCGCATTCGTTTGTTTTATGCTATGATTTGCTTAATTTAAATGTAACCCTTGCAGTTATATAAGAAATAGCCAAGAAAGTGAGTATTTAAGACAGCTGTCTTAGATAGAGAATTCCCCACAAGTTATTTGAAAACCTAAAATTTAAAAAATCACTTTGCAAAGTTTAATATTTTTGTCAGAACAGTTCACATTGTAAAGAATACATGAGCAAAATACACAAGAAATATATATTGGCAGATTTTATATTTTAAAGAAAGAACGTCCCCATAAGAGGTAAGTTTAGGTACATCTAATACAAAATACGTACAGTTTGGTGGTGTTTACCATCTTTTTAAAATAACTTGAGCTTTAGCTTTAAACTCTAACCATTCACTAGGATAAGAAGGCATGGGAGTTAAGTTCCCAAAGCAATATGCTTTGTGTTAAAAAGTTAGGTGACTAATATCACAATTTCCAACTATTTGTTTTTTGTTCATGTTAAATGTGTTATTCTCAGCACAAAACAAGATGCTACTTTTCATCTGAGAATTTTCAAAGATTTGTCTTCAGTGTTTAATCCTGTAAGCATTAATGGTGAAATTATTGTTTTCACACTTATATAATCATATTTTGTAATTACAGTAAATAATCTTTGGTTTATATTGTTGGCAGGGTACAGTACCCACAATGTAGAGATTTATCTCCCTTAATAACGTGTGAGTTTTGTCATTGCTTTTCTCCGGCCAAGGGAATGTGCTATCTGTAGTTTGTATGAAGGTGTACCATGTAACTGCAATGAAGACTTAAGAACAGCAGGGTAAAATTATCTCTTTTAGGTCAGAGGGTGGCAATCCTCTGTAGTCATGAAAAAAGTAAGTTATATAAAATGTTAAAACATTTCATTAAGCACAATCTATAAATTGTATTAGAAACGTGTACTAATGTTCAATTTACCATCAGTTTAATTACCATCACTACTGCTGTGCAGCCACGCTTATCCAAAATGATTTACATGTGAAATTGACATTAGGTAAGTAATGATCATGTGTATAAGCTAACAAATGGGAAATTAAGGCAGCACGAATGGCAAGTGAATGCAAGCACTATGCTAAAAAACAGATCTGAAGATTTAAAGCAGTACAGTGTAGACTCCAAAATGCAGTGCAGACAGCCTTTCAGTTCAGTATTTCATGTCCAGAGTGAAAAGGATCAATCCAGAATTTGTGTATGCTTCTTCAGTTTTGAAAGCAAGCAGTGGTCTATTCTAAATGCACAAAACGTATGTGCAGATGGATTGTTTTAGTAAACTCGGCATCCTGTTTAGACCCAGAAAACATTTAATAAATGAGATACTACTTCAATAGTACTGTACATTGTATATGATACAAAATGGATTCTGAAATCTAAATTGTTAGGTAGAAGTGTGAAATCTCTGATTAATAATTGGTTTTACAAGTTTTCCGGTCACACATTCTTGCTGTTAATGTGTATACAGTATACTGTACAGGCAGCATTAACTATACATACAGATTTACAGAGAACATGATAAGAACATGTCATAAAGTGACTGAATTTGACAAAATACAAAAAGGTTATTGAACTCACAAGTAATAATTATGTCCAACCAATAACACAGCACTGGTTGACTGTTACTGCAAGAATATCAACAGGGATTTCATAGTGTGGATACACCTAATGCCCATTTGGACACAAGTCAGTCTACATCTTTATGTGGCACACTGACAATGAGCTTTTACTTTCAATGTCCCTATGTGTTTTTTTTTTTACATTTTACCACCATTTCCAAACAAATTAAAAGAACCAATAGGTTGTAACAGTACATCTTAAAAGAAAAACATACCATATGATTTATTTTTGGAATTTTATTTATTCTAAGTATTTCAAATAGGAATATAACTATAGAAGCAGGAAACATTATGGACAGTTATTTGAAAAAAATTGAGAATTCAGAACATTTTAGACTATTGTACCTAATAAATCTTTATGACAACCCTTAACATCTGTATGGCATTTTTCTTTGTTAAAATAATGCCTCTTTATTGTTACAGCATACCATCTGACTGTGGGTTAACACTGTGGATAATCATTCACCTTAGCAACACCCACCACAGTTTTAATATTTTAGTGTCACATGCAAGAAAATGTATTCTACCACATGCACCAGATGCATTAGGCTTCTAGGTATAAATGTGTATGAGTTGGCTTTGTCCATAATTGGAGAAAAACTAACACACAGGCATAAGCCAAGTGTCTGGTTCACAGTAAGTATCTTTAAATAGATGAATGTTGATTTGGCAACAACACTGCTTGTATTAGTCATTTGCTGAATTGGTTGACATAACACAGACAAGTGTAAGCGCAACTGGATGGGAAGAGCACACTTGTACTGCAAGCACCACTGATAAATCAGAGCAAGAGGTAGGAGGCATTGTAGAGTAGCCTATCTTTCAGAGAACACCGGAAAGGTCTGCTGTACTTCTGTATTTCTGAAGCACTGACGTTGTATCCAAAATGTCAGGGTAAGGGCCTGCATTTCACAATTATTGATTTTAAAACTCCTTAACCACTACCGTTCAGCAAAAACCCTGAGACTAAAAAGTAAACTGAATTTTTATATGCTCTAAAATTTCTGTAATTAATACAACACAATGAAAATAATGTGGAAGTGCTTTTAATAGTAAAAAAAAATATTTTTACTATGTCAGATTTTAGTGTTTTTCTTCTAGAGTAAGAATAAAACTTAGAACTTTTTCTTAAAGAATACGAATAGTTATTTATTCTATGACTCCTAGGAACAGTAACAACAGAGTGCAAACACCATTTGCAAATGATAAATATCACTCAAGATTCAGATAACGTATTCAGTTACTAAATGCCCACACAAAATGAAACAATTCACTTTGATCACTGGTCTTTAAATTCTCATCTTTCTTTTATTTCTGAAGGTGACCAGTTAATCATAATCACATCCTTTGTCATACACTTGATTTCACAACTAGTTAGTTTAGTCCTTACCTAACAATCAACTCCCAAAAAAGACTTAATAAGCAGAAGGACATTAATACTATCATGAAACGTTCTGCTCACAGGAGCCGATGAGAAGATGCTGGTATTCTAACCCTGGTTCCTAACAATACAGGTAGCTCGGGTTCAGATTGTTTGATTGCATTTTTAGGCTTCAGTCCTATGTAAACCTTGTGGTTATGACCATTCTTACTTAAACCCAGCCTACTTGAATCATCCTGCTTAACATTTCTTCCAGTGTTGTGCATGACCCGAGATGGCATGTGCCCAGTGGCAGTAAAAGAGATGTCACTTTTCTTGGAGGCAGGGATGCTAAAAGATGTGAAAAATTGTTTTCCGGGAAAGATGGGAGGCTGCCAGTGCCAAACCACCGGATCAAGAGGCCCTGATGTATGAGAAGCCTCCTCTTCCTGGCAATTTTGAATGTCCATGTTGTGTGTGTCTGGCGTGACTTCTTCACCTCTTTCAACACCATTCCGCTCCTTTGCTTCAAGCAGATCGGACGATCCATGACCTCCGGTTCCAGTCTCTGATCGGCTAGGAAAAAACTCACCTCTGACAGCAGAATATTGGCACCCTGGTTTACTAGAACCTGATGATTTCACAGGTGGCAAAACAGCAAAGCTATTAACTACAAGGACCTCCTCCCTGTCCCTCTTTTTCATCGATGGCCACTGCTCAGGCCTGACCCCTGTGTAATGCAGGGCTGTAATTTCACCAGGAACACACAGCTTCGTGTCTACTGGTCTTCTGGCATCAGTCACAGACGGCTTTTTAACTTGTTTACACAGCAACCGAAAGTAATGTGTGTCATACACCTCAGGAGTGTAGCTTTCTTTGTTTGGAGCAGAAGTGGCACGAGGTTGGCTTTCAGATCTCTTGTGGAGAATGGCAGGGGCAAGAGGCCTTTCAAGCGGACTGTCTGAAGACGAACTGGAGCCCGGTTTTTGCAAATCTGGGGCTGAACTGTCGAAGGGATCAGAGCTGTGCAACTGCGAAAGCTGTACTACATCAACGCAAAGCAGGCAGTGGTACTCAGCGTCTACATGATTGGGCTTCTTGCCTTTCTTCGGAGACTGAAATAAACAAGCAAATGGAGATGACCTTCCCCAGCCTTGTGCCTGCCGAAAAAGACAAAGAACAACAAAATAAAATCCAACTCCGTTTAAAAGCAGTTTACATCATCCTTTTTACATCAGCTCATTTTTTTCTGGCTGACTTTAGTGTTCTGTGGTGGAACTGAGGGCCCTTGCCGCAGCCTGTTGCTGAAACCCGGGGAAAATGCTTGAAGAAAGCAAACAAGCAAGCAAAACTCACTGCTTCCTCCCAACCTGCCTTGACGTGGATCTCGTAAGGCTCTCCGTCCTTCCTGCCGACCTCCTCGCTGGCCTGCAGGAGCGCTGCGACGTGCCTCCTGTCGAGAGCCGGGCAGCCGGGCTCGGTCTCCGCGGCGCCCGCCTCGCCCTCTCCGGAGAAGCCCATCGCTCGCCGACACTCACTGGATGTCCGAGTGCAATACGGCCTGAGCCTGCTACAGATAGAAAAAATACTACTTTCTTTTTTCTTCTAGAATTGGTTGTTTCGACGTGTGACACATTGGGAGTTACAGTTACAGTCGAGGTGGACGAGTTAACTCACACAGGTTATAACATATTCGGGCCAAGCGCAAGCTCGACTCTTTGAACTTCATTCTTGCTAAAAGGTTAAACGAAAGATCTGTACACGAAGACGTGTTGTACAGCTGGCAAAATACCTTTTGGTGGGGAAAAAAGCTTTCTTTTTGAAGTACGGTAATGTAAACAAAAAGCACGACACTTTTTCTTAAAATGATAATCCCTTCGACGTTTTTGACAGAAGGCGATTTTGGAAAACAGCGTACAGAAAAACGGGCCATTTTCATATTGATTAAAAACCTACAACAAAGGAAGACTTACCACCGGGCATGCGGATTCCGTCATATTTCGTCCACACACACATAAACAAATACACATTGGCACCCTATACACTTCATTTAGCGGCCACGAGTGATGAATGATTAATTTCACTACCCAGCGTGCAGAACACCACCTAAAACAACGCCAAACCTGCAGCCTGCACTCCGTTGCCACAGCAACAGCACAGCGGGGGGATCAGTCAGGTAGGAAATGACGTCGTGGAAAAGAGCTACGACAGACAGACAAGTGTTAGTGTTGCGCTTCGAATAATATCATCAGTGAACACCCTTCTGCTTTTGTGTTTTGAGTGTAGCGGACTAGCAGTTATATCATCATCATTCGTGTTGCGTTTGCAGCGGGGTTAACTGGGAAATTAAAGAGAAACCTCCTCCCTTTAAAACGTTTCAGCTGCATTTTGCTGTTTGGGTTACATTTCGCGGCGGGACATATTTCAACGCACTGTAAAGCCGCGGTTTTCCCGTTAAAATTGCCTGAAGGCTCTTTCATTTAATTCGTGAATATCCTGAAACACCGGCGAGCCTAAATATTGACGCATAATTTGTGTTACAGACGCATTACAGACACGTCTTATGTCGCAGTGAAGCAGTTTTAGTCGATAATGAGTATTGGGCATCTTCCTCTGACGCGACCTCAGTCTCTTTAATGTAAATGTAAATAAATTCTTCTCGGGTTAGGAAGGGTTCAGAATGAGGCTCTAAAAAACTGTAATGTGTTTTCCAGAGAAAACATGTCCTTAAGAACAACTGCGTCCAGCAAAACCGTGAGGACATAGACATCAATTAAATTGAATATATTGCTAAACGCGCAGAATCCAAGTGATGTTAAAATCGTCTACTGCACTAGTAAGACCTCTCTGTGAAAAGTGTGTAGAATTTCGGTCACCATATTCTATAAATACATTGCTCCTCTTGAATCAGCCCAGAGGAAGAGCAGCCTGACAGGTCGATCCATGTATTCAAATCCTTAATTTGACTAACAGCGTCAGTCCCGTGGATGTCTTCATGCTCCATAGTGAAACACGCAGCATAGGGCATGTAAACTATGTAAAAGTGCACTGAAAGCTGAATAGGAGGCACTTCTTTACCCAAAGAGTTGTGGGAGAGTGGCACAAGCTACTTGGTCTTGTTGATGAAGCCGATACTTTGGCTTCTTTCAAGAAAGAGCTGGATGAGATCCTGGGATTAATTAACCTCTAACAAACGGGATAAAATGCCAGAAAGGCCTCGTATTGTTCGTAATTTTCTAATATTCTTAAAATATGCACAAATCAAAGCAACCAAAATAGTAAAATATGGCAAATTTATCATCAATTTAGGAGGATCTGTAGAATTTTGTTTTCATTTTGACATAGAGAGTTCTGTGTCTATCAATGGCAAAAACCCAATGTATTGAAACAGAGTGCAATGCGAAAAAGTCCAGGTGAGGCGAATACTTTCAAAAGCCACTGTACGTGAAGATTCATAACCTAAGATACAGCACATGTCTGCGTGTAAGGCACGGGTCGCTATTAATAAGGCTGAAATTTTAAGAGGGTTACGTGGAAGGTGTGAACTTTTTAGAGTAATTTTCTTTCTTCTACTATTCAAAAGTAGTCAGAGGATCATCTTTTAAACTAACTGTCCGGCAAGGGTTTAAAAACGATGACAGCTCAGAAAGTAAATAGAAAAGAGGCCAAACAACTCATCGTTTCTCATCTCTGAATTAACTCGTGACTCTGGTCGTCACGGTCGGGGATCCCGTTTCCATCTCTGCGCGCCTGGGAATCGTGTGGAGAAAGGCATCGCTCCCCGGGGCTTGGGGAAAGAGATCTTTGATTGTACGGCAGCTCTGTGGCTTCGTGATGCGTCAGCCGTATTTGCCAAGGCTGGAGCTAGCATTGGCTCAGAAATCCGCAGTGTCACAGGCTGCCTCCGCCGCCGTGCATTGAGAGCAGAGACCGACCGGTGACCTTTCTTGTTCCCCGCTAAGAGACCGTGCGAATCCTACAGGCTCCTTTTTATGGAGAACGTACCTGCGCATTCTGCCGTGGTCATGTTGCCCCCCAAGAATTGCATACCGAGGAATTACAGCTGTATGGCCGGGCTGTTTGGGAGCCTTGCAGCCGCCAGCCAAAGGAAGGAGGACGGGGAAGAGGAGAAGGACGGCTCCCGGGAGGCACTAGAGAATCGGGTAGTGGAGGAGAGACCCAGAGGCAGGGAGTCCGTTTTCAAGCCCCAGAGTCCCACTTTGCGCAGGCGAGCGAAGTCTCTGCCAGCGCCGTCAGACCGAGCCAAGCCCGACATAGAGAGGAACCGCAGCCCGTCCAGCCAGAAGAAGGTAAGATTCGCCGACTCCTTAGGCTTGGAACTGACCTCGGTGAAGCATTTTTGCAATGCCGACATGCCAGAGGTACCGCAGCACATCCTGGACAAGTTCAAGAAGGGACGTCCACCTAACCACTTCAACAATTTCGAGAAGTTCCCCCGAGTTCCCGCACAGTCCGTCTTCATGGAAACCCAGTTCATTAATCCCGGCCACTCACCCGGCTTCATGGAGAGAGTGCGGCAGGAGAGAGTGTCGCTGGAATGCGTCGAAACCGACGAGTTCAGCCTGACCGGGATGGTCCGCGTTTTAAACGTCTCTTTCGAGAAAAGAGTCTACCTCAGGTACACTCTCAACAACTGGGTAACTTTTTCCGACATCCCTGCGTCTTATGTGCATAACTCCAGCGACGGCCTAACGGACAAATTTTCTTTCAAACTGATCACCCCGAGCTTCCTCGAAAGTGGAGGTACCTTGCAGTTCGCCATCAAGTACTGTGTCGGCGGCGATGAGTACTGGGACAACAATCATGGGAATAACTATAAAGTGCGAAGCCACAGGTTCAAAATTTCCCCCCCGAGGGAGTGGGAGAACGGCTGGATTCACTTCATATAGCACGTCTTCCCACTTGTCCTTGCTGCTGCTGGACAAGAAAACATGTCCCTCTGCTTGCTGTATCCCCCTATTATGTGATGTCGAAATACAGTGCAGTATTTAGAAATACACGTTAATGTCCGTTCCCGATTCTGTCCTAGACCTCAGCGAGTACAGTGTGTTTGCCTGTCTGCTGCTGGGAGGTGGTGCGTTGATTTCTGTGCACACATGTATTGTGAAGGACTAATTGATCTAGGTTTGAATTAATTACAACATACAATAATTAAAATAGGGAAATATAGCTCCAGCAGACGTATGTTGCTGTCCAAGAGTTGATGAGAGTTCAGGATTCACGCTCATGGAGTCATCCATATATGTACAGTACATGGCTGTGGATTGTCTTTGGATTTATGCCTTACATATTTAATATTAATATTTGGGTTAGATGTTTGTTGCTAGAAAGCTATATTTGAAGCATATCTCCTTTCAACTATATACGTATTTCAGAAAGTATATAGAATTGTCTCAAATTTAGCCGTTTTTATTTTATATAAATAGTATATTAATTCGGTCAGAGAACTGAAAAATAAACGTGTCATAACTCAGAACAAATCTAACATCTATTACATTAAAAATATACATAAAAGGGATATTTACTCAAATCTCTTTGGTTTATCTAGTTTTTATTAACTATTGCCATGGCAGGTAACACTTGTACTTGAATGTTACAATTTTCCAGTCTTTTTAAATGTAGAAGAAAAATCATTTAAAAAATTGAGACCAATTTTGACTAATTTTCATTTGAGGAATTAAATGAGGGAGTTGCTTTTGTAGTGAAATTATTTGAGGAATCATAATAGTGTGTTGTAATGTTTTGATTTCTAAATAATTTATTTGCCTTTTTCCTAAAACAGTTATTTCCACCACAAAAATGTCAGGTTAATTTATTGGTATAGTCAATACGTTTATTTTGAAGACTACAATCCTCTTGGACATGCCTTATCTAAATAAGATATATAAAAAGACCTCATCAATGTTAGTTTCGTCATTGCAGATTGCGTGCTTGTTAATAAAAGTATTTGCATTGGTGTATACAGTACCACCTCAAACTTCAAGTGTTAGAGATAACCCAGAGAAATATCACTACCATATTTTCCCATAATTGCCTACCTCATACTGAAGGCCTGTTCATTCCTTTTCTAGAAGTATATATTTTTTTACAAGATGTTTTATCAAGGGCAGTAACTTCAACCAGAAAGCAAACATGCCAAGGATTATGAGCTATTTCTTTAAAAACATCCAATAGCACCTCTGTTCATTACATGAAAGGAAAGCCAGACAGCTGCAAGAAGAGATTTTCATGTAGTCTGAGGAATAGCAATGTACAGTAGGCTGAGAATTCTGAATCCCCAGATTTTTAAAATCAGTTAGAATGGCATCTTTGGGTTTCTCAACAGGGCTAGAGGTTTGCATTTTAACAGCCAAATAATGAAGCAGTGCTAACTGTGGGATTCAGATATAAGTGATCTTCAGAATTCATATGGCTACTAGTAAAAAATATGAAACCTCATAACTGCAGTCTCTGATTTGTTTGCTGGTGCTGTGGCCTTCTTATACTGTTTTCTATACTCTGGGAGTCAAGCACACAGTGTCATGACCAGTAAAGACTTAATGGCCCGATGTGCTTTAGAGATGAGCTGGGCTATACTCCTGCTTCCTACAGAGTGAAAAAAGGTTTTGGACCAAAACTATTTTAAAATAAAGGTCCAGAACACAAACCATCAGCTGCAAACTAAAATATTTATGAAGACGTAAGCAGTGATGATTAAAGTTAACATGAGGCCACATAAATTGTGTTTATGAGGTCTGTAATGATTTTTTTAAAAGCATATTGTATTTAAAGGCTTCAGCTCCATGGACATTATTCCTCTTAAGTACTCGTTTTGATGGAACGTCATGATGTGTCAGCTTTGAGTTTTAAAATGTTAGGTATTTATTTTATACCAGGTTTAGTCCAAAATGTCAAAGTGCTGTTCCAACAAATATCCTCATTTATTTTTGTAATGAAAACTATCAAAATCTTAAAATGTGCAGTTTTTAATGTGATAACTAATGAGTTGGCATATTTGTTAAACTAATCTGTAGTTTAAATTGTGTACTTTTTGGAAAAAACTTTCTCTTCAGTTCATCACAATACATTGAAAGAGCTGTTGTCTCTGAAAACAATAGTGCAATAAATGTTGGTGTATTTTAAATTGTACATACATAAAATAACAAAATGAGAACTAAATGTTTTAAAACATTTAAATAGCCTTTATTTACATGAAAGGGCTGTGCACTGAAGTGTTGTGTACCATATACACTTGCGCTTCTCACTTTCAACTTACATAAAGTATGTTTGTTAAATATATCTGTGTTGCCAGTGTTAGGGTACAAATAAAAAGTACCACTATTGGCAACATGTTTTCAATTACATTTCGTTGCACTTACATGTAGACTAACTGATTTAAAAAGGATATAATGGATACAGTTGTTTCTAACTGTAATCTCTGACAGCTTTCTCTAAGATTTTTACATTTCTATCCCTTTCCTTTCATATTTTGAAAACAACCATAATCCCAAATATTGCATTTAAAAAGATTGGAGTTTTTGTTGCAGTTTTATTTGTATAGATGAGGATTATTGTTCTATGTGTATTCCAAACTCAAGAGTTCGTGAAAACAAGTACTATAAAATAGCAGGCGATACCTCAGAATGTATTACTAATAACCCTTCTAAACTCCTTCAACATGCAGTATTCCTTACACTGTGAATGTGTTGATGGCTAAAACTGTAACCAAATTAGAAAAAAATAGATGGGAAAATAATTTAAACAAACTTTAAATGTGCAGAGCTGCGTATTAACTCTGATTCTCCACCAGCTAACAGTGGTGGTTGCTTCATGTAATTCAACCATTTTCTGTTTCAGAGCTGTGTGGAGGTTTTTCATTCTTGGAGATGTTTTTGCTGCAGTTCATTTTGAAATATGTAATACATATGTAACTGATGAGTTACTAGCCTCACAATGAACACATGCCTTAGATCACAGACAGCTGTTATTCAGGGCATTATATTGTACACTTCATGAATGGATCATTCCCCACTTCTTTCACTTTTCACTGTGGTGAAGCCTGTTTTACCTTTGTTTCACATCTGTTTAAATCTAAACTTAAAGGTGGTCTGTGCTCCCACATACAATTAAAAATATTTGAAATCTCCTCTATAGTGAAAAAATGCACACACTAGTGAGAGATGAAGAACTGAAGGCTGAAGAACTTTTCTTTACAGTCTTAGATGGGGGAGAAGCTGAATAATCTCCTGTAATAGTATAAACAGAGCAGCTACAACATCACTTTATTTTACTTCCAGTTAATGTCAGCAGGGATTTATGAAAAATACTCTGTTAATGTTTTCTCATAACCTCTGTGAGAAGCTATCTGCTATAAATAGTGTTACTGAGGGTATAAAAAACAAAAGTAAATTTATTTAATGTAAGATAAAGAATACAGAATACAAACTAATAGAACAAATATATAGATTTATGCCTGTATATGTGTGTATACAGTATATATATATATTATTTTTATAAGGAAAATGTTGGGATTCTCAGAATATTGTACGTATATCTGTCCTGGTCTTATTCAGTTTGCAGGCTGTTGCTTGTAAATAGTTTTCCTTTCAGATGTGTTTTTTTATTTCTTCTCTTTTATAGGTATATTGTAGCTCTAAAATGAATACTTCTAATGTGTAAAAACTGGTGGTGTAGCCATGCGCATGTTTCCATTTGAAAAAATATCTGCAATGCAAAATAATTTTAAAAAGACATGACATGCCCAGGAAATAGTCTATGAAGACATCATTTTTTGCCAAGATCACTAAAACATCTGAAATGTTCTAAATGGGATCATAAATGGGATCATATATTTTAAGATACAACCCTTTCGCCTTTATTTGTTTTTGCATCTTGTCTGTGTCCATGGATGTCTTTATTATATTGTCAGAATCATATCAAGCTTTTGAAAAGGCAGCAAGAGAATCAAATACCTGTCATTCTGTAATATTGTGTCACTTGTGTCTTCAGTTACAGTATCCTGTTTGAAATGAGAAAAACCTTTGTTAAACATGTGCATGTCCTTGCTGTTCATTTATGGAATGTAAGCTAATGAATTGCAAAACTAGTACTTCTGGAAGACTGGGAAGAGAAAAAGTTACATGTCCAATCACAAAATGTTGATTCTGACAGTTTAAAAGGTTTCTCATGATTATACGGTGACCTCACTGTGTTTTCACTGTCCTACAACACTTAAATAGCTGAACCAAAGATGGTCCAGATTCATTTCAAGGATGATTGCTGAACACTATGGCTCTGCATTTGTATGACAGGGATGGAGACGTGATATAAAAGGAACTAAAAAAAACAGTTATTAAACATACTGTGCTTCCTTCTCCTGTGGTATTTGAGGAATTAACCAGATTTTTAATTCTGTATTTTCCTATTCCGTTTTCAAAAATGCTTGGGTAGGTTGTTTAAAAATATGTACATTTATTTTTTTTTCTTGCTTCATCTTCAGTGCAGCCCAGTACATAAAACATTTTGAAAGTCAATTTTATGTTCTACATTATTAGATAAGGAACATACCCTGAGTTTATGTGCATTGTTGTAAGTATATTGTGTATCTATGCAAACCTAAGAAACATATTCTTGGGGCATAAATCTGGTTGTTCCTTGTGTGTGTTGGCAGTGTTTTGTGAAATTCAGTGTGTTTGTTTGTGGTCTATTTGGTTGTAGATAATGTAGAGAAATCCGTTTTTGCTGTTGGCATGCACAGTGTGCAATATCTTGAAAGTATTTTTATGGTGAATTTGTAATGTATATTTATTTTATTAATATTAAAAGCTGTATTGATTGAGTCAATATAAAACCATGTATAATTTCTGTTATTAATGTGTTGATGTAACATGACATTTTTCTACCACATACTGTATCACAACTGAATCAGAATGATTAGAATGGTAAGTGAACTCATATGTAAATTGCATGCTGCAAAGTCTACTGAACATTGGACAGAATAAAATATCGTAATCGTATACATTCATTCATAAACATTTATTATTCCTGCTTTTAGGACTCTCTAAATAGTCTAAAGTTTAAGCAGTGCAAGTTTTTTAATAATGTCCCACCTAGTGTATAGGATGGAAGATTGTATCAAGATACAGTGTGTACCTGTTTGAAACAAGGAGAGACTTTTATTACTTCCCTTTCTGTGTGTGCTTCAGTAAATCATTTTCATTCGCCCAAGAGCGGTGACTATTGCATAAAATCATGTTTCCATTTATACTCAAATTCCACACATTCTCTAGAATGCACTAGAAACCCCAGAAATGATTGGATTAAAATATTCTGTCACAATTGGTTATTCACATGGGCCTCAGAATGATCATATGGTAAAGCAGTACTTGCAAAATACACAGAAAAAATGGAGTAGACTCTTTGCTTTTCATTCTGAAATAACTGCACAGCCTGATATCCAGGGACATAGACCCTCCATGTCCCTTGTGCAGAGCAGACCCATCAGTCTGATTGGCTAAGGTATTTGTGCAGGAAGAAGAAGCTCTTGTTGTGTTTCCGTTAATTGTCTCTTAATTTTGCTACTTTGGTTGTGCTGCTTTTTTCAGAATCACTAATCTAATCAATAAATAATAATCATCCACTTACTATTAAATCCATTTATGTTTTTCTGCGTTGACAAATTTGAATTCTCTCTTGTTCTTATGCATCCTTTCTAATACCTTTTGTTCCTGCGACAGCACTGCTGATGGCAGCTCCTATCTTAATTAGCCATGAAATTTGCCAATGACAACTGGGGGATTCTCACACAGTACAGTTTGTCCTACAGGACTAAGGGTTAGATTTTAGAAAAACACTGCAGAGGTGTTGCTTGAAATACTCAATATACAGAAAAGCATTTAAAGGGAATTTATTGGTTTAAACACAGTAGAGAATAGACATGTAAATTGGTTTGGACATTTCTAATATGTTAAATTTTCAGTGCATTTGATTTTGTGACCATACCTTATGTGTTTTGCTTTCTACAACAAAGTTATAATGTAAACATTAAAAATGCTACTGTATTTTCTAAATATAAATTGTTTACCAATTTAAATTAGCATCTGTAGGTTTACCTGTATAAGGCTTTTTGTAGGTACTGTACATTAATATTTCTGAGGCTGCAAGTAATTTTTAGGATGTTAAAGTATTCTAAGATTCTGAAGATCTACCTTGCACGATTCCTTCCTTCCTAGACATGGTGTTGTGTTGTGTGGCTGTGTCTCCAGTCCCATCAGTGCCATGAGCTGCTGACCTTGTCGTACTGACACGAGCAGTATATAAACCTGTTAGCAAGGGTAAGAGACTACATAAATGCATCCAATGTTTTATAATATGCAAGGCAGGAAAAATGCTGATTAAAAAAGCAATACTTGTGCACATATTTTGATCTAATATTGAAATATTTTTCTTGGTTTAATGCTAAAATATAATTTTGGAGAAGAAAATCTAAATAGTCTTAAAAAACTCAAAAATGTTCAATTTTATTCTGTCGTACCACAAGTTATTTTTTCATTTTGATCTTTTTTCTTTAGTTTTCAGTGTTAATATAATCTACTGAGTTGCTGGTGGTAATGATGCTGTATTTGCTTAGTGTCTCCTTGCCCCCCATGCAGTTAAAAATAGACATTCAATCGATCAGTCCTGTCAGCTCTCTCCCTGGAGGAGTAAAGCAGTGCTTTATCTTCAGACATAAGGTCAGGTCCTTGAGTCTTTGCTGTTTCGAAGAGATAATCAGATTATCACTGAAGAATTTGTTAATTGTATTCCTGAAAAATGTTTTTTTCTCACATATTTTGATTTGATATATATTACTATAAACATTTTTTTGCACATGGAAAATTTCAGTTTCTGAATAAAAATAGAGGGGTTCACCAGTTACCCTATGGAGGAGCGTCATGACAATAGGGCCACGCAGATGGCCACTCATGTCGCTCCTCTGTAGCTAGTTCACAGGTCACAGACAAATGTGTGACAACCAATTGATTACTGGTGCTGGAATGAACGTGCACACAAATTTGTCATCATGTATTATGATGCGTATCAGTGATGTTTCAGTTTGGAATAGTACTCCATCTGGAGAGGCATCAGTTGCAGTGACTTGCTTTGAGTTTGTTTTGGAAAAGAAAAAATATTTTGTTTGTTTTGTTATATTTTTGGAAAAGGAACCAGAAACCACCCAGATCTTTAATTTCGATCTGCATTGAGTTGGGGCTCAAGTGTGAGAGTCCTTTCTACCTCATGCTGGAATCTTCCACAAAGGCTTTGCCCAGTCAATATTTGCCAAGCTCATCGGTCTCCTTTTTTCCATGATTTATTCTGTTTTTTGTTGTGAAGTCATGTTATAACTGCATGATGGAACACAGTAATGTAGCCTGTAGAATAGACAGAGATGTCATTTCAGTGCCTAATAGTCAAGGATTTATTCCTGAAATTTAATTTGTGCTACTGAAAATGTATATTTACATGTTTTCCTCTTTATTTGTTTCTATTTCTAACTGATCAGTTTCAGTTTTCTTTCTAAAGAAATAGCCCTGAACTCTGAATTAACAAAGCTTTGAATCAAAGCTGAGAACAGTGCAACAGACAGAGGATTCCTAGAATTCTTTCAGTATAAATGAGACCATTTTCCACCAGTTTGTCATATTGAGTATATAGGATCAGTGTGTGAGAGATACTGATTAGCAGAACGGCAAGAAGGACAAAATTATTTATTTCTTAAAATTAGATGAAAGAAAAACTTTCTGGTTTGTTCTTCATAAAAATATTTATGTCTCATATACTGTATATTACTTAAAATAATGAAGCTCTTTTGTCTCTATTCTTGTGAGGGAGAGACTTTATCTTAGTTCTGATAAAACCTACTGTAAAGCAGAAATGTATATTAGTATGATATCATTCAGATGTCTGCTATGTGTAAAGGTGACATTTTTTAGGTTTTCTGCCAAAAATGCTTTAGATTAATTTGTTTCAAAATTCTTTAATATTTTAGCACCCACAAAGTTGTTCAGAGTCAAACCAACAACTTTTCTGTGTCATTTTTAAGTAACAGGATCAATCAAATATATCATAAGGTGCAAGACAACAGTCCATTCCAGGGTAGATCCCATTTTACATGCACTGACTTGATTAAAATAGGAATAGGAAGCAGCTATGATTTTTCAAGCAGACTTTGATGGAGTATCCATCGTGGGATTATAGATACAAATGTCTTCAAATAATTAAGGACATTAACAATAAATAAATTGCTTATTTGTTTCAAAATACTGAATAAAAAATAGGTTGTACCTGTTATAACTACATTGTGCACTATGTAATAAGTGTCGCAATTTTAATGTGCTTGAATGACTATCTTAGCTATGGATAGTGTGAAGAATCAATTAAGATAAACAGAATGTCTGGCTAGATTTACATTATGGAGCATGAAATGTAAGCGTTAGAGTTGAAGTGTAACAGTTAGAGTTGTGCTAAGCTCATGGCCTTGTGATAAAAAAGGTAATACATTTTGAGGTAATATATTTAGCTTTACTAAAATGGCTAATGCATAGACTACACTACTAAACTGTGCAATTTAACCCAGTGGAAGATTTTATTATATTATTAGACTTGTTGTGTCAGTGTGGTTCTGGCTTTGTAGAAAAACTCATGATTGACATGATTAATCTAGATAATTCACAGCTGGCTGTGACCCAAATGAGCAGTGCACTGTCATTACTGGTAAATGGCCTAATCACCAGGATGGGCCATTTGCCTCTGAGGAAATAATAGGGTTTTCTTATTTATTTATTTTGTCTTTGTGAAGAAAACATTGCTATTAGGTTTTTCTTTTTAATGGGTTCTTAGTTTGTGCCAATGGAAAAAGTGTTCAGTTAACAGATATTTTCACACTGTTATTTCCATGAGAGGTTGGCATTGTACAGTGTTGAGCATTGTGATTAAGCTTATTGTAGAATACTCTTCATGAATTGAACACTTGTATCCATCATCAAAAGTTGTGCTCAGATTGTATTGTTTTCTCTAGTAGTTTTCCAAAGGGTAATATGATTTCCCCCATTTAGCTCTATTCTGTTGACAGTTTGTACTCTGTACCGGCATTCTTGTGCATATCTTCTTTTTAAATAGCTCTCATTTTGCTTATATGCAGAAAATGTGACTTGGATTCTAGTCATTAAAATATAGATCATTAATATTGTCTGAAAGAATTGACAAAAACATTTATAGATGAGCTGGCAGGGAGCCATAACTTCATGTTTTTAAATTCTGCTTATAATGTGTAGTTCTTCATCAATGTCAGGCGTTAGTGGAACAGTGAGGCTCAGGTGTGTTTGGGAAGCAGTTATTGGATCTGTTGTTGAATACAAAGTTCCTGGGGTGCCCACAGACATCGAGCTCCAGCCTGGAATTTCAGATCTTTTCGAAGGTTTTGACGTCTTTGAAAGTTTGATAAAATTTAAGGACACTGAATGGATCCAAACTCTTTAATTTCAATTATAAATATCTGGCCTATTTCAGCATCCTAGCTTTTTAAATACTGTAATTGCATTATTTTGTAGTTTACCAATGTGTTTTGTAAGCTAGTAAAAGGATACAGTACATTTACTACTTAGACCACATTTTTATACTGTAAAAGGAATATATTTTCTGAGCAGAATAGTTATTTCTATTTATTATAGAGACGTTAAAGGAAGGATTTTTTAAATGGCTTGAAAAAACTGCCAAATCTAGTATTTGGACAAGTCATTCTTCATACAGTTAATTTACGGTTATTTTTTCTCTTTCCTTTCCTTGTTTGTCTGTAGCAGTGTGAGTGTAGAGTATAGCAGAATTGGAAACACACTGGTAACTGATATTTGCAGTGGCTTTGTCTGCAATGTGGTAATCTGATGCCTGTGCTTCAGAAACCATGGACACTGTTTGAGACACTCCTCCTAACATAGCCAAAGGACTTTGACCGCAGGCTACATTAGAAAGAAGTGCATCTGGTCCAACATGGATTTCCATGACCTCTATGGTTTGGTTTTAATTTGGGCTTTCCCTGTGTGCTGCGTTTCTCAAAATGATGACACCTCTTTTCCTTTTGTGGAGCCCAAGAGCTGTAGCCTGACTGAATTCTTTAACTCTGCATCTCTTCAGTGTAATGCTTGTGGGCCAAATCAAAGCAGAAGTCCCAGTGGTAAGTTGTTTATAAAAAAACAGTTGCTAAATAATTAGCAATATGTATATTGCATTTTCAGTTACAGTTAAAAATTAAATCCATCACTCTTAAAAATCCATATAGGGAAAAATATTCTTTCAAAGGTTAGGAATATAGTGCCAGTAATTAATTGAATCATACTTTACAAATAATTGGCAATTCACCCATACAAAGTACAAAGCACTAGGCATACTTTTTATCTGAATTACACATATTGCAAATTATACATTTGAACAGTGTTAGTTGTAAAACATTCTCAGGTGATTTCACATTTCACAAATGATCCCAGATTACCAAATGCAATCAAGGTTTATGCAATCAAGGTAAAGCTGTTCATAATCGGCATCTACAAATCTACTACCATTTTTTTTTAGTTAGGATCCTTTAAAATCTGTCTGCTTCATTAATGTCAACTATGGTGTTGGAAAAGGTTTGCTTGGGTTCACAGTATGTAATTGTGGTCTTTAAAAGGAGTATTTAGAACAATTTTGTAAAGCTTTGTGTGGGCCGGCATTATAAGCTGTCTTTTTTTAGTCTTTGTACCTTTTCCATCTCAGGTCTGCAGTGTGTCTGTAATCCTGGGTTTACTGTGAGAGATCTGGGATCACCTGCAGTGCAGTGTTCTTTCTGTGTAAGTGCTTAATGTGAAACACTAATGCCTTGATGTTAAAGATGTTGCCAAGAAAAAAAAGCAAACAAAAAAATACATAAATTAACACCCATGTTAAACTTAAGTATTCCATTACTGTACATAATTTAAATGTTTTTTTTGGAGGGTGAGATTTTAGTAACTTGTCCATCAGGAAAGATCTCACTTATTTCTAAAACGGTCTTATTCATCCTGGCTGCTCATAAAATGTTCATTAGCAAAGCTTAGCTGTTTTTGAATAATTTTAAGGCATGTAAGTATTACTTCTAAAAAGAGGGATTTATTGTCCAAAGAGATTTGCTAGTTAGAGCCTTTAATGAAGACCCAATGGGTGTAGATTTACTGTATCACATCTACATCTTAGTAGGATTATGAGAACACACCCTTGCTTTATTTGGAGAAGTGGGAGAGTGTTTCTCTTTCATGCATCATAGTCTGTCATTTATCTGTTGTCATGCTGATGTTTTATCAGATTAGGCCTTTCTCAGATGTACTGTAATTGAGATTTTATTAAAATGGAATGAGCTGACAGACAACTAAAAATCTATCAAACAGTTTGCTTGTTTAAGGTAGACATGATGTGGATTTGGCACTTTGTTCATGTCTGAACTGTAGTGACTGTGCTAATTACCAAAAACCTATAGCTCAACAGAAAATAATTGAAGCCTCTGATTTTTTCTGCCAAAAAAATGTACTGCGTTAGACAAAAATTCATGATATAATGAAAAGTAAAGAGGCCCTGCTGAAGGAACATTTTTTCATTACAGTATTCTACCTTTTTGCTGGGGATGTTGAAATTTAAGTATCAATGAATGACAAGAATCTGTAACTGGGGTGATGGTGCTTGGCAAGGGGTCTTTGATAAGAAGAGTGGGGAGAATATCTTTTTAAAAGAAACACACACAATGGAGTTAAACAGAATAAAAAGACGGAATGAGGTTCACAGATGTTTTAGTTTCAATCATTATCTTATTTTTCATGGTAGTGGTTTTAGCACTGGAGAGTATATTTTGAAAAAAATAGCTCTCTATGTTGACTTTTTTTGTACATATCAAGATTTAAAGAACACATGTCCAAAGCATCAGACAGCAGTATATACTACAGTACCATTACAGTATATAGTTAATCTGGCTTTTATTTGGCAGACTGGTGTAGTGTCTCTTGACCGGAGAAGATGTCTGCAGTGTATAGACGGAAATGAAAACTGTTCTTGTAGAGCAGGACAAACTCAGGGTGAGTCCGTGTTAATGATTATCACTCTAACTATTATCGATATTGAGAGCCCATATGTTAAGTTGCAGTAGTTCTGACATTTTGTAATGCATTTGATGAGAAATGTGATGACCACAGTGTTTTTCCATTAACCTGACAAAAACGTAATTGAAGCATTTTAACGGCGACATTTTGTTGGATTTGTCATGCTGGATTATCTTGTTTCATTTAATTTAATTTTGAAGTTATAAGAGTGCAAGAATACCATATTTATCAGCAATTCTGAATATCATTGTCATTAAGCACTATTACAGTGAATGTTTCATAAAAGGCACACAGCACCCCATCTTACTGTTTTTCAACCAGTCTTCCTCTTTCTTCCAGTTAACAATCTGGTAAATGATACTGTTTCATGTGTGACATGTCCTGTGACCACAGTAGGACGCTCGACAGGATCTACGTGAGTGCCTTCCTGGATAAGTCACCTGACTGCGGCACAGACGCCCCTGTGACTACATTCTCATAACACCGCCTTCACAGTTTCCTCACGTGTACAGTGCTGACACCGTCTCTTGCTGTGGAGCTTACCAACTGAGAAAAAAAATTATACAGATGCAGTTTTAGTTTCCATGATCTTTAAACCTCTATAAATGTAACTGTTACGCCCCCAGGTGTCTAGGGGTAAAGGGCTGTAACATTCAGGGTGGGTTTGGATGCAGGTGGGTTTCTGGTGAGGGGCGTAGGAAGTATTTACAAAGTAAAAAGTGAATAAGTGACTGGTATGTGTACAGGACACAATAACACAGAGGGAAAAGGAACTTGAGTGGTGCCAAAGGAAAGAAAATAACAAAACCAAACAGATCTGTCTAATACAGTGAGGTCTAACCTACCTAACCCACACAAACAAAAAGAGGGTCTAACTTCCCTACACTGACTAACCAGAATCAAAATACATGGGTAGCACACGTCCTTAACCTAGTGTCTCGACACTAGACAGAAAAACCCACTTGTGCACAATTTAACCCGACGACCTTCCATATACCTTTTCCAGTGGTGTACAACAAATTCGCAGTTAACAATAAAACGACACTAGCGAAACAATTGCACGATTATGGGAAAACGGGTAATACTGAAGAAAATACACGACCAAGGAATAGGGTAACAAATGAGCACAAGCAAGGTAAAAGGAAAGTAACAAGTGCGGGAAAGTAACAAAACACAGTCAATAACTAATAAACAAACAACCAATCAACCAATCAACCAATCAACCAATCAACCTGAAGCTAACTAACACGAGCCAGAAAGCTGACCGAAGCCAAAAGCTCTCAAAGTCGGAACTTCTTTGATATTTAAACTGTAGATCTAGTTGCTGATTGGTCGGGAGTTGATTGATGATGATGTCACACCTGCAGTGATGGTGCAGTGATGGACCAATGGGGGGAGGGTACCTGAATATAGGAAGCGAAAAAAAGCAAAACAAATACACAGAGACTCCCGGGGACGTAACAGTAATGTTTTGCACATCTGTGGTGTTGGATATGTGTGTTGGAAGCAGTTTTAATGGATTATTTAAGGTACTTTTTTAACATTGTTCAGCTTTGGCCCAGCTAAAACAATCACCATGTTGTGCTCTGATGGATTAATACCCTTAAGTTTTAGTCATCAAAGAGCTCTTGCATCAGTAGACCTGGTTAGAAAACGAAAAGAACTGGGTGGTTCTAATGTTGATCACCTGCCATTGTGCCCGTTCACTTTCAGAGCTGTGCATTTAGATGCACTGTAATCATTTTCCCACATATTTTCAGATGTGTACTTTGTCAGGAGACGTTCTATGCTGTGGCACAATCGTGCACTTGCCCCGGAGGAAACCTGGTGAGTCATGGATCCGTGTGTTTCTCAGGTTTCAGAATGTCACCGTCAATCCCTGTCTTATCCAAGTCAGAGCATACAGTACCGTGAGTCTTAATGGGACAATCCTGTTTTCAATGGCAGTGTTTTGGTAGAGATTCTTTTTCATTTATTGAAAACTCTTGGATCACAAATAAGTGTAGCATTCAATTAAAGAGCAATCCCTTACCTTTTACAAGGAATACGGGAGAGCTTTTAACTTCTGCAGAACAACTAAAAATGTGATCATTTTGTTGTTTCTATCAGACGAATAAAAGGAGCTTATATAATTATACTTTTAAAGATGGATAATGGCAAAGAAAACACCAGAAAATGGCCCTTTGAACATTTACAATGAACGTACAGTAACCACTTATCAGAGTTGTGTAACATATCATCTCCCACAATCTTCTGTTCAGAATAACAACTTTTATTCCAAAATCCTGAAGCTGTAGATCACACTTATTTAAGCTGTCAAATGCTGTGTTTCTTTATTCCACCAAATCTGAGTGGAAAATATTGGTTTGATATGATGCTTATTCGGGCCTTGCTATTTCCAGAATGCATGTTATGTCCTTAAGAGACAATAGATGAAGCTCAAATGAGGAATATAAAAGAATATAAAATTGCATAGGAAATGCAAATGCTTATAATATTTATATTATATTTAAATTTATTTACATTTTATTTACATTTTCCTTCGAAGTGGTCATTTATTGGAGTGCTCTCTTCTATTACACAGCATATTGCACTATAAGGCTGCAAACAATTCTTTGATATTCATTGTTTTTTGTTTGACAGCTAGAGTTCTGAAGTCCGGCTGAACTAAAATGTATGTCCGATCCATGCACAGAATAAGCCCTAACAAAAACCAGAGATTTTTAACGCCTGTTTTTGTCTTCCAGGCAGGAGGCCTGTGCTTTAACGATACTCAGAGTGCTGATGTGGGGGTAGGTGTATCCTGTCCTGTGTGCCTATGAAGATTAATCTGTATCATTATATATACCGAGCATTTCGGTTGTGGTTTTTATTGCTCTCAGTTTTAACTATACTAAGGGTTCCACTTTTATGTTTTTATGAGTACGTAATTCAAGTTTCCAAGATTATTTCCCCATGTTGTTGTTTTTTTGCAGGGCATTAAGCTACCAAACTCCTTTTGGTATACTACATACCTTGATTCAAGTTTCTTATCGTGCACAGTAAGTGTCACACAACATATATCGTTAAGATGTTACTATGTGTATGTAAAGACCAATCTATTTCTGTGTAAACCTGTCAAATCTTTTTTGGCTGTATTTCACAGATTTACAACAATCTAACTGCATGCCAGCTTCTGACCAACATGGTGATACTGAACCCAGAATTACTGAACTTTAAAGCATATATTTTGTATGAGAAGGCTGCATCATTGCCTGTACCTCCGTAAGTTCTTTTAATGCACATCAGAAATATAAAAAAGTCATGATTTCTTCTTGCAATATCAGTCCCTCACTTTAACTTCAAGTAACTTGCTCTATGCAGGTTTCATATACGTATGAAGAAGTTAGCAGTTGGGATGTTTTGGATTAGCTCTGGCCGGCTTCCTTAGTGAACTGGTGTTTCCTTCACAGCCCGTACCTACCCCAGCTGTTTTACAGCAGTGATCCTGCGGTGTCACTGGGACAGAGAGCTCCTCAGGGACTGGTCTTCCAAAGGAACACTAAGGTCTGTAAATCCGTTCTGCACAGCCAGAGGACACGGATCAGTTGTGCCTTGCTGTTTTCAATATTTTACACTTGTTAAATTTTATATCCATATTTTATGAAAGAGAGCTATTTGTTTTTGGACTGATTTGCATGGCTGAAGTGTATTGTGTATTTTTTTCTCGTCTCTAGATCAGTTTCAAGATTGCACGGTATGACGCCAGTGGCCACTTTCTAGGCTGGCAAGATGTAACTGGGGGGACTCTGCAGGTACAACAGAAATTTCCAAAAGCAATTTCTAATGTGTTCACAGAGACTGTGCTCTTGTATCCCTCGACACCAAAAGCTTAAAATAATGTGAAGTGTTTGTTTTACAGGTGGAAAGAGAAGTAATGGATAAACTTCTTGAACAGGCACAGTTTTTAAAGCTTAAAGAAATTTGTATGCTGTATATCATATTTCATACTGTTAGTTTTTTGGGGGTTTTGAGATAGACCTAAAAAATGCCATCTTAGAGGTTTAATATAAATCATAAACTAAATAATAGATTGGGTGCTTTAAATATTAAAGATACTGATACTTCAAGACATGCACTCTGAGTCATCTGAGACCAGAACAATTCCTTTGGGTTACAAAAAAGTCAGGTGTGTATTTTTTTTTCAGCTTTGCCCTGACACTCAGAAAAGATTGGATGCAGCCTATCAGTTTGGTACTACCTACCAGCAGTCTGTAAGTATCCTATAGGAGACCTAAAATCCACACTCCATGAATGTAAATTAAAATCCCTTAATTAACTAAAGGTGGAATCAAGTTGTGCCGTTGGGGCTGGTAGTGGATTCTGATCTCGCTGTGGGTCGCTCGGTCTTGCAGTGCTCAGTGCAGGTGAGCGAGCTCCTGCTGCGGTTTCCTGAGCCCCTCTTCTATGAGCTCTTCCTCCAGTACCAGGACAGCCAGGGGGTGCAGCGGGTGTGGCCCGTTCCTGTCAGAAACCTCAACCTGGAAAGGAACAGTCCAGGTCTGCCTTTTTCTCAGTTTTAAACAAAGCAGCTAGTAGCCAAATGCTTTCTTTTTCGCTCAAGACAGACCATGCGTGTCTTACCAAGCAGTCTGCTTTAGTTCTACAGTCCAGGATGTCGGCAGTGGCACAAGTTTTTCAAATAAGGCAATAAGGATTGTCTCTGTCACACATATTTAACAAGTCATCATAGAAAGAACATACTTTACTGTATGTGCTAAAAATTAGTTTAGTAATGTCTGGCTAGTTTGGGAAATGTGCTAGATTTTGTAAGGAGTTTCTTAAGATAAAGGGCTTTTCCCGGAAGTCATGTGAAAAGGGAACCTCGATATCCCAACATGCTTGGGCAGGTGGCTCCAGAGACCTGCGCAGGTTCTTCCTGGTGGATGGGCTGGCCGGAAGACCACAGAGCCTGACTGAGCAGCCACAGTATGTCACCTACCTCAGCAGTCTGGTTCTGAGGTAATGGAGCTGCATATGTTGTCTACTTATTTTATATTCACTGTCATTCACATTAGGCTGTACCATTTGTTGGGCACTGTAACTTCTTTCCAAAGGATAGCAATGGTAGTGTTGATTAATAATTTAATGTGTATTTTATAGCAACTCTTTTCACCTGTTTTCTTGTACATTTGTATAGAATGCTGCAGGTGTTTATAGAATCGTATGAATAATTTACCCTTATTTTCTAACAGCGTATATCTGCCGACTAGCAACCCAGGTCAAATTCCTCCCTTCCAGCTGGCTGTGGAGTACAGCAGAGTCAGTGATGCAACAAACTCTCCAGCTCAGGTGCCTGAGGCCTTGTCAGAGGCAGTTTCAGATATAGAGAAATATCATTCTAGGCTTTTATTGCCAAACAATGTTATCTTATTAATTGAGTTTAATAAATGTATTTCCTTTGGTCTAGTGAACTCTTTGTTCATGAAAGTGAAATGAGCTCTAGTGAAGGTCTAAGAAGTGCAAATCATTTCTGTTTATCTTATAGAATTGTGTGACTGTGAGTGATGAGGGGAGAACTAATTGTTCTTTGATTCCTGCCATGGTGGTTGTTGTGTGCTGTGCATATAGATAAGTACAGGTTTATTCAGTATATTCAACATTAACCTGCTGCCATAGTTGTTTGAGAAACAGAATGTGTGGCTCCAAGGGAATAATGTAATTTTTGCAATGATGTTAAGATGTAATCCTAAATGCACTGAATTACTCTGTTGTATTCCACATTAGACAATAACCTCTTTTGTTATCTGTTGTGGTCCCCTCTGATTTTCTATTTAGATATTGTTTGCTGTGACTTACAGCATGAATGAAGCCAGCATGAAAAGAAGTACCACAGTAAGTGTGATTGCTACTTTAGATGGAAGCCAAGGTAGGAATACAAAGGAGAATCACAAAGCTGATTTTATTTGCCTTAATTAGTCAGCTTTAGAGCTGTCTTAGAGATCTACTTAAAGGATGGAAATAGTCAGTTTGATGTTCCTAAAGTCAGGTAAGGACAAATTTGAAGACAAAATTTTAAAAAAGCATTATGCGTTTTATCTTCTCTTTTCAAAATGAAATAAATAATATTTATTTTAGCAAGCTTTCTCATAAAATCAACATCATATATTTCAGCCAGATGATGGCAATGCCCAAAATGAATCGGTGCATTTGTTGATTTATTTTCTGAGTCAGTTCCTGTGTGTTTTTGTAAAGCTTTTTTGTAAATTATGTTTCTTTAAAAAGCAGCACAAAGATCTGGAACAAAACCTAAAGCTTTTATCTGTGTACCATTTGGCAGGAATGTGAGTTCATTATTCACATGCAGAGGGAAGTAATGGCAGGCTGTTCTAGATGTTGGACAGAAGCTTCCCTAAATTACATCAGAGAAGTGCTGTAGGCCTTTTTTGCAAGATCATCTGTCCACGTACAGAGTGAATTAGATGTTATTGAGACGTACTTTATTATTGAGCGGGTCATGATTCTGGAAAACAGTTCTATAGTCCTAAAGTCTAAATTATAAATGAACAGATTTTGGAGCTCAGAGCAGTTACACTCACTACGCTGTACAATGCATCTATTGCACATGCCAGAAAGAAGACAATATTCCATCCTTAGTGTAACATCAGGACCAAGTATTACTTTCCCTGGATATGCTGACAGTGCACAGTAATTTTGGTGAACTGATAATCCTAATACGAGGAAAGAAAGGGGTAATTCTTATTTAATTTAGTGGGTAGTCTTGTGTTACCCTCCTGGTCTTGAGATGGTAGACACCCACATAAGAAATAGAGCAGCACCTTCATTCTTGGGTCATTTGTATACCTAACACATGTTTGTTAACATGGCAGTATGAGGCCATGTGTCGGAATGATTGGCTTTCTGGGTGTAGATGCCCAGAGAGGGTTCATGTTTGAATGGTATCAGCTAATTGAGCACACTGTGTGCGAGTGATGTTTGAGGCCCAGCATGCTACACCACAGAGTGTGCAGAGTTGCAATAATTAGAAGCACCTTCCAGGGTGATTGTGTGCAGACCCCAAGGAGGGAGGCAGGTGGCTTTGGACCAGAGCGGGAGGCTAACTGGATGACTTCAGGCCATAGATGGAGGGAACAGGGTTCACTGCACACAGAAGGAATCCCAAGAGCTTGTGGTGTCCGGCTGATTCTGAGCCCCTGCTGGAGAATGAGGGTAGCGAACAACAGGGCACCCAGGAGCCTACTTTCCCCCCGGCAAAGGGGAGTTAGTGGATGTTATTAGAGATGTAGACAGCGCTGTGTGTCTATATCCTGCCTGCTGCCCTTGCTGCCACCAGGAGCCCAGCTGGAGCCAATTATCATGGCGCAAGCAGGAGCAAGGGTCATAGGAGATGGCTGGAAGATGATTTCTCAAGGTCCGTTCAAGGTCTTAGCTTGTACCCTTAAAGGGAATTAATTTAGGAGGGAGAAAATAAAATTTGTGCGAACCATTTTAGGAGTGTCTAGAAAAGGTGCTGGAGGCCCACAACCTGGACTCAGTGAAAAACTAAACGAGTGAATGAGCACGACAGGCCAGAAGGCCTCCTCTGGTGTGCACCGTTGGACTGAAGGAGTGCTGATGCCTGCCTGAACATGCTGGTGTTTTACAGGTGGCTCTGGGGGTGCTGGGGTCCATATCGGTGTTCCTGGCCCTGCTGGAGACCAGCAGCTGGAGCCGCAGGGCAGGGGAGCAATACATCACCATGACTGTAAGCACTCTACTTTCAAGGCACACGTCTGTTACTGCCCTGTTTTACCGGCCCGTGAGAGTCCATTTATATGGTTTCATTCTGCATTGGTAATCATTATGGTGCCACGTTCGAGTATTTCCACCAATTCTCAGTAGGGTTCAGATCAGGACTTTGACCGGGCCACTTGAGGACATTCACTTTCTTATTCTTAAGTTACTCCACTGTAGCTTTGGCCTTGTGCTTCGTATCATTGTCTTTAGCACACTGAGGTTTTCCTCTAGTATTTGCTTGTGCTTTGCATGTCCTTTTTCCTTCAGTCCTAACAAGCTTTCCAGACTTGCAGCTGTAATTCCTACCAAAGGAGCTTCTGCCAAGTTAATACTTAGGGGAATTAATACTAATCCACTCAACATAATTAAGTTTTCTATTTTTCTTTGCAGTTTGTGTTGATATTTTTCGTCTTTGACCCTTGAAAGTTCTAAGTTTGAGCATTCAAGTTATGCTCATTCAGACCAGCTGGGCCGAATTCTGCAGGTTTTCCCTATTAGCTGGCAGCCATTGGGCCTGAGCTTTAAGCCAAAATAATGCCTTCCACACAAGGTCACCTCTCGCTTCATCACCGTTAAGACTGGTAAATACTAATGATTATACCAGGAAGTACTATTGTATTTTTACTAATCTTTCTAGAGATAAGAAATATTCTTCATGTGCCGCATGGCTGTCTGTACCTAGCTGCTTCACATTTTACTCTCATCTCCTAGGTAGTTGATGTAATCCTGGCTCTGTGGTGCTGGCGCCATAGTGCAAGCCAGCAGCTGCAGCTCTGATGTCGCGTGCCAGAGGTCAGGCCCCTCATCCAAGGCATGTGCAGTTTTCCCTCCAGTCAGCCACGAGGGCAGTCTGCTAACAGAGCGGATGGGATTCTGGGTGCCCCTCTCTCCTGTTAGCTAGCAAACCTGCAGGAGCCAGTTCTCCTCGCAACCCAACCAGCTGTCTTTCCATTTCTAAACTACAAAACAAAGTGCTAAAATCTAAACTCAACCACTTCACAGTTACCAAGCTCAGATATAAATCATCTTCAGCAGAAGAGGTGCTGGAAGTGAAAGCTTTTCTAAACAGCTGTGTTACAAACCATTTTGTTTTGTTCTTTCCCTCCACAGACTGTTGTCAAATTTATTGCCTTTCTGATTGGGAATCTGGCAAATACTTTCTTCTTAGTAACTTTTGGGACCGGCATATACTGGCTGATTGCTTTCAAGGTTGGTTCTGTAATGACACTATTTTTAAAAGGAGTAAAGAATTACCTGTAATTTTCACAATTATATACTGTGTGACAATAACTTATGTTGGCCATATATTATGTATCCAGGTATGAGATGGATATTGTTTGTATGTGATCATAGATGGATATACATGTATACAATTTCTTTGTTGCAATTATAGACAGATTTTCTATTGCGTAATTACAGCACTAACCAAATGAAAATATAGACCAGGAGAAGAACATTGCCTTCAGTCTGACGGTTCAGATGTGCTTATGAGTGGGTGGCAAGGAGCTGCTTGTGATGGAACTGTTCCTGTAGACAGGCTTGGTCTTTCACTAGTGAGGGTTCTCCCTCCTTTCTGCTTTGTGTGATGTGTTTCAAACTATTTAATTAATTTCCTGATGGCCGGATCTGAGGGAGTGTATAATGGAGGGTTTTCAATAAATCTTCATGTGGCTTTAATTGAAATATGTATATAATATGAAACATTTATGCAAAGCTCTTGCTTTGTGCTTCTTGTTAAAGCCTTCTATGAAAAGGGAAGAAATAGATAAATGGTTTTGCCTACACTTGACATTAAACTTTCCAAATTCAATCAAAATTTAAAACCCCATTCATCTGTTGCACCCATATGAACCAAGTTTCCAAAGTGACTGAATATTAATGTGTAATGAAAAAACGTGAAGTGCAGCAGCTCTCGTTTTCTCCAGGGACAACGTGGTACAGTTGGCGTGGCACTGCCCTCTGCTGGTGGGATGGTGGAAACAGATTTTATTATCTACCTGTCTTTAGCGTTTGCCTTTAAAGTAAGAATTACTCTTTTTGGACATATTTGTGTGATACACTCATTTTTCCTTTAAGCCACTTATTTAAATTAATTCAATTCATTTTTTATTTTTATTATTCTGTCTATTTTGAGCTTCAAATATAAGTTTCTTCAGATTTCACATCTCCTATGTATTTTCTGTGTAAACAGTTGGTGGAAACACAATAGCTTTTGCAATTTTTCAAAGATCTGTCCAAGGAACCCCTCATGTCTGAGCTGACCGGCACTGAATTTCTTCCAGGCTCTTCAGCTGATTCATGTCTTGGTTGTCCAGGTGACCATCTCCATCTTTTTCATAGACTGGGAGAAACCGGCCCATACAGGACAAACAGCAGGTGTGGGAAGGCAGACGCTGGGCCACTTATAGGACAAATAGAGGAGCTCTAGAACTGACTTTTCAAAAAATGCACAACTGATCAAAAATATATTTGATCCTCCACACTTTAATTCACACTACAGTGATAAATCTGGGACATATGTTTACATTAAAGAAGAACAGACAAATTAGGTGTTCTTGTCTTGCAAAATGCAATACAAACATGGTTCTTTAAATTAGGTACTCCCCTCAATTAGGTACTCCCCACAAAGATGCTTGATTTATAAACAGTGAACAAGGCAGTGACTTTTTAAAGTACTCGTTTGAATCCTTGTGCTTTTCTCCTCTGATCTGCTGTAGGGAGGAAGCAAAGTCAAGCCCCATCCGTCAGTGCCTGGAGAACCTTCTTTGTGGCGAATGAGTGGAATGAAATCCAGGTTGTGAGGAAACTCAGTCCTTTACTGCAGCTCTTTGCAGTTCTGCTGGTACTTCAGGTGAGAGCAGGACAGGTGTCTTCATCTTCTGGACTTCAGCTGGCCTCATAACTCACACCTCATGCCTCATACATACATCTAGACCTCAGCTACTTTTATTTTTTAAAAAGGCTAAAGCCATTTAAGCAGACTGTGAGGGTTTCCTATGTGATATTTCCAATACATAATGATTAATCCCAAATCCATGTGCATTCAGTCCAAATGCATTTGATTAAACCTACATAGAATAATTCATTTTATCTCACAGATGGAATGGAGAGTGGAGAGCTCTCTGTTATGGTGTGGCAGTGTGCTGATGTGTGAGTTTTAACTTGTGTATTTTAGATGATTGTTTATTATTCATCTTGAGATTGCGTCCAGACATGATGGCGTTTCAGGACTGGAACACTGTGATGAAGGTATGATTGCCTCTGGGTCTTTCATATCTCTGCAGGTTATTGGGGTTGAGAACATAGCAGCCAGAGACCTGAACCTGGACTTGCAGCCTGGAGCCACCAATTATCAGGCTCCCTGGAGCCCCATCCTGCAATATGGAATTACTGCTGCTGTGTGGCTGGGAGTCGGCTTGGTTCAAGTAATTTTTCGTTTCCTGCTTTATCTAGGAAAGTGAATTATTGAAATTTGTATATAATTGTTTTTTTTGCTTAAGGAAGCGTGAGTGGTATTTCGCTTAATACAAGAAATTTGCCATAAAATGTCTGGGCAACTGTTAAAAATTATATGTTTAATATAATATTAATATTGTTTATATACAATAAATATTTTTTGTTCATGTTGAGGCTTACAGATTTAACAGATGCATTAATCATCTGCAGGTCCTGTTTTTCGTTGTTATCTACGAGCACTTTGTGGAAGACAAAATTCGTCAGTTTGTTGACCTGTGTGCGGTGAGCAATGTGAGTTTTTTTGACATCTTGAATGCCTGTTTTTAATTTTCTGTTTTTCAATAAGATATTAAAATATTTTGTTACCCACGGGGAAGCATATTCTCTTGCATCACACAAATTCCTAGAGGTTTATTTTTGTAAGACTACTTCGCAGATGCAATGATGATTTATTCCAGTGATAATATCACTTTCATGTCAGAACACTGTATTTTTACCAGTTGCTTATTGTCAGTATTTTAAAAAAGGAAATCTGAGAAATTAGTCCCACACGGGATTTTTGCCTTTTTGTTACACACTCTTCTTTCTTCGTTTCCAAATGTCTCTTCTCTGCAGGTGTCTGTGTTCATTCTCATGCACCGCTGCTACGGCTTCTACATCCACGGTCGCTCGGTACACGGGCGCGCCGACATCGGTATCGAAGCCATGCACGCCAACCTCAGGAGGGAGGAGGCAAGTAGCAGCTGGTGCCTGAATGTTTGGGCAAATCAGCATCACTAGCATATGTCTGCATGTGGTCTCAAAGCATGATACATATCAGTAAACCCAGATATAAATCTTTGGTAATAGTGCTAATAATGTTAGCATGTCTCCTCTTAACCCTGACATATGTCCTAATCCTATCAAATTAGAAGCAAGGCAGGTGCTGATGTTGTTATTTCAGCTGGTACAGTAAAATGATCCCTGTATTACCCTGAACAGCTGCAGTCGATAGTGAGGCCTGGAAAATGTTCTGTTCTTTATTAAACTTGTAGGAACTCTGTGACATAAACTATTTCTGTCTGCTCATGAGTGTTTAAGACTCTTTTTCTTTTTCTGATTTCTGACTTTTTATAGCAACTATCTTACTGTGGTTTTCTTTGCGATAGGAAAATCTATGTGCTTTACGGGGCTTGGAAGCCAATTCAGATGTTCAAACTTTTGAGTTCCTCCTAACAGAGAAAGTCAGGTACCAACTGGACAGGATTATACTGCCACTCACTGAGGTACTGCATTATGGAGTTTTTCTGAGGTTATGATTTTAGTCACTGAACTGCACAAAACTTACACAAAACTAGAAGCTGCAGAGGTGGTGATGGTCAGCCCTGGTCCTGGAGGGTCTCAGTCCTCCAGACATTGACTAAAAATGAACCTTGACTGGTATTTGAACTTTGATTAGTAATTGACTGTACAATTACATTCATCTCAAGTCATTAAGACAATAATTTACTCCGGCAGGTTATTGAGAGCTGGGTAGAGATGAAAGCCAGAAAACTCAGTAGTTTCCAGGGAGAGGATGTTGAAAACTCTTAATCTGTCAGTTAGTAAATGAATAGATTGTTAAAGCTAGCTGCACATGATCTGGTAAAACACTTTAAGGGTGTTTCAAAAGCAGAAAAAGAAAGGAAATGCTGCATAAAAGTTTTTTAGACCTAGAAGATCAGACATGTGACCAGCCTCTTTGTAAGCAGTGTTGGTTTGAAGGCTGCAGGTGCAAGACTGCGCAGTGCAGCTGAGGGAACGCTTGTGCAGACCATGAAGGCCTACCACAACATGAACTGGTTTCTGTCTTCCTTCTTCGAACATGTGAGCACCTCTGATGGAAAGTTTTCATCCAGTGTAATGAACTGTGATATCTTTATCCACAGTTGATGTTACTTGTTACTAACCCATATTCTCATCTAGGTCCATAAAGACATGGATTATATAGTGAAGGACAAACTGTTTTTGGAGAAGATAATGAACTATGAGTTTCAGCAGCCTGTTGAGAAGAGCATCTTTTATAATGGTAATGGATTAAACCATGCCGATTTGCTAATAAATAATAATGAGATAAAAGATGCAGTGTGCAGTGTGGATGGGCTTTATTATGCAGTTGTATAGTATTCTATATAAATAACATGCCAGTTTTGACAGCTTTTCTCTCTAATTCAGATCCTGATGGCATTGTCTTCAGCAAGGTCCTGTATTACAGCAGTGAATTAATTCTCCTGCTCTTTGACACTTTGCTGTTTTGCATTATCAGTCTTGGGTCTCAGAATGCAGTATTGGCTGCAATCCTCACATATGTTATACAGCAGGTAAGTATTATTTTTAGATTTTCTTACACTTCTCAGTTTGTGAGGATTTGAGTGGAGTGGACTTTTGATTTTTGCAGTTTTTAACAACTTGTGCATAAAGTCATAAACAGCTGAACTTTCATGAAAAAAATAATTGCAATGAAAAGCAGCAGCTATTCATGCTTATCACTTCTTTTCAGTGACCGTAAACTTTGTAAAAGTAGGACTGTGTAATGTTCAGACTAGAAGCTCTACCTACTCATATCTCTTACAAGAACCAATGACAACTGAAGACAGATGTAGGCAGCACAAATAGATTAAATCAGAATTCCTAGTCTTATTTTAAGTTTATTAATATTTGTACAAAAATAATTATTGTCCCCACTTCTTTTTTGTGTTGTTATTATTTGTAATATTATTGTTTGATTTTTTTAATACTTAATTAGTCATACAATTATTGGTGTGATTTTTTGTGCTCAGTTATCTTGCTTCCTTGAGCACTGGGATGTTTTTTGTTCCTGTCTAATGTTAAGCACTTTCCCACCACAGGTTTTGGAGTTCCTTCGTTATTACATTTCCCGGCGGAATTTGTCCAGTAAGACTCTGGTGGATCAGCGCTTTCTCATCTGAGATGGTTCTGCCTGACATGATGGACACTGTTGTCTCAACAGCAAACAGCCACCCAGAGGAATGATCTGATCAGCAATGGAAGACAGATGGTGAAGGAGGTGTCTTTTGTCTCTAAAATGCCCCAGTGTGACTTTGTCCTTTTTTTAAATTGATGGATGAGTTTTTGAAAATATTGTTAATTTTTATTCTTCTTTAATGTTTTTTATATTGGAAATTCTTTCTTTAATGAAAATAATAAAAATCAGAAGTTTTAAATGGAAGCTTAATGGAATCCAGACTGCTGTACAACTGAATAATTGTGCTGCACAGTTATTTTTTTCCATCGTGCTTAGGGGTCTGACAGCTGTCAGTATACTTTGAGCCTTATGCACAAACAATTGTTAGGGAATCCTGTCGAATACAACATAGACTACCTCCTTTTCAAGACCTCTGTCTCCTCCAATACTCATCCATTAAGCAGCATGAAATTCTGCTCGGCATTCATCAGTAAAATCCCATTTCACCTATAAATGTACCCGGCATTGCTGTGGGCTAATGGAAACAGGTATAGTAACAAAGACTACAGAACAATCTCAGTGGGAATCTTAATGCATTCTTTATTTTGAATAAAAATGTATTTTTTTCTGTTTTCTGCCAGCAACAGCAAAGAGGAAGGTCATATGTATGTCTCATTTGATGAAAGCTGACATTTTTGTTCTTTTTTTAGTTTTTCAGAAAGCCAGGTACAGTCTGTGAAATGTCCTTGAGGTCATCAGTATGTGCTGCTCTTTATTCCATTCTGTTCCCTCACTTACATATTTGTTCTAAGTATATATGTAACATTTTGTAACCTGACAGAATGTTCAGATTAGTTTGACCATACATTGAAGAAATATGAAAAATATAGAGATAAATTAAGAATTAACTAATGAAGTTAATTGACAGCTTGAAGTGAAACTATCTAGAAGACACCAGAAGCAATATTGGTCAATAAGGGCAGATCATTTTGGGTGATGTGGTCTATGGAACCTTAAAATGTTTAATTACAAGCCTGTCAGTTGTAGTTCCTAAAGAGACTGATATATTCTTGCATTTTTAGAATCAGTTCAATGATAATGAAGAGTGTCAGGATATAGAACCCCCTCTTAATAGTTATATACTTATTTCATGATGGCTTTTGCCTTCTATTAATATATCTGAATGATACTTTTAAAGAACCTCCGAGAGTTTTTATCTATTGAGCTTGTGCTCTGTGACCACCTTGTGTAGAGGGCTTCTTTCTTCTGCTTTTAGCATACTCATATTCGTACATCGCCCTCACATTGTGCAGGTCTTCCTCCTCCTCTGATGACTCCTCCTCCTCCTCTTCCTCCACTGGGTTTTGCCTGCGCAGGGTGCTTTGACGAGTCTGTCAAAAGGACCAGCACAGATCTGGTGTTTCAAAATGACTGAACTGATGTGCAGTGAGTTAATAAGCACTGTGATCTCAGATAAATCGGATCTGTAGTCCTTGTAAAATCCTGTTATGCATTTAAGCTGGATTGAAGCAAGCAAATACAGATGTTTTGCTGGAAACAAATCTAAATTGGGAGACATTTGCATTTGCAGTCATGTCTCATCTACATGCTGTCAGTTTGATTTGAGCTCCTGCTGAATCTAGTGCTCTTTTTAGCCACTTGAAGATAGTTTCGAGGGGGAGTACTAATCATAAAATGCATTCCTTGTTAAATGCAACATTATCATTTTTTAATCTTCTGTTCCAAGAGGAAAGACATGGTTATATCAGATTTTTTTGCATTATTGCTTTTTTCTGTCCGTTTTGTCAATTGATTGGTCTTCATCTTCTGGGGTGAAGGCAGCTGTTTAGAATTGGCTAATACCCCCTGTACAGTCTTCTGTAATGCATTACTCACCCTTCTGACTGAATTGGGGTATTGCTTCACTGAGGACGGGGTGGGACTGGGGTACCGATGCACTGAAGACGTAGATTGGACACTTTGTAAGGTCTGAGAATCCAGTGTCCCATTGTACATCTGTATCCTTGATCTAAATGTCTAGAAAGATTGTTGGAATTACACGGTTTTCCAAAACCATACTAGAAAGCAGAACAAATATACATGTACTACAGTACATACAATGCCTTACATAAGTACTGTATGCAGAACCTTACACACAGCTTTCACATTGTTTTCCTTTAAAGCTATCAGTCACAGCACATTGAAGTAGTCATTAATGTGTTAAATACACCACCTACACATTCAAAGCAAAAACCAAGATGAGTGAAGTAAATAGCTCATATGAAAAATGTGGAAAAGCCATGATTACATAAGTAAGGCCTTTGCTATGACAAACTTTAATTTAGGTGCACAGCTTTACCTTAATGAGACACACAGTTAGCTGAGTGGATTCTGCCTGTGTGCAATAACAGTAGTTCTCATGATTTCAGAAAAACATCTGTGAGCTGCCTTGGTCAGGTAGTGAATTTCAAGTAGAGATTCCACCATGAAGACTACAGAACTTTCAGTAATTGAAAAGCACTGCTCAGGAGAAGAAATTCAATCATAGAGACATGGAAGGTGCAGTGTACCAGGCTGATACTGTCTAGAGAAGTCTGTCCCACCACACTGAGCAGCCAGACAAGGAGGAAACTAGTGAGAGATGTCACTGTGAGGACTACAGCAACTTTAAATGAGCTACTGTACAGACGTCAGTGTCTGAGATGGGAGAAAATGTACAATAATCTCCTGGTTGTTCCACTGGTGAAGTGTTTTTTTTTACTTTTCTTAAAAAACATGGCATTGTAACAAACTATTCTGTAGTATGTGAAGCTGTGTAAAATGTATGGGATGTTGCAAACCTGTGTTAAGTGCTGCAGATATTTTCATATAATGAACATCACTTACTTCCATATCTTTCTCCATATCAAAGTTTTCCAGGTTTTGGAAGGTATTTGAATAAACCTCCAAGGCTTTTGCATGGAAGAGCATCTCAACTGTTATAAACTCCATGAAGATTTTCTGAGAATATAACATTTCATTATTAGGATTTTTAACATTTAAGCAATTTCTCCTGGACATACATGACTTATTCTCCTCCTGTGTCGGCTTTGACTCTCATCTCTACAAGTGGTGCCATCAACTGTCCTGGACTGTCAACTTCAGTGTATTATAGACCCACTGATTCACACAGCTATCTCCTTTACGGCTCTTTCTACCTCCAAAACAATAAAAGCTCTCTCCTTGTCTCACACTTCCTCAGATTTGCTCAGTCATGAAGAGAACGTCCACGCCAGACACCTTTTCCTAGAACAGGAATAGGAACACCACTGCAGCAGCTCTTTATCCTGTATCACTCAGATACGTAGCCCTTCGGGCCATTTCTAAATCACCTAGAGAACATCTTCTGTATCTATACTAATCCCATTTACTGCATTTCCTGCTGAAAATGCCCTGCCGTTTACTTCAGTGAGTCAGGAAGAAGACTGGCCAACTGTTTCAGGGAACATGTCAGAGCAGTGAGGATTAAACGTCTCTCTGAACTGAGCTCCCCAGTTCACCTCTCCTGGCCATGCTTCCTGCTACAGGCCAGTTCAGGGCTCCAGGAAAACATGAGCAGTGAAGATTAACTTTAAACTTCCCTCTTCTCTCAATGCTAGATTAATTTCTTTTGAAATCCTCTGGATTGATTTATACAAGCCAGCCCTGTCCACACCCCGTCTGCCAATACCCCTTCCCGTAGGCCTAGTCTCGCCTGCTCTGCCCTTTGCTCTCCTGCTTTAAATTCCTGTTACCTTACTCTCTCCCCCTCACTTCTGAAGAAGGGTCTTCCTCTTTTTACTTTGGTTGGATTTATCTTTTATTTGTTCCTGCAGCCTGCAGCAGCTCCACTGATTCCTGCCTGCTCTGTGCCTTGGTATTTAGCATATTACCAGAAAAACTCTTTAAACCTGCAGTATTGATCTTTGTCACCTGCTAGCATTAATAATGAAGAATATGTCAGGAAACATCATTTTGAATACAGTTCAGACAATTCAGATCTTCTTCTTTCATTTCCTTCTATAAAAGCTATCTGTTTTTACCTTAATGTCTTCCATCTTCTGTCTCTGAAAATCACTGATAGTTTCTTCGAGCTGCCGTGTGGTTCGGTTTGCATCAGCTGAGGCTTTCTGTGCATTAGATTCAGCCTGTAAAACAAGCAGGGCTCCTCACTCATCTAGCACAGCTGGCCATTATGTATTCATGCCATTTTTATTCAATAGTCTTTAGTAAACTCTTAGGATTTATTCCATAGTTTTACGTCTAGAAAGCTTATTGAGAGGTTGACAAAGGAATGAAAGGGCAAGATATAAAAATGTACATGAAGAGGAAGTCTAGAAAATGAACTACTTGATGGTTCAGCACATTGAAATATTTAAACTGTTTATACTGACAAATACTGCACAAGACTCAAGGCTTGATTCTCGGATGCTCCACTAGAAATGGGTTTTTTGGGTTTTCCATTTGGCATCAAAGAGGTTTATGCTCAAGGAAGGTACCTGTGACTGAAAAAAAAGTTAAGGAAATGAACCTGTCAAAGACTCGGCAGACAAACAGATTTCAGTGTGAAAGGTGGCTGTATGAGTGTTTTTTAAAACAGCTGTTTTGAAAATGCATTATAAATGCATATTTTTAAATAAAAAATACATTGCATTATAATATCTGATCATTAACGCTGCAAATAAATACTATAGACAACTCATTCACATCTCCTCTGTTTCCCTCATTGCTGGGATTGCTGATGAGATTCACATGATACCTTAAGAACAGTTTACATTGGCTGTTTCCCTTATTCCACAACTAATGAGAAGTCACTAAGCAAGTCTAATTAGTATGAAGACTACACTGGGCATTAGTGGTATACAGTATCTAAGCTGCAAGTGCTTTATTCATTATCATCGCACTTTTGATTTACACAGTTCAGAATTAACATGGGCACAATGGTCAATGAAGAGACCTTTGATTCATAACATTTGCATGAACCAGATCAATTCAGATGGCAGACTGTGGAGCTGATTGCAGTTCATGCAATAATTTCTAGCTTCCTGCACTGAATAACATTTGTATGGGTCAAAAACCTGTTGGGGATAGTTGCTGAAACAAGGCAGTCCATAGGTTGTGAACAAGAACATTACATGTAATTACAAACACAGTAGAAAAATTGAAATCTCTGCAAGGATACAATGGCTTGCCTGTCTGAGGGGTTTCTCTGCCTCATTTTTTCCAGCTTCTCCAGCTCTTTAATCTCCCGGTTGCGTTCAGCACTGAGCTTTTTCAGATCTGCCTAATTATCCCAGTGTGCAGGAAATTAGATCATAAACAGAAAGTCAGAATAGGCACCCGTGAGGAATCATATGGATTTTGACATCAGTAATCTTTTTACAAGCAGGAATTCTGCAGACTTTTATTTATTATAAATTGATGTCCTCGAGGCACAGTACAAAAGAACGCTGAATGCAGCTTTTATAAATGTCCAAGGGAGAAAAAAGAATGTTTTATTGAAATCTCTTTAAAAAAGGGCCTATCATCTTTAAAAACACCATCTTAGCCCCTTTCTAATTCTACATAAACTGGACTTTTTCCAGTTTTATAAGGTAAAAGCCAGCCTTTAAAATGACATATACCAGCATAAAAAGGCAATTCATCTTCTAAATTGTAGCACATGCACACCTTAATGCTCACTACATTGTTATACATTAATAAGAGTATTAGCTATGTTTGTTTAATATGAATTTTACTCAAATATTTCAGTTATAAGGATTTAAAATCCTTTTCTCTAGAGAGACATTTCAGTTAATATATGTGTGAGTGTGTGCTTCAATTCTACTGTAGACTTCGCATGGCTTATTAAAAGAGCCTTAGAGAGAAATCTTCCTTCACAGTATTACTGTGTGTAACTTACTCGTTTGTGTTTGATAATATCTCCATAGGTTTTCAGGGGAGATACAACTCTGGTTTCTAAACGCTGCACCTAAGAAAAGAGAGAAGAATAATGTAGCTGTATTTAAATGTATTCTTGAAATAAGATAAAGTTTGTTTCCTTTGTGTGGGTTTCTAATGTTTTTGTCGCAGTGCAGAGCTGATATATGTTGTTTGGTCAGTTTCCGAAGGCTGACCACTTCATACTCTATCAACAGATAGAATATGCCACACACTCAGAGCGCAGTGTGTCTTTCATTCAATCTTTCTGTGACAAAGGATCGCAAAAATTACTTGATAAGTGTTGCTGAAGCTGAAGCTGCATCACTGCACATTTAATAGATGTGATGATTACATTGCAAATCAAGACAGAAGTCTTGCATTTTTCAGTATCTGTTGTTTAACATTGGAAAAATCCGAATGGAAAAGTTTAAAGTAGGTAGTAAGTTCCTTCTTAATATACATTCTCAAATTTCAACCTGTTATCAACCTGCGTATCAATTTTCCTGCAGCATTTGTATACCGGTCTTGGGCTGTTGTTTTGGAGGAGGTAGAGCAATCAGAGGATAAACCGATGATCAGCAGTCTCTCGGCTCGCCTTCAAAGAGCCCAGTGATAATGCGGTGTCATACCTCAGCCTGCCTGTAGTCCTGCACCATGGCTAAATCCTCAGCCAGGTTCTTCAGGCAGGCCCTGAGCTCAGGGTTCTCCGTATTTGCAAAGTCAACAAGCTGCTTGACCACCAGGTCAGCCTTGTCCCTCAGCTTGGCAGTCTTCCGGGCGTAAGAAGCCAGGAGGGTGCAGAACTGACCCAGGTATTTCTCAGCTTGGGTCACTGTGGTCTCCATTATCTTTAACTGGGTTTCCCTGGAATGATCAAAATACTCTGCGTTGGAGTGTTATAAAGATGTTATCCTATATTGTTACTGACTGTACTGGTACAGTATATTTAGAACAATTCAGACATTTTGAGGTCTTTTCTCAGAAGGCAGAACTCTGAAACATTCTAAAATTGTATAAGAGCTTGCTGGAGATCTGTTCAGATATTTTTTATATCTTAAAGGGGTTTATTTTCACTAGTCAGTCATTGTGGAATGCAAGAAATGCCACAGACTGGAAGACGTTATGCGGTTGAGCATGCTCACTGCCACCATCATAAACTGGAAAGTTCTTCAAAAGCCCGTCAACAGGCGTCTTTGGATGTTTCCTTGGAATTTATTTATAATAGGCATCATGGCGTAAACAAAGTAGGAGCTATAATGTATGTTTTATGTATGAGAAGACGTAATGCATAAATCTGTGGTTAAAAACCCCCAAACTGCTGGGTTTTATTGGCGCTCTGTATCGCCACAGCGTGAGACGCTGCGCTGAAGGAGGAGATGGGTTCCTGTTGTCCGAGCCGGACTGCAGCGCACAGGTCACTGCCCTCGACCGCTGCTCGGTCCGGCAGTTCTTTCTGTTCCATATATATAACCAATTGTTGACAAAACATCTTTGTCGACAAGACTTAAAGCTGTTTTTGGCCTTACCCGATAAAAATACATATTGTTATCTATTTGCACAAAGTCGAACAATATCTAAAAGCAGTAAATGTTTAATGCTTTTGTCATATATATTTTATATATTGAAGCAGCTGTTTTTTAGAGGAATAAACAACAAAACATTCAAAATTACAAAATAAGATCAGTCCCTGTTTTGCAGTTCACATTTAAAATATTTAGTAAAACTACAACTTATTGTTTAGCTGATCTACATATTAAATACGCCTGAAACTGAAAACAAGCCTGGGCATACTGGGTTATTTAAAGTCGATTTCTGTTTAGAAAAGGTCTATAGTATTAAGCATTGCACTAATGTAAAATATCTATTTAATTTGTGAAGAGTACAACATTACTCTTCAAAATTTCTCTGCAACCTTTTACTTAAACAGAGCAACAAAACAAAAACGTGAATTAAAAATCATCAGTTTACCTGGAAAGTAGTGAATTCATTTTTATTTGAGAAGTTAGCAACGCAAATCTGTTTCCCTGGAACAAAGGTGTTTGTTCTAGCTCCTCCACACTTGCAACAGGCTGTTGCGCACGCTGTTGCTATAGAAATGACAACAGAAATCTTCTGCAGTTGTTTTATTTTTTTGCCACCAGATGGCAGTAAGCTCATACCTTTTTTTTCCCCCTGGTACGGGACGAGATCACGTTAGGCATTTTTGATTACCTAAGATGGCAAATTAATTGCACATTGTAAAATAGCTGATGTAGAACAGAAGTCTCTGCTGGTATGGGATCGCAATTAAAAAATGTACCTCCTCCAGCAGGGTAATGTCTGTGGAGGCTTCACAATACGCAATGTGGACCTACTGCAAAAAGGGTGAATACAAAGATTTGTAGATTTGTAGCAACAGCACAATTCTACAAGCATGAAGCATCTTCCCCCACAATTTAAAACACCAACAAATTTGCAATACTCCTATTATTCATCAATTTCCCTTCGGGGTCAATAAAGTCTTATCTATCTATTAAAGAGACCTGCTCAGGGATGTCATTAATTGAATGAATTTACACTGACAGGGAGACCCCAGGACCTGAGGCCAGGGCTCCAGCACTGTGAAGCAGGAGCACTAACCACTGCACCCCTGTGCTGGTCCCTCTTGGCTTTTCCATTGTGAACTTCTGGTTCAACATGTCCTGTTCACTGTGCTGTTGATCTCAAATAAAACAAGGTCTTTAATTTAGTAGGCTGACAGGTATTTAAAAATTCAATTAGTGTAGCTAAATGTAAACTTTTAAAGGAAAGAGCGAGGCTGTGCTTGGTCTGATCGATTTGCTTTTGGTTTATCCTATGTCGGGATACTGCACATCTCACAGTTTTCTTGGATGGGAAAGGAGTACTGAGAAGAGTGTGTGTGTATTGTGGGAGTGTCTTGGGGCTTTGATGTTCCTGCCAAATTTCCCCTACGGACAGCAGCTGCTATTTGCCAGGAGGAACACTCCTCTCTAGTAGCCACAGATTTCTTTCAAAGATGCAGGCCTCTCCCCCCTTCCCTCATTCAGATTAAGGACAATAAGTCTCTTAATGTTCTGTCTTGCATACCAATAATCCATGAAGATCAAATGAGCCATCTACATTCCCACCTAGGAATCGAGCGAAAGACCAATTTGCTTACAGAGTTGCACCTTATTACAGAAAAGTGCAACTATGTGTAGCTGAGACAGAACACTGTCATCCAAAGTGCCACTTCAGCCCTCGGCTTTGTGGGACCTTTCTGCAGTGAGAGAGTACTGACCCTTGCTGTTGAAGTAGGTCAGAGGCTGTCTATAGCTGAACCCAAAGAGACCATGGAAAAGACACAGCTATGAATCCTAGTGTGACAGTCAGAGTCAAGGCAATTATACTGAAATACAGTATGAGAATACAAACATCCTTCTTGGTCTCTCACGTGAAGTTCACATCTGTCTTTTGTAAGAAGCTGAAATTCACTTAACATTGAAAGAAGAAGCTGTTGTTGAAAGCAATGGTACTCAGTTTTATCTGGTGTCCACTGGATCTGTAAAGTTAACACAGCCTGCTTTAGCAGATCCAGGCGCTGCTGGAAGAGAGAGGAACTGGCTTTAGTATCTGCAGAAACATTTATACTTGCCACAGGCATTGTGTTTGTAAACCATAAGTGCATTAACAGTCACACTATGATCTTGATCATGAAAAGCTTCAGGCAGATAAGGCTTTTATCCTTCAGGCTTTTACATCATTCCCAGTCACAACTCATTCCCAGTCACAACAGCCAGGACCCTGTCCCAGGAGCACAGAACACAGGGCAGGACTTTATCTCAGACAGGCCATCAGCCCATCGCACAGCGCACACACTTTGAGTGATGCTGTGAAGACACCAGTTAAGCTTGCCAGCATGACTTTGGAAGGTGGCGATAGGATGAAACACCTTGATGTGCTGTGCAGAGGGGCTACTTGCACATACTGTAATAGCTACTGCGTGTCATCAGGGTGAGTGCAGAACTTCAGCTGTGGGTAAAGTAACCCTCCTACAGTATGTATAAAGTGCTTTGGGATGAAAAGCACTATATAAATGCAAGGAGCTGTGGATTATTCATCAGATTTAATTCTCCCACTGAGTCGCAGCCCCATAATGAAATCAGCACCTACTCCAGATGCATGAATGTCTGTAAATTATGGCATTGACTCAGTTCATTTATTATTCCTAATGGTCATGAAAGACTATCCATTGACATGCGGCCAACGGCAGCTGCATGTGGAACAGAGTCTCGAGGCGCTGGGGTGGCAGAGTGGGGCTGTGGTTTGTGCTCTGGGTTTCTGACTAGATGGTTATGGGTTCAGTGTAGGTGATGCTGCTGTATCCTTGAGATTCTCTGGATTGTTTCAGTAACTCTATCTTTAGAAATGTGTACTAAAACTGTAATGCAAAAGTAGGCAATTGTAATGTCTTTAAGAAGCTGTGTGTTAAAGCATCTGCCAAATCATGAAAACCTCCTGGAAGACAACCTGGATTTGTTTTATGTGATAGCTGCCACTGTTTGTATGGCCTCTGTCGTTTTTTTTCTACGGATGTTTCTCACAGATTCCCTTTGCCTGTATCTCTTCACCCAGAGAAGGTTAACAGCTTTAGTACATATCACCAACATCTGTTATTCCCATCTGCCCCCAGTGAGAATGAACCCCCAGCTGGGAGCCTGTCGCTGGCTTTGGCAGGCTGTGAAGGGGCCTGCTCCTTGATGCTGCCACTGACTCACTCACCACTCCAGATCAGCTCAGCCTCAGAGCTGTCAGGCCCCAGAGAGTGCTGGCAAGAAAACAACAGAATCCAGTTCCCAACTTAGTTTACAGAGCTTTCCCAAACCGAGGAGACAAAGATCCTTTTCAATTGTCAGCACTGAAACCATTCCACATAAAATCCCTGGTCTCCAGGCTCACACAAATGGAGAACACAAGTGAGTAACACAACATAAGTCTATACATTTAATCCAAACGCAAAATAAAGAAATTAATAAATTTCATTAACAATAGGGATGTTTAATTAGGCCTTGTGAATTGCCAGTTTCTAAAAAAGAGACAATCTATATAAGTTTTGCACATATTTTTAGTGAAGTAGAAATAAGCAATCCATTTTCCAGTTTTCCCAAAAGAAAACTGACAAAAACAACTATTTCAAATGTGGAATCTCTTGATTTATCCCCTGAGGTGTTTATGAGGACCTTTATGATGGTGATTGGGAGTCTTGCAATTCTGACAGCTGTGGGAAATTTATTTAAGATGTGAAAAGCTGCACTCTAAGCCCACAGCTTCACATATAGCATAAATTCTTCATGCTGACTTTTCCCCAACACATTTTTTTATTTTTTTTCTGTGGAATCCCCTTGTAATACAAGCACAAGGGAGTCATGATTGTGATCAATGTTGTTGAAATCAGTGCAGCAGTCTAAGTGCTTAGAGGAAGTTCTGCAGTTACAAACTCCATCAATTTAGTGATATGTTGGGCTTGAACCATCTTGCTTTGTGTAACAACAAGTTGGTTGTGCACATGAAGGAGGTCAGAACCTCCAAAATAGGCAACCAAGCTGGTCTCCATACTCTACAATGCATAATATTGAATATTACAATGTTAGCATTTGAAATCTATCTAAAATAGAGAAAAAAGCACTAAACTACCTTAAAGTCAGATAGTCTGCCTTCGCCATGTGGATGAGGTAGCTGGAACTCTGCTGAAGAGCTGCTGATTTGGCAGTGACACTGGTGATGGTGGAGAGGCCTTAGCTCAGTGGATGCTGGGATAGAACCATTTACAAGAGGCCCATATTCATAGCCAGGAGAACTGGTGTTTGTCCTTCTCTAAAATGAAC